TTGCGATAACAGTGACATGAAATTTAAACAGTTTGATACTTATATACCGCAATATGTTTTTTGTCTCACTTGTGTGAATAAGTCATCGGGCAATATAAAAACGTTTACTAGTTAGCGTGACATCTATAATCAAGAGTATTATAAAATGCACACTGATGCTGAGTAAGGGTTATAGTCTGAATCATGGTATTTTCTGGGTGTTTAAAAATTGAAATGAATAGCAGCTTCTTAGATGGAGATAATAACATCTGGCAATGGTATTGGTGATCACTGGTGAGAGTTTGCGTTGTGTTGACTTTTGGAATGTGTTAATCTGTGGTTGAGATTACCTTAGGTTGTAATGATCTGTGATTGAGATAACATTGGATTGTGTTAGTCTTTGGCCACAAGTTTGGGTTGTATTGAACTATGTTTATGAAAACATTTGTTGTGTTGATCTGGGATTTACATATCTTGGGTTGTTTGAACTGTGATTGGGTTAACCTTTGGTTGTCTTGATTTATGATTGAGATTACATTGCATGTAGTTGGTCTATGGTTGAGATTACCTTGGGTTGTGATGGCGATTGGTTGAAATAACCTCGGGTTGTGTTGACGAATGGTTGAAGTAATATTGGGTTGTGTAAATATGTGGCTTAGATGACCCTGGGTTGTATTCATCTGTAGTTAGGTTTACATTGGGATATATTCATTATTCATGTGTGGTTAAGATTATTCTTGGCTGTATTAATATTTAGCAGTTATGTCCCTATCATTGAATATATGCCTAAGGTCTGTCACCAATATAGCCCGAGCTTGCGAGGGTTATATTACGACAGACCGAAGGCATATATTCAATGATACGGACATAACTGTTGTATTGCATACTTTTATATCATGGCTACGTTATATCAATGACGCCACGTGTCTGTGTGCGAGTGAAATTAGGAAGAAATGAAACATGACGTCCCGATGACGTCATAAGATTGTCATGGTAAAAGGTTTGGCGGCTATACAGGAATATATAGCCGACCTTCAGCTCCATTGACTTCAATACAAATGCTTCGCTGGGTATGTAATACATGATTGATATAACATGTGTAACTGTGTAAATCTGTTGTCAAGATAATCTTGGGTTGTATTAGTATGTGCTTGTTGTGATAACATTTGGTTGTGTTGAGCTGTGTATGAGATTACTTTGGGTTGTGTTGACCTGTAGTTGAGATAACATTGGATTGTGCTAATCTGTGTTTTGATATAACCTTGGGTTATGTTCATCTGTAGTTGTTATTATCTTGGGCTGTTTTGATCTAGTATTGAGATAACATAGGGTTGTGTTAATATGTAGTTGATATAACCTTGGGTTGTGTTAATCTGTAGTTTGGTTGTGTTGATTTCTGTATGAGATAACCTTGGGTTATGTGAATCTGTGGTTGAAATAACCTTGGGTTGTGTTGATCTGTAGTTGAGGTAACATTAAGTTGTGTTGATCTATGTATGAGATAACCTTGGATTATGTTAATCTGTGGTTGAAATAACCTTGGGTTGTGTTGATCTGTAGTTGAGATAACCTTGGGTTGTGTTGATCTGTAGTTGAGATAACATTGGGTTGTGTTGATCTATGTATGAGATAACATTGGGTTGTGTTGATCTATGTATGAGATAACATTGGGTTGTGTTGATCTAGTATGAGATAACATTGGGTTGTGTTGATCTAGTATGAGATAACATTGGGTTGTGTTGATCTCTGTATGAGATAACACTGGGTTGTGTTGATCTATGTATGAGATAACATTGGGTTGTGTTGATCTATGTATGAGATAACATTGGGTTGTGTTGATCTATGTATGAGATAACATTGGGTTGTGTTGATCTGTAGTTGAGATAACATTGGGTTGTGTTGATCTATGTATGAGATAGCATTGGGTTGTGTTGATCTATGTATGAGATAACATTGGGTTGTGTTGATCTATGTATGAGATAACCTTGGATTATGTTAATCTGTGGTAGAAATAACCTTGAGTTGAGTAAATCTGTGGTTAAGACAATTTTGGCTGTGTTAATCTGTTGTTGAGATTTACTTGGGTTTTGTTCATTTGTTGTTGAGATTACCTTTGGTTATGTTGATCTTTGGTAGAGTTTACTTTCGGGTGTGTTGATCTTTTATTGCTATTACCTTTGTTAGGTTGATCTATGCTTGAGATAACCTTTGGTTGTGTTAATCTGTGGTTATGATAACATTGGGTTATGTTAATCCATGATTGAGATAACCTTGGGTTGTGTTAATATGTGGTTGAGAAAACCTTGAGTCGTGTCAATCTGTGGTTGAGATAACATTTGGTTGTGTTGATCTGTAGATAACATTGGATTGTGTTGCTCTGAGGTTGAGATATCCTTGGGTTGTGTTAATCTGTTGTTGAGATCATCTTGGGTTGTGTTTATATGTGGTTTGGATAAACTTGAATTTTGTTCATTTGTGGTTGAGATTACCTTTAGCTGTGTTGGTCTTTGGTTGAGTTTACTTTGGAATGTGTTGATCTTTGGTTGTTACTACCTTAATTATGTTGATCTATGATTGAGATAACATGGGGTTGTATTAATCTGTGGTTGAGATAATATTGGGTTGTGTTGATCTGTGGTTAAGATAACCTTGGGTTGTGTTAACTGTGGTTGATATAACATTGGGTTGTGGTAATCTGTGGTTGAGATAACCATGTCAACTTGGACCCAAGTTAACTCAGACCCTAGTCAACTAAGACCCAGACCCTAGTCAACTCAGACCCTTGTCAACTTGGAAATATGCATATTTAAATTTTTTCCATAGTTTGAGCATTTAAATGAAAAGAAATATATAAAATCAACATTAATCATATAGAGAAAATGATCGTTGATAATGGCAAAAATTAATTCTCAAACTTTTAGAGTCAATCATAAACCATTCAGCCTGATTGTGAAATCATATTACATATGCCAATAACCGAGAGTCTATGATTTTACGTGAAACTGGTTAATTTGTATTACAAACAAGTAATATTTGACAATAAATTAGAAATTCAATGTGAATTAAATGTCACTGACCTTAATTCTTCAAACTAACTTATATGGGGTAAACATGTTAGTTGAATTGAATCCCCCTGATTAAATATGTGTGTTATGAAATAATCCTGTATTTGCAACCTACAGAGAATAATTTTAATCATATTAAACTTATATTTAGAAAATGAGTTTGAAAATAAAATTGGTTAATACACAAATGCACTAATACATTCCCCCATACTTTATATGTATTGGAATTAATATAATACATGTACCTCTCTATTTTGTTTACTTCAACACCCTAATTAAATGCTTATCAGAGGACACAAGATTTCTTAAATTAGGTTTCTTAGTCAAAGTTAATATAATACATCATAAGGAACAGGCTAAATTGAATTCATTTGTTATCAAACAATGGTTCAAAATCAGAAAGCATCATGAAAAATTTCCAAATTTTCTCTGCTTGAGACATCATTGATGAAAATACAGTATCTCATACCATACAATATGTACCCTTCAAATGGTCTCAACACAATTTCCATCAATTAAAACATATGTAGTCATCTCTAAGAGAAGCTAGACATGTCTCCCTTGGATAATATGACTTAACTGACTTCAGCTTTTTTCAAAACTGGCACAATATGTTTCAAAACCTGTCATTAAAGCCAAGCAAGACTGTCAAATACAGCTCAGACTGATTGTTCAGGTGGGTGGAGGACATGTTCAGTAATTAAATGTTGAACTTGTATATTCATATTTACAGAATGACAATGAATTGTTTTTCAAATTTCTAAAGTATTACAGGACTAATTGAAGTTACAATCGATGGAAAAATGTTCCAATTTTTTGACTCAACACAAGGGTTTCCTGAACTTGTCTGCCACCTACCTGAATAATCAGTCTGAGCTGTATTTGACAGTCATTCATGGCTTAAATGACAGGCTTTGAGACATATTGTCACTTATTGTTTCAGTTTTGAAAAAGAGTTGAGGTCAGTTAAACTATTCAAGGTAGACATGTCTTACTTCTCCTAGAGATAACTACATATCGTTTCAATTGATGGAAATTGTGTTAAGACCATTTGAAGGGTACATATTGTATGGTATGAAAGATACTGTATTTTCAGCAGTGATGTCTCAAGCAGAGAAAATTTGGAAATTATTCATGATGCCAGGATACTCAATCGGCCAGGTGCCGGCCAATGAATCGGAGCACATGTGACCCAGGCATTAGTGGTTCAATTTCCATATAACCCTTATGTATCTAATATTTATGCAAATTTAAATATTTCCATTAAAAGAAATTGTTATCTACCCAATAAAAGAAAAGATATTTCACTTTTTGTGATTTTGTAACATTGGGTCTATGGGAAATCAACCCGAACTAGAGTCACATTTTCAAAAAATTTCTAAACCATATTACTAGACATACTTTTAAATGTAGATTTAAAATATGACATCACTTTGACTGAATTTTGAACATTTAATGACATAAATCACGATTATTTCTACTCGCATCTAGTCTATTAACTAGATTTGTGATAAGTTATCCTGTAAGTTATATGAATGGATATTACAGATAGAGGTGAGTAAAACAGTTGCATTTCAAATACAATTTTGAATAAATAGCCAGTTCTTTCAACATGAAACCAAGAAACCTCTGCTCATTGCAAATGGTAATACCAAGTTACCAAGTACACAATATTTTTGATGTTACCTTTTTATCAAAAGCGTCATCATTTGTGAAATAGTTATTAGGGATTAAATCCTGACCTTATCATGGTTATAACACTGAAATATCATCCCTTACAAGGTAGTAACAGCAACTTCATTTCTTATAAATCCCATACAAAAATGGTAATTATTACTTAACAATACAATTTTAAGAGTGGACTTAATTTATGTAAATACATTTTCTATTCTTTCAATTTCATTTGTCTTTTATATTGACCAGAATTGATGAGGAAAAGTGAGAAACGTTGTAAGAGTTTCAATAATACAGACTCAGTCAAAATCAATGAACACAATAGATGCTAATACTATTGTCAAGTGGATTTTCATTTAAACCTAGTGTTCAAGATTAATCTAATATATTTACAGGAATTTAATCCATTTTGGAACAGCATTGTGGTGAATGCTTCTGACATTATATGGTTAGCAACCAGCTCATATCAGGCAGCTAGAAGATTGTGTACTAGAATAATATTCAGGTAAATAAAAATGACTTATATTTGATATTATTATCATCTTTAAATAAAATAGATAATATTTGCTTATTTAAAAGCAACAATGATTTTTGTATTAAGTTTATAGTTGTGCAAAATATTACATATGATTTGAAAATAACAATAGCATGAGAAATTAGAATCAATAAACTATTTTGTTTGTTTGTTTTAGTTGTCTTTATTTCTAACATTTATAAATCATACAAACACAAAATATGCAGCCTAGCACCAATGGCAAATATGTTAAAGGCAAACCTTTGAGAAACAATTCAACTATTATTTCACATCAAATAGAGATATACATCAACACCTGACAAGACAACAGTTTAAACTTAGACATGTAAAATTTGAGAACACTATTGGACAATTTTCTGTTAGTAAACAGGTTTCTCATACCTGGAATAATCTTACGGATGACCTGCTATCCACAAATTCACCTTCTAAATTCAATAGTAAATTGATAAGAGAATTGTTGTCATGATATATTATAGTCCATATTATAGGCTATTATATGCCATACTATATGCTATATAATATCATTTTGACTACTGAACATTCAGTGTGAAATTATGTACTGATTTCTGCAATGATATAGGTATATTATCTCCATTCTGGCACAAAGTAATTTATATTTTATTTAAATTCTTACCATAGGTAAATTCGTTCATGGGATAATCATTTACATATCAGTTTTTTTAATCTAATCATTTCAAATTGTTATATTTTATTTTATGATGTACCTTTGACCCTAGTGCATCAGTACAAACTAGAAAACAGCAACTCCACGGAGTAGCAAATCCCAACGAACACTATATGGATCATCATGATCATTACTATCTACTCTTCCCTTCAATAAATATTTGAGATCATTGTAGTATCATGTAACCATACTTTCAAGATAACTCTAATAAGTGATGGCGAATTTCTGCTCTAGGCAGGAAATCCCACATTAGGCAGCCATTTTGAATTTTTCAAGGCCCGCGTCAGAAAAATGATACAATATTTGCAATCTACTCTAAACTTTCATTGAGTATAATAAAGCTATACTTCAAAAACATCTCAAAATTAATGCAAATTCCTATTTTCAAGGCTCTTGGGGGTCAGGGTAAAAACACGGGATATATGTGAAATAGATAATACTCGTATTTATTATTTTTGCTAAAAATGAAAAATAAAAGATTTTTTGCAAAAAATTCCTGCCATTTTCAAACCAGTGGCCATCTTGAAAAAATTGTTATTTGCGTAAAACTATTCACCAATATGCATCTTTCCACCAAATATGAAGAAAATCTGTCGACTAGTATTCGAGTTATCTTCCGGACCGACGGACGGACTGAGTGACTGACTGAGGGATGGACGGAGGGCTTCACTATCCTACTGATATCCCTACTGAACTTCGTTTGTTGGGATAATAAATCCTACAATACTAACACTAATGTGTCATTTATCTATTTCTTGTTTTCAGAATGTCATTCAGTACTACTTTCCGCTCAATGCTGTCACAGGACATTCGACACACCCACTATGGCACACCACTGAACATGACCTACAGAGAATCCTCTGACTTCCCGACTCTTGATGAGCTAAGACGTGACAGAGATGACAAATATTTGAAGAAAACAATCCTACTGAGCAGGACATCATCATATTATGGGAGACCTATAGAACCAGCACCTGCCTTTAGAGTAGTCTCAAGGTGAATATTTAATTCAGACATATTCTTTAGTAGCTTTACTGTCTTTAAATGCCTATGCATCAAAATGAAGTTTTTAAATGTTAATGTGAGCAGTGAAGCAAGATCAAATCTGTGAGCTTTCAAAGCATGTCTCCCTCAGTAGTTCTTCCCACTTTTCAAGTCAAAATATATCACACCCTGTCCCGCCCCCATTTAATGCTGTAACAGTGGCTACCAAGACTTGTGACAGTCTTTAAACCATTACAATATGAATATTTTAAAATAAGTTGCCATATCAAACAAACAACATAATCTTAGTTATCATGATTGCTAAGAAACCTTACAACAACATCTGGAGTCTTAACACCTTGTGATAAATAAATGATATGATTAGATGACTTTTGTAATAATAAAACCAAATAATTCATGAAGGCTGAGTCTACAGCAAAATACGCCGTATTCAGTTGAACTTGAGAATGGGATAACCAAGGTGATGTGTAATGCTAGGAACAATAGATACTAAGGATATATGGCGTATTCTTGGTATGGGAAATAATGTGTATTAGGTATTGAACAAAAATGTGTGCATGTTGCAAAAGACCACGTGCAGTACGGCAAGTGATTTTAGACGGTCATATCCTTCACCATGAGTACTTTCTGGGCATAAATACAGTGGTTTTTATTAAAACAATATGTTTTCTTTCAAGTGAAGTACCCATGATGATAAAAATATCAATCGAACAATTCGAAAATTTATGAATAGGGACCCCATGTCAACATTTTTTTCAAAATATTGAACCTATTTATTGCATGAAAAGATTATTCAACAAGGGGTCTAAAACATCTTCAAAAATATAATTGTATTGAAAGTCTAGTTTTGAAGATATCAATTTTAGTTGACCAAAATGATGCTGAAAACAATGGATAGCACGAGTTTTCCCTATGGGAAAATAACATGGGATATGTGGTTTTTAATTTTAATGCATTTCAGTACGCATCCCCTTCTCAGAAATTGTTCATATAGTGTAGAAGAAACTTTCGATATGTTTAAATTGAGAAAAGCAAGATCCTCTTTTTAGAAAATAAGCCTATCATTTTTTAAAAAGTGCCAGGGTGGGGCCCTAATCCAAAAATTTTCAGAGAGCTGGATTGATATTTTACTATCATGGGACTTCACTTGAAAGAAAACATATTGTTTTAATAAAAACCATTATTTTTATTGCCAGAAAGTACTCATGGTGAAAGATATGACTGTCTAAAATCACTTGCCATACTGCACATGGACCTTTAAAGGGTTCCGATTAGCATCCCGTATAAAAACAATATGGCGGCTCCAGGCGAATCAACTGGATCAGTCCATTTTTAAGACATAAGGGGAGTTCTGTAAAATCCAGTTTATTGAAATTGTCTTTGAGATAAAGTAATCCGTTAATGATTTTGAAAACGTTATCCAAAGAGTGATTGCGTTCAAAGAATACATGTACAACAGCCAATATAAATCATTGGTAGGATATTTCATATGCCAAGCTGTGTGCTATTACGTTATGGGGAAATTTAGATGCCAATTTTTCCTTATTGTACACAAATAGAAGATCCTGAAACTTCACCCATAAATGTGGAATTGATTTGTCAAAATAAAAATCAGCCTTTTATAAATGTGTGACGATCTATAATATACTTATGCTATATAACAGTTAGAGGTGTTGACACAACGACCTCGAACCTGTGAACCCTTGAGTATTATTCCGGGATCGGGCCTTTTATACTAAACGGTGAGCAACACCAGAAACGAGCGTTCGATTTGCTAAACGATATGCGTCACCCTTTAAGGTAACTTTTTGAAAACAATTTACAGCAAGTTGTATAATATTTTTCACTGATTAATTATTCAAAAAGCTACACTCTATGGTGTCACTTCAAAATACAATATTCTGTATATGAGCCAGGCCACAGGAAAAGGGCTCTTATCACAGATTTTTTCAATATTCTGATTTTTTGTTTATCTTAACAAAAAGCACAAAGAAACATTTCAAATGAGTCATGGCTTATGTCTTAACAATTTTTCCTTGCATATATAGACCAAAAAGTCAGATCTGAATTTAGCACATTTTCCTCTTAATCATGGGCACATTTTTGGCTCTGTAGCACAATTTTACAATTTTTGTGATAAGACCGGTTTTCCTATGGCCAGGCTCATATATAATTGAACTATAATGATACTGACTTTTTATTTCAGATATGAACTGGAAGCAATTATCAAAAGAGTTACAAAACCTCAAAATCGTGAAGTAAAAAGTAAGGAAGATGACACCACAAGTGCTCCTACAAGTCCCCGTCCAATGACAAGTGAAGACAATGCAAAAATGCTGACAAGGCTCTCAACTCCAACACATATGAGTAATCTACGAAGCAATCATAGAAATGCAAGTGGACTCATCCAAATGAACAAAACTGTAATGTCTAAATTGACAGAGGTTTCAAATTAGTGGAAGGAAATTTTACATTTAAGCCAAATGAATGACGAGTGGGGTTAAATAGTAAGATGATGTATATGTAACCATTCATAACACATGAAATTATGAACCACATACTTGTATGTAGATAGGTACAATCAAACAGAGACCTATCCCTCCATTACCCATACTTGTATAATCAACTTCTTTTTTTGAATACGGAGTTGATTGTTTTTTATGGACAAGACAAAATCCATGAAAATAGATACAGCACACAATGATGTGAAAGGAGCTTCCCTTACAAGCCAAGTAACACTAATTGAATGAAAATGTGTAGAGACATGTCTTTGGAAAGCAGGTCCCAAACATGTATATCTCGACACATACGTTTAGTAGGTTTTGTGTAAGGGATAAGAAACAAACAATTTGTTTATTGTATTCAGTAATAATGTGCCAAATAATGAAAATTCTTGCCCTTATATGTATATATAGATCTTTTGAACGAAAACTTCAAATATGTTATAATCTGAACAATGGAAATAAGTACAGTAAAACCTGTATATCTGACCACCTCTCAAATCTGAACATTTCTTGATACAGACAGTTTTATAAACCTGTTTTAACTTCTTTATTGAAAAATCTCAAAATTTGAACACCTGCCAATCTGAACATTTTGCTGGTACCAATGGTGTTCAGATGAGACAGGTTTTACTCTACTTTTATCAGAATTGTTCATATTGTATACAATCCAGGTATGGAGAAAAATAACCTGATTCATGTGAAAAATTATATAATTAAAGACATGATTATCTAAATGAATGAAGTTCTTTTTGGGTTCCTTTGGGAGATAGTGAAGGACCAGTGCACTGGTCATTGCAAGATTACTTTTGAAATTGACCAGTTAATTTTTTCACTTGGTTTCGAAAAATAACATGGCAACTGGTTCATGCCATTTTGACTCAGAACCTTAACTCAACCCCTGTGTGTATGTGGGTAAAGAAAACATAACTTTTTGTTAATCTTTTGAACTCAGAAGTATGACTTTATTTTACTCAATTGAAAGGCATTTTAGAGTACAAGTAGATTGGAAATAATGTATCACTTATTTCAGATCCGTGGCATGTAAAATGGCTGCCTGAAATGCAATTTTTATTCGAAATCTAATATTTTTAATTTCCAACCAAAGAATTTGGTACCAAACGTTTTTGAACATTAGCCAGACATTAAAATCAGAGATAACCTAAACCTTTTTGGTATTTTTGATTTAGTATTGAAGACCAGGATATTTTCTCAATGTTTTTCACAAAACATGGCCATTTTAAATTGAGCAGCCATTTTGGAAATTCCTTCTTGAGCAGTTGTCCTATGCCCATAAAGCATCAGGCTAAATAGAACCAAATCTGTCAATAGGTACTTGAGTTATTGCTAGGACAGATGAACAGACATATGAACAGCCTCTCTTTATCCCTCCCAAACTGTGTTGGGTGAGATAATAGGATAATAAACTAGAACCCAATGAACACTATATTCATGAATCTTTATAAATGTATGTCACAATGTTATATTTACCATCTACTCTACCCTTGATTAAATTGGCAGATATTAAAAGTTATACAGAGATATATTAGAATTTCCAATTTAAGGATTTAGGTGACCACTGAGGAGTTTCAAAGGCACAAATCATAAAGACAATAAATATTTTGAATTTTACGAGGGTTGAATCAGAAAAACGATACAATATTTGCAATCTACTCTAAATTTCCTTTCATTTGAGTATAATAAAGCTATACTTCAGAACAGAAAGATCTTAAAATTAACAAAATTTCCTATTTTCCTGAGAAAACTTGGAATATATGTGACATAGATAGATGTTGTGAAAAAAGAAAAAAAACTTCGCCAAAAATGTCTAAAGTGGCAGCCATCTTGCATAAAACTATTCACCAATGTAAATCTTCCCACCAACTTTGAAGCCAATCCATCCACTAGTATTCGAGTTATCTTCAAAATGGACAGACAGACTAACAGACAGACAGACAGATGGATGGAGGGCTTCACTATATCCCTAACAAACTTTGTTCATTGGGATAATTAGGAAATGTACAAATACCTAGTAAATGTACATATATCTAAACAATGTTACCCTTTGCATTTGTTTGACTTCACTTCTTAAAAGAGAGCTTCGTCTTCACTCTTTCAAACTAAAATAAACCTGTGAACTCACAAGATTAAGATCAAGATTAGTATGGGATAAACAGATCAACCTATAGTCAGTTCAGAATATAGGGACTATCCCTTAGTCAATATAATATATCTACCCAGGGGACTTATGGTCCTCGAGCAGATATATTATAGTGGCCTCTGGATAATCCCAATATCCTTAACCTCATATAGGATTATCTCTATGTATATCATGGATTTATTCCGATACACTGTACATGCATTCGATGGTGGGTGGGATTTGAAGCACATTAGTTGGTGAATAAAAATGATTGCTTTTTGTTTTTACATTTTGTCTTTTGTTTACATCTTGAAAAATACTGGTTCAATTATGTTCATATTTTCAGGAAATAAAGAAGAGACTGTGTATGTATAGCTCCTCGTTTTTCGTATTTTGCTAGTACAACTGTCTTTTGAGCAAGTGTCCAAGACATCATGTTTTACAGCTAACTAACAACAGGGGCTATACATACACAGTCTCTTCTTTCTTTCCTGAAAATATGAACATAATTGGATAAGTATAATGCGTTTTTTTAACACCCTGTATATTGAGACATTTTATCAACTTTCTTTTTCACTCTTATTCCCATGCTTTGGTTCACATAGATTGGTAGTATCCTTCATATTTTCCTCCATAATAGCGTCTTTTTCCAGTTTAGAGTCTGTCTTACTGTTGTTCATTGCACTTGACTTCACAACATTCATAGGAGCCTGTTCCTCATTTACAACACACTGTTCTTTATTAGTAGGAGGAGTTACATTATTTACAGAAGTGTGTTCATTAGTCATGGAATGTTGTTGTTTTAATTGTTCCATGGATTTATTACGCTGGGGCTGTGTCTGGAATGACTTCTTTGGTTGTGAACCTGGTGATTGCACTAATTCATCTTCCTCATTGATTACACCACCACGACATGCTGGAACAGAATTATCACATTCACGCCCCATTCTCAACAGGTTAACATATACTAATTTTTTTAACACTTTGACAGAATATGGACCTTTCTCCCTCATAGAAAGATAGCTCATGTTACGCAGGGATGCCTCTAGTATCGCTACATCGTTATTTCAGAGCATGATCTAGAACTTATCAAATCTACTAGAAAGCACAACATCTTTTTGAAAAATATTGTCATTTTTCACAAAATCCCTCATATTTCCGACATCTTGAGTTATATTGTCATGTAATAGTGACTAAATTATGAATAAAATGATTGTACATCATCCAGACACTTCATTTTCCAAAACAATTGGAAGAAATTGGAGAAATTAATGTTAGTTGGAAAGTGTAGGGTGAAGGGTGTGTACTGTGTACTACCTGCACCATGATATTGTTGCTCATATGTCCTAAGTTACAAAACATGGATTTAAACAAAAGATTTACATGGGTTTTCTACATTAATTTATGAAAATATGAATGTTTTCTTTAAGTTGGGGCCATGGGGTTTAGTAAGCTATGGCTGAAAATTATCCATGAGCAAGAAAACTGAAGGAATAAATCACTGGAACATCCTATACAAGAAATCGTGATTCGTTTTTAGTGCAAAAATAATTGAGACTCTTGGGAAATATTTTGTGTTATAATTTGATAACACTTGATAGCTCTTGCCAAGATGGTATATATTCAAACTAACAACATCGTCAAAATTACAAAGCATTCTTGGTCTAAGGATATTTCACTTCTTACCCATAGCAGCAAAGCCCACTCTCGAGGATGTCACCAAGTAATTTGCCAAGAGTTTAAACGCCATCAAAAATGACATTGAATACCATCAATAAAAAATGTTTGGAAGCTCCTCAAATTTCTATAGATTTTTGGATGAAGTAAAACTATTAAAATATGCATTATCAGAGATTCTCGCGAATAGGCCCACTGGGCGACTATTTTGCTGAGGGCATTTATTTGAAAAAACTCAAAATAAACGCCCATGACCCTTTATAAGAAGGGAAAAACATTTTTCCAAGGGGATGGGCATTTGCTAAGCTAAGAGGGGAATAGGTAGTCAATAAAATCACTCAACATATTTCAATGGAGTTGTTGAATGTCCAGCACATCATGCAAAATCTTTCAATAAAATTCTTTTATTTTAAATCTTTTAAAAGATTCAAGAAAGGTATCAACATAAAATATAAATTTTTGAAGTTGTTACATCACCACCACAAGTGGTAACATATTGCTATAGTCTCTCACTTTTTTTGAGCATGCAGTTAGCATTCGGCAGTTGGTGTTCAGTGGTTGGTGTTCTGCATTCGATGTTTGTAAAAATGGCAAATGGTGATATTTCGCATGTTAATGCCTTGTTTTTACTTGAAATGATAATTGATTTCATTGAGAAAAACTCTCACCTTTAAATGCCTCTGGATATTCAGTTGACAGCTTGCTCTTTATATTTCTGAAAGAAAATATAACTTGATGTGTGAAATATAACAACAATGATAAACATTCCAATAATTATTCAATCACTTCTGGCAGATCTGGCAGGTAAGTGTGAAATAACTTGATGAAATATTAAGGGCAATTTTACTGAAGAATAAGGTTATGTTGATCAGTTTAAAATTTACTCAGAATAGTGAGTTATAGCAGAATCAACGATCTCAGATAGAACAATTTGAATGCTTTAGAAGAGTTGAAGAAGAAAATAGTGGAAAATATGAAGTAAACTAAGAGGCCTTTAATCACAATATAGTAGACTTGAATTTGAGTATAAAAATGTGTTCAAGTGAGACAAGAGAGGGCTAGAAGGACAAGAGAGGGCTAGAAAGACAAGAGATAAGAAAGACAAGCGGTGGCTAGAAAGACAAGAGAGGGCTAGAAAGACAAGAGAGATTGGTTTGGAAAAAAATACCATATTGAGTGAAAGTGTAAAAAGGACCATTTTGGGGTAAGCCTGGTGCTGGATAAGTGTTGAATTGGTCTTTGGGAGGGTAACAAGGGCTTGAAGCAAGACTAGCATGTTTGGTGAAATGTTATCCTTTCAATATACTATTTTCTATATATACTGTATATGAGTAAATAGAAGGCAGCACATGTGTTTGTAGGCCCAGAATGCATGGAAACCTAAAGCAAGATTCACTTAATTTCGTGATCTATCAAGCATTTCAATTTGGACAGACCACTGGTATATAACTATATGATATTGTTGACATGTGGAAATGTGATTAAAAAAGAGATGCCAACAAGATTTCAAACCAATTTAGCAAACCCACTATTCAATCCTCCTAGTGGCCACTACTATGGGAATAACTATGACAAAAAAAGATTCAGCGAAACATACCTTATACGCAAGAATACAGAGTCCAGTTCTTTCTTCATATGGCACAAAAGTTGTGTGTGGCGATTAAATTCAGCTGTTGTTGCGTTACAACGATTCACTGACAATGCATTGAAGTTAAGCAACATCTCATTGGTTTTCTCAAATCTTAGCAACCTAAAAATAAATTGAATTTGCTGTATATTTATATGAATCGTCTTTGCTGTATATTTAGATGAATCATCTTTGCTGTATCATCTTTGCTGTATATTTAGATGAATCATATTTGCTGTATGTCGTTGCTCTATAATTTTATGAATCGTCTTTGCTGTATATTTACATGAATAGGCTTTGATATTTATATGAATCATCTTTGTGGTATATTTAGATGAATCACCTCTGCTGTATATTTATATGAATCATCTTTGCTGTATATTTATATGAATCGTCTCTGCTGTATATTTATATGAATCATCTTTGCTGTATATTTATATGAATCACCTCTGCTGAATAATTATATGAATCATCTTTGCTGTATATTTATATGAATCACCTCTGCTGAATATTTATATGAATCATCTTTGCTGTATATTTATATGAATCACCTCTGCTGAATATTTATATGAATCACCTTTGCTGTATATTTATATGAATCACCTCTGCTGAATATTTATATGAATCATCTTTGCTGTATATTTATATGAATCACCTCTGCTGAATATTTATATGAATCGTCTCTGCTGTATATTTATATGAATCATCTTTGCTGTATATTTATATGAATCACCTCTGCTGAATAATTATATGAATCATCTTTGCTGTATATTTATATGAATCACCTCTGCTGAATATTTATATGAATCATCTTTGCTGTATATTTATATGAATCACCTCTGCTGAATATTTATATGAATCACCTTTGCTGTATATTTATATGAATCACCTCTGCTGAATATTTATATGAATCATCTTTGCTGTATATTTATATGAATCACCTCTGCTGAATATTTATATGAATCATCTTTGCTGTATATTTATATGAATCATCTTTGCTGTATATTTATATGAATCACCTCTGCTGAATATTTATATGAATCATCTTTGCTGTATATTTATATATGAATCACCTCTGCTGAATATTTATATGAATCATCTTTGCTGTATATTTATATGAATCACCTCTGCTGAATATTTATATGTATTACATACCTAGCGAAGCATTTGTATGGAAGTCAATGGGAAAGTTAGCGAGCTATATCCACCGATATTGCCCGATTACCCCGATATAGCCCGCTTACCTCGTTTTGATATTAGATTTCTTTAATAACCATGATAATATCATGACGTCACGTCATTGATACAAAGTAACCATGGGAACAAAGGCATGTAATACATCAGTTATGTCACTATGACGTGAAATATGCCTTCGTTCTTGCCCAAATATAGAGCCTCCCAAGGTCGGCCTATATTGGGAGAACTCAGGCATATTTCACGTCATAGTGACATAACCTCTAAGAATCATCTTTGCTGTATATTTATATGAATCACCTCTGCTGAATATTTATATGAATCATCTTTGCTGTATATTTATATGAATATTCTTTGCTGTATATTTATATGAATCGTCTCTGCTGTATATTTATATGAATCATCTTTGACAAAATGTCACTGCTTGCAAACGGATACAAAGGAGTAATAATAATTGGCTTTGTATAAAAAACCTCCTACCTCATACCAACCCACCCACCTCCGTGGAACATGATACAGTCATTGAAAGGTTTAATTTTAAAGATTATTAAATCTCAAAATAGCTCAAATTATTAACATTTCTACAATTCCGGCTTTATTTTATGACTGAACAGATGACAGATCCATAAATAAAGGCATATGGGTGCATTTTAATGTGTAATGACCCAAGGGTTCCAGGGAATAAATAACTAACGACAGCGAGCATAGGTCCAACAAGCAAGATAAAGAAATTGAAAGAAAGTGTGCTAAATTCGTACCCTGCGTGCAGAGTCTAGTTAAACTACACTCTGCCTAGTAGAGACCATATTACAATTTAGTAGCCCCGCCCCCACGACGGGTACCGGTGACAGTTTGGGTAAATCACTTTTGACCTACGCGCTGACCTTCCACCAATCAGCGAGCTTGAAGGAACATACGCCAAAAGCGTTCTAATTAAATATGGGCATGTCATTGGTCAATTCCCGGCTCAACGATGACATCAGAAGGAATGTATCATATAAAGAACGTCGGTCAAATTTGGCCGACGAACACTGATTGGCGCGGTGAGATCACAGGTTTATTTTAGTTTGAAAGAGTGAAGATGGAGCTCTCTTTTAAGAAGTGAAGTCAAACGAATGCAAAGGGTACTAAATTCGATGCCCCGAGTGGGAATCGAGCCCAGCTGGGATGTAATAGCAACTTGCTATCAAGGGTCGTTACAAATGCATCTATAATTCATCATAAACTAAGATTTAATAAACTAAGATCTAAAATTGAACCCTTCAAAGACTGTATCATGTCCTATGTACGTGGGTAGGTGGGTATGAGGTAGGAGGTTTTTTATACAAAGCCATAATAATTCTTGCAGACACTCCCAACAACTATTGCTAAATGTTGGTAACAGCATGTTATAACTTCTTTGTGGTGACTCAATGAAGATTTAAAGGAACATACAACCTTTTTATCAAAATGACGCAGATGCGAGTAGGTAGTTACCAGTTTCACCACCAGATGGCTCGCTCGGGTCAGATAGCATGGCGGGTATAGCAGAAAGTTCCCTTTAAATTAAATCACATTTGTTTTAGTGGTTCAATTTTCATATTACCCTTATGTATCTAATAGTTATGCAAATTAAAATATGCCCAGTAAAAGAAAATGTTATCTGTCCAATACAAGAAAAGATATTCCACTTTTTGTGATTTTGTAACATTGGGTCTATGGGGAATTAACCCGAGCGAGGAGTCACACTTTCAAAAAAATTTTAATTTTCAAAGTTGATAAACAATTTTCGAAATCATATTTCTAGATGTACTTTTACATGTAGATCTCAAATATGACATCACTTTGACTGAATTTTGAATATTTAATAACTTAAATCAAGATTATTTCTACTCGCATCTAGTCCAAAACCCATGAAGGTAATATGATGACGAGGTATCATACGTAAAGATATCGAGAAAATATGTTGTAGTCCAAAAATGAAGAAAACTAATAAAAAAACAAAACAAATGTCACCCAGCCTCTACCGAAGAAAATAGTCCAACGCTGTAACTACTAGACTACCATATCATTGATAAATTTGAGAAGTTCTCTTGGCTTCATGGAATATCATCTTGTGAAAATACAATTTTTGATCTTTTCGAAGTTGATACCCTGACCCATAATTTAGACCAAATCCAACAATAACAGGTACTTGTGTTTTTAGAAAAATTCATATCTTTCCAGAGAAATGATGGCTATTTTGAATTCAACTTTTTTTCTTAAGCAACATCCAACGCCAATAAGGCATTGACCAGTAGATTAAATCTGAACCATATCTCACCACTGGTGTTATTTGAGTCAACAAACACATTCATTTTACAAAACAAGGCTGCCATTTTGTATCCAGCAGTTATCTTGTAAATTCCTTCTTGAGCAGACTCCTGGGTCACTGAGGCATCATCATATATTTGAACTATATCTGGTATTTGAGTAATGAAATCTATGATTACATTTATTTACAAAATTGATGGCAATTTTCAATTGAGTGGCCATATTGAAAATTCTTCTTGAGTAGAGGTCCTTTGCCTAAATGACTGCCTATTTGGCCTATATAATTTGGATCAAATCCTACATTTAAGTTTTTGAAAAAAAATTCGTGAGAAATATCAGCCATTTTGAATTGAGAAGCCATCTTAAAAATTTTTGAATACAATCCTATGCTACTATTGTTGATGGATGGATGAACAGACAGACAGATGGATCGAGAGATCGATGGCTTCTCTACAACCCTACTGAACTTGGTTTGGTGGGAAAATAAATTAAACATGTAAATCAAATCTACCTTTGTAGTCTCCATTTACAGGTAAGTACAGGTACAGTATCCTCTGAATTGATTTACTTACATATGTTTCTGTGCCTCAACCATTCTGTGTATATCTTCTCTATCAACTATGTTGGCCAAGCTCTTCACAAATACGTCACTTCTCGATGACTGTTCTTCTTGATCCATAATGTACAATTATCCTAAAATGATGTTATATTTTTAAGTCTCATATGTATTTTGGAAAGACACAATAATATATGTTTTCAGCATAACTCTGAATGTATTAATGCGATCTGGATGTATTGGGTCTTTTTAATTTTTTTATAAAAAATTATGTACAAATTTTTTGTCCGCTCTGACGGAGCAGTTTCACAGTTCATATTTGCAACTGCTCCATCACAGCGGAGAAAAAATTAAACATTATGTTTAAAAAAATCATAAAGACCCAATACATATAAGATAAGTAAGATAAGTTTATTGTTCTTTATAGTGGTAGGTTACACAAATCAACCCAGCCCACCTGGGCTTATCAACCACTTTACAAGTTTAAACATTTTAAATTATACAATTAGTGAAATAAATATCAATCTGTGTTATACATATGGTTACGTCTTTTGACAAAGCACTCCCTTACAAAATGAGCAAATTGTCTTGTCATTTTCTCAAACAGGTACTTTAACTTTTCTACATTTGTGTCAATACATTTAAAATTGTTATCAATAAAATACCTCTGTCTAATTTCATTATAAAAATGGCAATGAAACACAAAATGTATCTCATCTTCCACACAATTTTGTTCACATAAACAGCATAATCTTTCTTCTAGTTTTTCATTCTTAAAATTAACCGTTTCTATTCTTAATGGTAAAATACCCATACGCAATTGTGCTAAAAGTGACCGTTCATATATTTCATGAATACCCTCAGAGTTATGCTGAAACTGAAAACATATGTAAATATTATCATGGCACTATATCGTGCCATTAAAAAGTTTAAAAATGGTACATTTTGGAGTATGATACTTCGGGGGCATTTCCAATAGCTTAAATCCTCCTAGCGTTATGAGACTTCAAACAGAAATGAATGTTTCCCACAAATGATATATCCATTGCATAGAGTAAGTAATTTTCTTTGATATAATGAAACATATATCATATAAATTGTGAAGTATTCATAGTGTTTTTATAAAAAATAACATGCTCCGTCACAGCGGACAAATTTTTCTATACCAGCCTGTGTGGATATTGTATTCATGTACGTTGATACATAAAATTTTAGATTCATATTAATTTCCACAAACTATAATCCTAATCTCCTTCAAGAACGTGATTATTGTCATGGTCATACCAGGCTTTAACATTACCATGGTCATGACAGGCCTTGCAACCATTGTCATGGTCATATCAGGCTTTAACATAACCACGGTTATGACAGGCCTTGCAACCATTGTCATGGTCATACCAGGCGTTAACATTACCATGGTCATGACAGGCCTTGCAACCATTGTCATGGTCATATCAGGCTTTAACATAACCACGGTTATGACAGGCCTTGCAACCATTGTCATGGTCATATCAGACTTTAACATAACCACGGTTATGACAGGCCTTGGAACCATTGTCATGGTCATATCAGGCTTTAACATAACCACCGTTATGACAGGCCTTGCAACCATTGTCACGGTCATATCAGGCTTTAACATTATCACGGTCATGACAGGCCTAATGCAACCATTGTTATGGTCATATCAGGCTTTAAAATTACGACGGTCATGACAGGACTTGCAATATAATATAGCATTGTCACGGTTATACCAGGCTTTCAGGATAACACTACCATGGTCATGGCAGAATCCTTACGAAACTTAAAAACATTTAATAACATGGTGACGGTTGTGCCAGGCATAAGTCTTGCAATAGCATGTGCTAATTTCCTGATTTTGAAGAGAAATGTTTTGATTTAAGGTCAGTGAGGCAAATTAGAAGGTGATTTCATATATGACTAGGGGAGTTGATTTTGAACTGTGAAGTGCAGACATGACTTTATTTGACAATCACCAAAAAGTTTAGTGATAGCCTAGGCTAGATTTATTTAGTTCAATGTTGTTAAACTCAATAACGGCATTCTTTACTATTAGGAATTTTCTTGGCCGTTATTGAGTTTAACCTCCTTACTATTTTTTCCTTAGTTGCAAGTTCTGGATCCATCGAAACCATTTTTCCGCGATAAAATGCAACTGATACTTGACAATAATATAAAAACACATAACATCAAGATTTTTACCTCAATATTATTGTGTTAAATGTTCATTTATACTTGTAAAATGAGGCTACACTTACCTATCTCTAAAATGACATTTCCGCATGTCCGTCATTGTGTCTGTTCATCCGGGTGTCCCAGGTTAAACTATTAGCGAAACAAAATTGTTGTCAAATACATGAAGATTGATAATTATTATCGCGATTACTTTGGATAAAAAGATCAATTTTGAGGATAACAGGTATCTTTGATCGATTTATATAGCGCATATATACACGCAAAATACTTATTAATTGTAATTTCTGATACGATTTGCAATTTCGATGTTACCAGAACTGACCAACATTTTGTTACATTCCAAACCGGTCTAAGGGGGATACCGGATGGTTTGTGTATTCATAAGGTATGTATGCATGCTTGAATCACATTCTTTATGTAATACATTGGCTTTCAACTAGAAGGGTAGGCAACTTCCCGTATTTCATACATAAGCATTGTCTTTGGGTTTTCAAAATTGGAGAATGTACCATTCCAAGAAAATCTTATTTTGTCCTTTTTATGGATGATTTAAAGAAATAACTCAAAAATGAAAACATGATTATCTCCATACATCTTGTTCATAATTTAATAAAAAATGGAATTCATCATAATTATGACAATACAGAAGGTGATTACTCTCCCACAAATTATATTTTTTATTGGAATGTGTTCATGAAGCATGGCATTGCTCATTTTTAAGGTCTCAAGTTATTACACAGAGTTGCATACCCTTCTAATTGAAAGCCCATGTGTGATATTACCATGTTTTCAGGGTTTATTAGTTCCTCTTGTCGAAATCTGCGGAACGATTAAATTAACACATCAAAGGCAAAATGATCATGGAGGTTAGACCTAGCCGGGGCCATAAGACATGTCAGATAAGAAACGAGGCCAAGGCTAGGTCTAGGCTAATGTTATTGGACTAGACTAGATCCAGAAGAAGTGAGTAGCTCCCAAAATTCTTTCATATTCTATCGTATGTGGGGATTCCCTAATACAGTGCTGATACAAATTAATTGATAAGTCGTATAGTTGGCATATTTTCTTGAATTTCAACATTTTACGTCCAAAACCAGCCCTGTCAACCCTCACGCATTAGGCGTGATTGTCACGCATTTGCTGGAAAAATATAAAACACGCATCGAATTAGCATGAATGATCAAATATCACGCAAATCATGCATTATGTTGATATTTTAAAAAATCGTTTTTTTTATGAAATGCCAATACGGTTAAATTCCGAACGGCGAAAAAAGTGAATGCATTCCGTTTTTGCACGCTATTGCCGTTTATGTCACGCATTTGGTCCGAAAAATATACATCCCCTCCGCCCCTCCGTTGATGGACTTGTAAATCACAAAAAAAAACCATTTCAACATTTGTAAGTCACTCATGTTAGATGGTCCCAAGTTGACAGCCCTGCAAAACTCCCACAAACTGCAGAAAAGTGTACGCCGTAAATCATATTTACCAAAATGAGTGTCTCCAAGGCTTCATAGCAGCATATGCATAATGCATTTGTCACGAGTTTGAGCTGTGTCATGTGATACAAACATGAGCCTTTAATTTAGTTTCATAAGTCACCGATAGGTGTCTCTAGTTGTATTGTACTTGATGACGTCACGAATAGCTTCTCAATAAAGTTGTACTTTCTCTGAGTCAATTGCTCCTGTTTTATCTATCATTACTGATCAACGGACATGGTGGCAGTGGAAACGTTATAAACATGTTGTATTGGAAGCGCCAAAGATCATTTTGACACTAAAATCGACAAGATTGATGACTGTTTTGATAGAGAAATCCGGGTGCAGATGTTGAGACTGAAAGAATAAAATTGCTGAATTTTGTCTTTCACGTGAAGACAGAAGATCTCTATTGCGCATGTGCAAGACATTGTGACTGTAAACATCCGGTCAAAAAGGAAAATTTTCACGGAGACTTAAAATATCCTGTGTGGAACATATATCCTGTGTGGAACAAATATCCTGTGTGGAGAATATATATCCTGTGTGGAACAAATATCCTGTGTGGAAATTTTGTGGAAATATTGTGTAACTATTTTGATAAAGCTATTTAGTCATTACAAACTGTGTGAGTACCGTTTGAATACATTTGATAATTGATATCTTATGTACATTTACTGTGCGACTTCATCCTGTGTGGATATTATACGTACATAAACGACAATTACTGTGTGATTACATCCTGTGTGGATATATATTATCTGATAATTGCTGTGTGAACTATATTGTATACATAGACTATGGCTAAATTTCATCCTCCAGATAAGTTTGCGTTTGATAAGCCAAACGATTGGCCTGAATGGAAAACACAATTCCTGAGATTTAGAATAGCGACAAAGCTACATAAGGAGGATAATGACGTGCAAGTGTCGGCACTGATATATGCTATGGGTCCAGATGCGGAAAAGATCTACAAGACTTTACAATTTACTGATGTTGGTCCCCAGGAGGAAGGCCAGCCTGTGCCAGATCCTCGATCGTTTGAGCGGGTTATAGAAGCGTATGATACTTACTTCATTCCGAAAATAAACCTGTTCAGTGAAGAGATCAAATTCGATAGTCGATCTCAACATGAAGGAGAGTCGGCAGAATCTTTCATTCGTGATCTATACCATTTAAGTGAAAGATGTGATTTCGATAATCGTGATAGGCGCATAAAGATTCGATTAGTGAATGGTATGCTGGACAAGAAGCTGTCTATGGAGTTACAGTTAAAAACATTATCATTAGAACAATGTATTCAGAAAATACGTCAACATGAGTTAGTGAAAAACCAAATGTCATCAGAATCAGAGTTGGATTCAGTGAAATTCAAACATAGGCCTAAGCCTAAACATCCCAAAGGGAAATCTGCTAAGAGTGATAAATGTAGCAGATGTGGAAATGATTTTCATCAAGGAGGGATAACGACTTGTCCTGCTATGGGGCGCAAATGTTTTAAGTGCCAGGGCAGAGATCATTTCGCAATGTGCTGTAGATCAACAACAAAACAAAACAGTGGTGAACAAAAACCTACACGAAACAACAAGAACAAGAAAGTACTAACAGAGGTTGTGGTAGAACCTGATACTGTTGTATATCCTGTGGACTATTGTATTGATAATGTTGATTTGAGTGATAAGGTTGACATTGAGCCTCCGTGGCGAGTTTTATTACCACTTGAAAAGAATTATGTAAATTTCAAAATAGATACTGGGGCTGATGTTTCTGTTATAGGTGTAGACCAATATAAGCAACTTAAAAACCCACCCAGTCTACGTCCAGTAACAAACATGTTATCGAGTCCAGGTGGTAAATTACATGCAAAGGGTCAGTTTGTGGCAAAGCTTACAGATCGTCAAAACATGTATATACGTGTGTATGTTGTTGATGAAAAATGTGATAATCTGCTTAGCAGAAATGCAGCACACAAACTGGGCTTGGTGGAAAGGGTTGATGTTGATAAGGTTTCAATTGAAAAGCCTAGTGTAAAAATTCCTGTAGTGGAAAATGTGAGTTCTAATTTTGAACAAATTCAAAAACTAAACTTACCTGTAGATGAAAAGGTTGCACAAGAATTATTTGGTAGTGACGGTTTGTATAAAGGTGAACCTGTAGACATAAAGTTGGTTGAAAATGCAGTACCTTACGCTGTTGCTACTCCCCACAGGGTGCAATACCCTTTGTTAAATGGTGTGAAGGAGGAGCTTGAGCGTTTGGAGACTGAAGGTAAAATACGTAAGGTCACTGAACCTACAGACTGGTGTGCTCCAATGGTACCTGTTAAACGTAAATCTGGTAAACGTCTTAGACTGTGTGGGGACTTCCGGAAATTAAATAAACAGATAAAACGTGAACGTTACATGATGCCAACAACAGACTCGGTTTTGAATAAATTGTCTGATTGTGTGGTGTTTTCAACACTAGATGCTAGTGGATGCTTTCATCAGTTCAAACTTACAGAAAATAGTCAATTGATGACAACTTTTATGACACCTTTTGGAAGGTATTGCTTTACAAGATTGCCTTATGGGGTATCTCTTGCACCAGAAATTTGTCAAAGAGAAATGTCTGAACTGATCAAAGACATACCACAGTGCGATGTGTTTATGGATGACATTATAATCGGAGGGAAAAACAAAGCGGATCACGATAAGATAGCCGCGAGAGTTTTAAATGCGATACACGGGGCCGGTTTAAAGCTCAATATTGAGAAATGTGTTTTTGAAAATCCGGAAGTTGAGTTCGTAGGACAAATTGTCGGAAAGGATGGTGTTAAAACAAATCCTAGCCGTGTAAAAGCAATATTAGAAATGGAACCTCCTACTAATGTGAGTGAACTGAGAACCTTTATTGGGGGTGTAACTTATCTTGGTAGGTTTGTGAAAAATCTTGCAACCATTCTAGGTCCACTTTATGAATTACTCAAGAATGATGTAGCGTGGAGATGGGACCAAGCTCAGATAAGATCCTTCAATGATATAAAGAAAGCTGTATCTCAAACTCCAGTATTACAGATTTATGACGTGAAGTTGCCTACTCTAGTAAGTGCGGATGCATCATCGTTCGGTATTGGCGGTGCTATTATGCAGCTCCATGATAGTGAGTGGAAGCCAGTTGCATTCGTGTCGCGTACTTTAACAGATGCGGAGAAACGATACGCGCAAATAGAAAAGGAGTGTCTAGCAGCAGTTTGGACTTGTGAAAGACTAGACCGATATTTGGTAGGTCTCGATTCGTTCAAACTTCTGTGTGATCACAAACCTTTGATACCATTATTCAATGAAAAAGACATTGACAAAGTGCCTATTAGGTGTCAACGGTTATTACTGAGATTTATGCGGTTTAACGCAGTAGCTGAACACAGAGCAGGTAAGGACTTAGTTCTGGCAGATCTTTTGTCGCGGAAACCTCTCGCCTGTGTTAACAAGAATGAGTTGAATGAGATAGATAACATAGAATCACATGTTAGCTCAGTGATGTCAGAAATACCAGTTACTTCTAACAGATTAGACAAAATTAGAGAAGCTTTAGCTCAAGATGAAGAAATGACCACAGTTATTGAGTATACACTTGAAGGGTGGCCTAAAAACTATGGTAAAATTCCTGATAACATTTCTCGGTATTTTCAAGCGCGAGCTAATTTATCTGTCGTGAACGGATTACTTTTATATGACGATAGAATCGTTATTCCCAAGGCTATGTACCGTGAAATTTTGGAAAAACTTCATGTGGGTCATTTTGGTGTGGCTAAATGCCGGGAGCGAGCTCAGTCAACTGTGTGGTGGCCAGGTATTAGTAACATGATCAAACAAATGGTTCAAAGTTGTGAACATTGTCAAATACATAAACCAACTCAGACTAAGGAACCATTAATTCCTACACAGTTGCCTGACAGGCCATGGCAAAGGTTAGCAGCAGATATGTGTCAATATGCTGCAAAACAATATTTGGTTGTAGTAGACTATTATTCCAGATTCATGGAGATATTGAATGTACCAGGTAGTGTAACTGCAAGCAAAATTATCGGAAAATTGAAATCAATTTTTGCGAGATTCGGGATTTGTGAAACGCTGGTTACGGATGGGGGTCCACAGTTCACTTCACTAGAATTCAAGCAATTTGCAAAACAACTTGGATTCAATCACGTGATCACTAGTCCTCATTTCGCGCAAGCCAATGGTATGTCAGAAAGGGCCGTGCAAGCCGCGAAGCGTATTCTTAGAACAGAAGACCCAGCACAGTCTTTGATGTCTCACCATGCTACACCAACAGTACCTACTGGTGTAAGTCCAGCAGAATTGCTTTTGGGACGTCAAATTGATACTAATATTCCTGTGTTACCCAGTAAATTATCTCCCAAAATCATAGATCATGATAAAGTGAAACATTGTGATGTAAGGGCAAAAGCTAAATATGTGAAATACTTCAATAGAGGTGCAAAGCCACTTAGTAACTTACAACCAGGGGATAGTGTAAGAATAAAGCTTGACAAAGATAAACTCTGGAGTGAACCGGGTAAAGTGATTAGTCAAGGGAAAACACCACGTTCTTACATTATAGAACATAATGGGTCAATATATAGACGTAATAGAAAACATTTGTCTAAAACAAACTGGGAACCTTTACCTCCAGATCCAGTTGTTAGTGATCCAATTTCAAGTTCAGGGTGTTCAAATCCTATAGTTACTAAGCCACATTATGAAAATGTGCCATTCATTCCAAGGGAACCTCAGCATGAAAACTCAGGTGCTACTAGTATGTCAATTCCTGTATCTGTATCAAAGCCTGTTTGTAATGTTCCAACTACAAGGGTTATACAAACTAGATCCAGAAGTGGACTTGCCATTAATAAGCCAGTAAGGTATAAAGACACTTGAGTGACATTTGTTTCATGATTAGGACTGAGTTATATTTTGTATTACATGTATATAAGCATAACATGTTAAAGAGACAGTCCTAGTATGGTCTAGTAAAAGACTTAAGGGGAAGATGTCATGTGATACAAACATGAGCCTTTAATTTAGTTTCATAAGTCACCGATAGGTGTCTCTAGTTGTATTGTACTTGATGACGTCACGAATAGCTTCTCAATAAAGTTGTACTTTCTCTGAGTCAATTGCTCCTGTTTTATCTATCATTACTGATCAACGGACAAGCTGAAATTTCACTAAAATGAAGTAGGCTAAGGGTAGTCTTTGCCAGGTTTGTTCATTGTGGTTAGCTTGTAAGTGCTCAGAAGCAAATAATTCAAGCAGAGACTACCCTTAGCCTACTTCATTTTAGCGAAATTTCAGCTCAAACTCATGACAAATGCATTATGCATACGCTGGTATGAAGCCTTGGAGACATTCATTTTGGTAAATATGATTTACAGTGTATACTTTTCTGCAGTTTGTGGGAGTTTGGGACATTAAATGTTAAAATTCAAGAAAATATGCCAATTATACGACTTATCAATTATTTTATATCAGCACTATAGACGGATGGATCTACAGTGCTCACCATAAAGAATTACAAAAGCTATGGAAATTACATGCTGTCGCACATGTAATAAATCCTTACCTCAGTGTATTCAGTGCTCTATTTTCTCCGTCCTGGTAAGTCCAAATATAGTGGAATTCGTGTCCATAATGACAAATAAGAACTTAAATTTGAAGTGGAATTCACATCTTAATGCCGACTCTTCAAATGTTGAGGTGATTTTGGAGCCGGATGGATTACGCGGCAATGTTGGCTCCCAGAATGCAACATGACACTTGTCATGCTTTCAAAATGCCATCCCGCCATTTTGAAATCTGGCACGAGGAAATAAGGTTACCTGATGTTGCATTCTGGGAGTCAATCCTCCTTGGATCACAAACATGGTGATTCATGAAAACACTCGTTCGATTTGGTAGTGATTTATCCATCATTTGCAGGTATGAAGCTTTGGATTCATTTATTGTGCTACTTAAAGTCAATGGGAATTATTTTTCTACCGCTTGGGAGAGTTTGAGACACAAAACTTAGAATTTAGCTCATTGTGACAACTTTTGAGGGTTGAGATTTATTTTTGCACCCCACTTTAGATTTATTTTGCATTTTCTCCAATTTTTGGACTGACGAGGAGCATGATCGGATCCCTATGGCCTATAGGCGTTGATCAGTATCAATAAAAAATTAAATTACCTTTATATCATGAGAATTATCCCTCAATTCACATGAATTTGAAGAAATAGGAAACCCAAATTATTTTTTGTAATTTTTATTTTTGACAAAATTCGGGAGTGTGTAATTTGCGGATACATATTCGAACTAATCATTCACTTCTCGTAACTGTAAATGAATTATACAAAGTATACACAGTCCGCAAAATTAATGTCATGGTTAGGTAAACTAATATGTGCTACACATGCTAGATGAGTTAGTTTTTCCATTGAGCTCCATTTTTATTATTCAAATCTTCAAATGCAGATTTGCAGGAGCACTATCCGCAATACACACTTTATCATAACAAAATGAATCAAAATTTTTGAGATTACTTGTCTTATTTTGTAAGTATATTTAAACTAATATACACCATTAAATATTGATCACGGCAGATATCTTTATTAGACTTATCTGACTCATACACAGACTCATATTTTCGTCACTTCTTAGCCTAGGCTCTTCATTCTTTTCAAATTACGCAATGTTGACCAATCACTCATCAGTATTTTTTTTCGAGGGATACAGTCGAGTAACTTTTTAGATGTCGAAAATCTTAGGCGAATCTCTCCCGAACACTGTGGTATGTTGCACTAGTCTTGGATACTAATCGTTAATAAGATACAGGGTAAAATTTACTTCCTGCGAAAGCTATTTGGATTTTGATATAATAGCTTTCCCACGGAGCATTTGGACAGCTCAATGATCGTGACCTTTGAAATCGAATTAAGTCGATCCGCGGCTTACTTTTGGTCTCTAATTGTGTCTTACATCAGTATCATCAATCCGTGTAAGTATTGGAGCGCTGGAGTACTTCTTTTTCGATCAAGACTTGTAATTGTTACACGAGTGAATCGTTTTACTGCCAAATTCCAATATGGCGGTTTCTGCTCGGACATTTTCGTAAATCTCCGTAGGTTGTCCGAACCCAACTAATTCTCAAAATTCATTTTGTTCGTTGCGTATCTCGCACCTAGCAAACGGCCATATTGGAAATGGGTCTGTAAAACTTTAACTCGATGAACAATTTACAAGTCTTGATCGAAAAAGAAGTACTCCAGCGCTCAAATACTTACACGGATTGATGATACTGATGTAAGAGACAGTTAGAGACCAAAAGTAAGCCGCGGATCGACTTAATTCAATTTCAAAGGTCACTATTGATCAGCTATTCACTTCTCCGTTTGAGAGCCATAAGTTTCAAAATCTAACATGGCTCTCGAAGTGAGTAAGGTAAAATGTTATAATGGCCACCTCATATGGGAAACTCTACTGTAGTCTCCAACCGCGGCCTCCTCTGCCGAAGGCAGCGCAAAGTAGGAGCGTAGCGACTACTTTGCGGGAGAGCTCGAACCATTGATCACGTTTGCTCCTGTAATTATTCACTTCTTTACCTCCTTAAAATGTGATTTCAATCAGTTGATCAAATTTTCGGACGTTGACCTCAAATTCAAATATTAATGGACGAGAGTAAATCCTATACGGCATATGGTATATTATTGATGTTTGACCAATCAGATTTCAGCATTTGGTTCAGCCCTTGTCAGAGAAATATTTTGTGATTGGTCAAACATCAATAATATATCATATGCCGCATAGGATTTACTCTTGTCCAAATATTAATATTTATAAAAAAAAATACTGACTTCTTATTATATTTTTAAAAGTCTCAAATAAAGTGAAATGAAGCCAAAATCAGCTAAAATTATGCAATGTCGTAAAATGGCGTGACTGGAATATGATGCAATCACCTGTGACGTCAGACATTCCAATTGATGAAATATTCTCATTACGATTTTTAGAATATCACCTAAACTTTTTTTACTCCAGAATTAACGTTTTCATTAAGGCACGGTGGTCCACATGCCATGTCTTCTAGCCAAGTAATTTGGCTAGATACTTGAGAAAGTATTAGCATTGAATACATAAGGGTTATGTACTGGGAGGTTTTGGATACAGGGTTTATCCCAAGGGAAATATGTATATATCCCGAGGGACCGAGGGATATACACATTTATCCCATACTTGGATGTGTTACAGGTTAGTCGATTTCTGGAATACCAAAAGTCAAGTGTAGCAATTTTTCAATTTACGTTTGTTGTTTTTCACCACTTTTTTTTGTTAAGCGTTGTATTGTTAAGATGGTGCTGGTCGTATCTTCAGAATGGATTGGCTTTTTAAATGTAGAACGATGTGAAACACAGATATAACAACAACAACCCAGTACCTTTTTTAATCCTTGATTCGCGCCTTGTTTTGCATGTTTGTCGGCTCGAACAACCTTTATATGTACAGTAATGAATGATCCTTGAGCCCTTGGAATCACATGTCTTCTTGATTTGTTTATAAATCAATTTTACTCTTGTAGATACACTTGTTGGGATGGAGCGATCGGTAAGACGTAAGGCTTTGAGCCTAATGTCCAAACCCAGACATATTGAGTTCAAATCTCGAGTGGATGACATGCATTTTTATTTATTTTTTGGTTGCCAATGCCAAAAGCTGAGACTAGCATAAATGTTATGTTAGTCTCAGCCAATAGCGATGTGGTTTGAATCCCTAGCATGCGACACATGTTTTTTTATCCCGAGCAGGTGACATTAGGTGAGACCAGGTGAGTTATATAAGGGTGCCTGGGCCTCTAGAAAGTAAAAGAGGAGCTGGACGTATAACAGGCCTGTCAACTGTCCCGCAATTTGCGTATTTGTCACGCATTTGCTGAAGAATTTGAAGTCACGCCAGTTTTTTTGGCGTGACAGAAAATGTCACGCAAATACGCATTTTACCTGGTAGTGGTAATTGTCAAGCAAAAATATTTCTGTAGAAAATTTTTCAAAATATGTTTACGATACGGTAAAAATACGACTGTCCGAAAAAAAAACGAACGCAATTTGTTCGGATTTGTTACGCAAATCCCGTATATGTCATGCATGTTAATTGGAAATTTTCGTACCTACCCCCCCTCCCTTTGGCCAAAGGTGTTTAAAAGTTGGCCAAAGGTGTTGAAAATTTGTACAAAAGTGTTCAGATTTGGACTTAGGTGTCCAACATTTGTAAGTCACTCATATTAGGTGGTCTCAAGTTGACAGCCCTGGTATAAGGTTCTGTAGACCAGTTTACCATTGACATAGACATAGACCAATAATTGCAATATTTTTTCCAGATGACAAAACATGTCTGTTGAAAAACCAAACATCAGTAGGTCTATCTAACAAGGGAACATGGATCAAATTGACAGCCTGGAGGATTGGGTAGCCATAAAAGACAATCCATTTTACGTTGACAAGGATGCAGAGACTCAGAAACTTGGATTCATTGTGGCTTGGAATGAAGTCCACCAAAAAGTTGCATTGACTTGTAGAAAAACTCATCGCAGCGCACTTGACATTGATTCTGAAGGCTGGTCTGGGCTCTACTCATTAAATCAGCTACAATACATACATGAGCAACTTGCTTTAGTACATCCAATTCTAGGCAGCTATTTTCCTGAGATACCACAAGACATTGATGGCCTTTGGGCATATTTTGGTCAGCAACAACTTGAAGTTGATGATGATCTGCTCAATCGGATACAAAACTACCTCAGAATAGCTGTTGACATTTGCGGGCGAAATTTGGTCATTTCTACCCTCTTTGAAGAAAATACAATTGAGGATTATTATGAAAATGTCAGTGAGCTTAAACGGCGTAAATATGAAGACAGTGTCAGAAATGCTGAAGAAGAGCTTCGTAGTGTTCTATTTCTTCGTGACACTACAGTTAACATGCTTGATATGGTAGATGTGTATGATCAAGAAGATCAAGCTGTATTCAAGCTTAACATTACCCTTGCCGAACTCTTCAACTACCAGCTTCGGCCATTTGTAGACTTACGTGAAGCAGCCATCAATAAACTTAAAGAAGCAAAAGCTAAAATTCAAGATCCAGGTATTGGTGAGAGGATTAAGACTGAGTATGCATTGCAACTAAGTGAGTGGCAGAATCATTATTCAGATGCTGTTGACATGATACAAGAGCTCTATATGAAATACTATGGGAAAACAGTAGGAGTTCTTAAAGGAATGAGTGAGAGGATGAAAGCTGACTCTCTTAGGTTTGGACAGAGGTCATTTGAGGCTGTTGGACAAGACAGATTAAAAAGGTAAGGCAGAATAAGGTTTATGTATAAAATGAACATTGAACAAACAATAAACAATATCTGATAATTCCAACATTGGGACCCTCACATTTAAGGATTTAAGCCTTGGACTCAGTGAGTCGTTTGCTGAACCAATCCACGAAGATGTGGTTTCCAAATCTTTGCATGACCCCGCAGGGAATTGCAAAGTTTAGGAAACAACATCTGAGTGGAATGAAGCAGCCACAATGCATTGAGTCTTGGTCTTAAATGCAAAATCAGTGCTTCAACTTTTGAAAATGAAAATTCAAGCAAATCAAAAATAATTGGAGTGTTACGTAGGAAATTGTTGATAGTTTGTCCACATGAAATTTCATGATGATTCAATAAAGGGAAAGTGTCCAAAACAAGTTTTAAAGTTTGTGACTAATAAGTGTGTGGGGTTCTAAAGTTTATTTGGAGTAAAATATGAATTCGGCTAAATAGTCAGTTTTCCATTATTTTGATACATGATATTCATTGGTATGAATTGATAAGCAACTCATAAAATAAAAGCACCAACTAAATTTTAAATAACTTAGGGCTGTTGTCTCTTCCCATACTTTACATCTATATATTTGAATTGATGGGAACATCTATCATGGGAGAACATCCATCATCACATTCTCATGTGTTGAATTTTCTAAACACCCTTACACATCACTCAGGGTATGAATTGATTGCACGCTGAGGATTCAATGATATTTAAATTCTACCATCTACAATTACAATTGTTAGAAATTAAAAAGATATGGTTTTGTGTAATGATTTTTCGTACAACAGCTTTGGTATAATGCTTTTTCGTTACAATGTGTGTCGGTTTTCAGTAAGAGAGTAAGCCAAAGGATTTCAATGAAAAATAAATGCACAATGCTACGATTGAGGTTAATATGCCATATTTTTTATCATTTATTATTTTGTATTTTGTTTTACAGTATTTGTTTTGTAATTTTCTGCTTTCTCTGTGTAGAATCGAGGAAGAGAAAATGATGGAAGTCATACAGAAACACGAGGCCAAGAAACGCTGGACTGAACATCAACGGGACAAAGTGAAACAGAAGGTGAACTAAATGCATTTTGGATATAATATTAAAGGGCTCTGTCTTGCCTAAAGACTGAAGTGAACTTCTTAATAGGATAGTTTCTAAATAGCAGAAGAATCAATGAAATCTCGTGCTGCCATCTTTTATTCAGCTTTTAACTCGGGCTAGAGCTCCATTCATTTACATGCTAAAATCTTGGAAAAGTGGCTTAATTTCATGATTTATCAAAGTGTGTTTGTTGAATCTGTATAAAACTTGAATGAAGTACCACATGATGACCCTGTTTATGTACATGATGTGATTAAACATGCAAATGTTGATTGACATACAAATAATCCACGGATTTAAAGAATTTTAGCATTGCATCTATGGACATTTGGCCCAAGTTTTTTTAAATTGTTATAGAAAATTATTCAAATTACATAACTGTGTAAATCAAAGCCATTAAGGAGAAAACATTTCACTGAATTCAAATATGCCATTTAAAAGAAGGTAATGTAAGTCATTAGAGGTCTAATATGCAAGTCTCTTAAAATCTCACGAAAAACGAGATTTAGCGAGATTTGAAAAGCTATATGGAAACATCATCTTTATGTTTCAGATAGCCACACTTGAGCCTAGTAATGATTTAGAAAAGACAAGCCTGACTGCCCTCGATCTAGAACAACAAGTCTATGGCTGGCAAGTGAAGGTTTATGACATGGAGCTATTAATTCTTAACACGTACGAAAAAATGGCAAAGCTCCAAATCACTTCACTAAAATCAGCAACTGGTTAGTGGATTTACTTGATGGCTTTTGCACTGTACTGTATAAATTGTTGTTAATTTGGCCCAGCCTTAAAAATTGGAAAAATTAAATATTCACCAAAATCACAAGGAATAAAAAATTAATGGTAGAAATTGTACATTTTATATGGACATTGATATATAAATATGTTCTTTGTGTCAGCTGTAATGTTTGAAGATATTGCTTATCTGAAAGTTAGGACCTTTTTTGTAAGGTCAATTATAATTAATTAAAGTCACCTTTAATTAAAGTCACCTTTAACCCTTACTCTCCTGATTTAAAATTAAATTGGTGAATGTGTCTAGCTTTGTTGATTTCAAATTTTAAGATCTGATTGAAATTTTTTTGATATGTCTTCATCTATGTTGATGTGTTTTTATAACTATTCTGCTACTAGTATGTCTAAAATTTGATTTATCATGTCACACCACGACAACTTTTTTGGATGGTGTACAGCACTTTACAGTTGGCATTCAGCTTCAGTGAACAATGTAACAAAAGGCGGGTGGTGACAGTTTGCATGTTAATGCCTTGTTTAATACTATTATTTGCAGAGAAAGAAGATGGTTGTTTCTATGATGCTGTGGAAGACATTGATGATATGAGTTCTGATGAAGATGACAGAAAACCTGATGAGCCAATCAGCTTGCTTCAAACTGATCTACAGAGTCTGTACAGTAAACGAGCTTCACTTCGCAATATACGGGTAAGACCCAGCACTAATGGGTATCCATTAATTATACCTGAGTGGATTGTACAGACAGTAATCAAAGAAGGCATAACCATGTCAAATTTATGTAATGGAGTTTCTCACTGTACAAAAAAGAAATTTTGTAAAAATTAGCGCTTGATACATTGTAGATTTTGTTTTGACATTCATAGATTCATTAGGTTCAAAAAGAAGTTGGAGAAGAGCAGATGTTGAAGAATGAAAAAACTTTTGTAGTAATTGTGTGTTTTCAGAAACGATTTGTCAAAAAACATGAGGTCAAAGTTGAAAAGAAAAGAGAGCGAGAGGAAAAAATAAAAGAACAAGAAAGAGCAGAAATTGTAAGTACAACTGTATGTGCAACATGTATTGATCATCAGTACATTTGATTATCTCATCGAACGAAGTTCAAGGGGGATATAGAGAAGCTGTCCATCCTTCTGTCCATTTGTTTGTTCATCTGATGGGGGATAAGTCAAATACTGGTTGATAGATCAAGTTAAAATTTTATAGGCTTATGCCTTATGGGTGCAGGACTTCTGCTCAAGAAGGAATTTTCAATATGGCTGCTCAATTGAGGTTCTTTTCGTATAGCTTTGAAATCTCGTTAAAGTCTTATTTTTGATTGGATTTTAGGAGATCTGTTTTTTTAACCACTAAAAACCAAAATTTTCTTCTTTTTGATGGCATATTTGAATTCTAGATGTTATTTTCTATTTAACAACTTTGATTGCACACCTTTATTCAAATTTCCTGGATTTTCAAGTTTTCTGAAAAAGGTCGGACTAAATCTCTTTCGAGGGTCATAATTTTAATGTTAAATCATAATCCACATATCAACAAGATCACATAATTACATGCCAATTGAGTTTCACATGAATCCAAATGGAAATATCAAGAAATTAAAGAATTTTCTGCTAGTTCTCTGTATACTTGTAATGGGATCCACGCATTATACCGAAACCTATTATACCAATGCGCATTATACCGAAACCCATTATACCAATGCGCATTATACTGAAACCCATTATATTGATGCGCATTGTACAGAAAGGCGTTATACCGAATGCCATAATACCGACTGAATTGTAAATTTTTCCAGAGATAGAAAAGCCGCCGGTTCGTTTGTCTGTTTGTCCGTCTATTTATTCGGAAAACAACTCAATAGTTTATAGGAATATGCCTAATGGCCAGAGGACGTCTGATTTAGAACAATCTTCAAAAATGGAAATTAAATGTAATACATTGTGTAATAGATGATGAAATATTTTCGCGAACTGACAACATCACATACATTTTTACATATCTATATTGATATGCTTAAAAAGAGACTTTTAAAATGGCCATTGAATTTCAAAATGGAAACCATTTTTTGTAAAAAACATAAGCTTTGTTAATTCAAATACCATCGGACAGATTTTGTCAAACTTTATTTGCTGATGCTGAATTTCAAAAAGTTTGATAACCCCAATCCATCTGATGGATTTGGTTCAAATTCTATATGCCAAGCCTAGAGATAAAGGAGGTCTGCCAAAGAAATTTACAAGATGGTTGACTATTAATCAAAATGGCGCCATTTGTCATTAAAAATATAATCTTTGAATACCAGATTCCTTGGGACAAGGGAGCTTTGCTCGTGAAGAAATTGACAAGAAAATGTGAAAATGTCAGATTGAAGTCAAAGGTACTGTTCTATTTCAGCAACACACTGAAGATGCCAAAAAACAGGAAGAGAGAGAGAAGTTTATAAAAGAAGAGAGGAGAAAAACAATTGAAAGGCTTCGTAGATATAAAATGGTGAGTTATTTTTTTTCGAAGGGATATAAAGAGAAGCCGTCGGTCTGTCAGTCCATTTGTCCAGGCAATAACTTAAAGGGACATTCCTTGCCAGACCATTTCTATCCTGATATGATAGCTATAATCATATATATACTTTCCATATTCAGCAAAACATGAGGAAATGTTTTAATATAGTCAATTTTGATCATTTAAAAATGTGGTGCTCTTTTCCAGTAAGCTGCCATCTTTTAGATTTCACTCAGAAAGTGATGTCATCGACTCTCAACTTTCATAACCTTGACTATAACAGTATAGGCAAGTAGCACAAAATATCTAATAGACAAGAGGTCCTTACTTTATGTGCAAAAATATTTTCAGAGTTTGTCGGCTTAGAATAAAAGCAGAAACTTTTAGAAGGATTAAATCATAGACAAAATTGAAAAAGAATATTCAGCTGGTTTTGCAATTCTTAATAGCTCCTTACCTAGTGCTATATGCAAGGTTGAGAGTCGATGACATTACTTCCTGAGTGAGATCTTAAAAGATGGCAGCTTACTGGAATTGAGCACTACATTTTTAAGTGATCAATATTGACCATATCAAAACATTTTTCCATGTCTTCCTAAACATCACCCCATGCAGACAGATCGCCTAAAATTACATTCGTATGATGCGAGACCCGACATTTTTAAAAGGGTCTTTTGAGCAAAACTTGTGCTCGCATGAGGCATATAAATCTGCAAGAATTTGACTCAAAATAGTGTCCTAGAATCTGCAAGAATTTGACTCAAAATAGTGTCCCAGAACCTATGGCATGGGGGTGCCATAGCCTATGCCATAGGGTTTGCCATGGCACCATGCCATGTTTTGTACTTACTTGATTGAAAATCTTATATCCTTTCAGAAATATCCGTCAGGGCGCAGTATACGGCCTGCTTTCCGCAAACCCAAGAGGAAAGTGGCTAGCGAGGACCAGATGGATGGAGACAATTCAGTAGACTATGCTCCTCAGAGCCTTCTCCCTACATCATTGCCTCCAGATCCCACAGGAGCTGCACCCCCTCCCCAAGGCCCTATGTGTAAAATCCCCCCACCTCCTCCTCCCCAAGGCCCTATGGGTAAAGTTCCCCCACCTCCACCTCCTCCTCCTCCAGGGTTACCCCCTCCTCCACCCCCATTACCCCCTAGAGGCCTCCCTCCTCCTCCACCCAGACTTACTACCTCTCCCATGGGAACCCCACACCCACAATTAAACCCACCCAAATTTAACACAAGCAATAAAAAAGTTACATCTGATACAGGCCCTCTTGACCTGACAAATATTGTAGATGCCAAGAATAGACTTAAAGGCTTGAACAAGAGTGATCATCCACAGCAGCCACGAGGTAAGTAGACATAGAATTCCCAGATTTCTGAAATATACACATGTAAATGCGATTGATAGATTTACTAATTAAGTACTGTACTCCCAGTAATTTTTGCACTATATTTTGCGCTTTTTGCGCGTTTCAGAAAATTCAGAAAATATGACAGCAGCGAATTCCTACAGTTCTAATTAGCGAAATTTGATAGTCGCGAAATTGTAAGGAAATTCCAGGGGATGTTGACAATATTTTCGTCCAGTGCTGGGCGATAATTGGTAAAAACGTGACATTTCGGGTTTTGAAAAGGAGAAATTGCTGATAGCGAAGTCAAAAGAGTGATCTTATATGTCAAATCCGTGAAATAAATAGAAAATTTGCGAAATATAATACCCCTGAAATTTCAAAATGCCCATGCAAAACTCGAAATATAATAGAGTCAAATATTAGTGGGAATACAGTAAATTACTACATTTTTATTACATAGTTTCATTTTTCAAATTGGATGGGCAGATATCACAAATTAATTTGTTCATATGTTTCCAGTAGAACCCTTTGACAGGTTGACTGATTAGTTTTTTGGCATTTTGAGTAAGTACTATGGTCGCCATCTTGAATCTTGTCTTTAAAGTCTTGATTATGCATTTCCAGGTAAACAGTTTGACAGATTAATTTTTAGGCATGTTACTTTGTATGAAAATCTAAAACTGATTAATCTTTGGATATTCTGGGTGAATGTTTAGGCAGCCAATTTGGATTTTCCATTCTAAAATCTTGTCTGTAGTCTTGTCTAGATTGTTTTAGGCAAAATGTTTGATGGATTGATCTGAAATTTTAGGGATGTTTCGTGGTATGAAAGCCTGATTAGTCTTGGGCATTTTGGGTAGTTTTTAAGGCAGTGATTTGGATTTACCATCCTTCTCGTCTTTTGTCTTATCGATGCTTTGCATTGCATGGAAGTCCAGGAACTGATTTAGGTTTTGGGCATTCTGGGTAAATGTTAAACCTGCACATCGCTCCAAAACGCAATATGTTGACATATATTGTTTTTACATTTTCAAGCTCTAATATAAAGTTTATGTAAATAAAAATTGTTTTTTTCTGCGTAATATCAAAGAACAATTATTTAGTTAAAAAAATAAAAAGGCAGGTGCGGGATTCGAACACGGGCCTCCTGCGTGCTAAGCGAGGGTTCTACCCCTACACCACCGAGTTCTAGTGAAGAGTTGGAGTAATTAAACGCTACTTATTTTGGATGCTATGTAATGATTCGGAAGTGACGTCACGTTCTTCATTTAGAAACCTTTCCAAAATCATATCGCCGGCACCGATCGAAGCAAATTCAATGAAAAATCTTTGAAATGACACATTTATCGTAAGTATTTCTACACAAGATTTGCCCCATTTGTTCATCATTCTATAATCTTTCATTAAGCTCAAAATGATAAAGTTCACCCCCGAAACAACCCAAGATTGCGTTTCGGAGGGAAGTCCAGCTTTAAGGTGGCCTTTTTGGATATTCCGTCATTAAATATTTTCTGAAGTCTTTCTACAGGTTTCAAGCCAAAGTTGTGGATTGATCTGAAATTGTGAGGGATATATATTTTAGAATTATTTTTTTGTCATTCCAAGTACATGTTAAGGCAGCGATTTTGGACTTCAAGGGTGCAATACTGTTCTCCCTTTGTCTTGTTCTCTTTACATCATACTTTTAATATATCAAAAGGAATGCTGTGTAACATTAGATCACATATATTGTTTCATTTGTGGCATTTCCTGTATGATAACATATTCAACAAAATGAGAATATTTGGAAATAAAATATGGTAGCCCATAATGATTTTGAGAACTAGATCTTGTTCTTTGGTTTCTGCAAATCTGTGGATTTGCCATTTTTATGTCAGCATCAGAAGTGGCAACATATTGTTATAGTCTCCAACTTTTTTGCAGTCGGCGGTTGGTGTTCGGTGTCTGTAACAAATGGCAAATGGCATTATTATTCCAATTTGAGGTCCAATTGTAGGGATCCTTAAACATAATTCTTTACTTGCTTCTCTGCTTCAGTTGTGAGCCCAATGTCTGATGTATTTGACCTGATAAAACAGGGAGTGAAGCTACGTAAAGTTGACAGCACAAGTCATCCAAGCAGCTTGCAGTCCATCAGTTCACATACCCAGGTCCTTCAGGTAAACAAACTCAATTTTTTAAACAATATGGTTTTCATGATATCAGCTCTGTATAGTAGCCATTGAGAGGGTATATACAATTATTGTCCCACCTCTTGAAGCTAATGTTGTATGCCTTTACAGTAAACATCTCATTTGTCATAGAGTGTATGTTGTCCCCATTGAAGGTAATGCTGTAGCCTGTTTTGTAAACATTATGTTTGTACTATATCAGATACATTCCTGTATTTTTCAGGATGTGTTACGAAGGATACAAAGGCAGACATCTCCTGAAGAAGATTCATCAGATGAAAACAGTGATTTTGATGATTAACTTCAATGGATTAAACAATATGAAGTGTGGCTAATATATCTATAGGTTCTCTCCCAGAATGCAATCTTGATATGTTGTTATTGTCTGACATATAAGTTGGCAATGAATTCATGATCAGCAATCCAAAAGAATTTAGCTAATATCTTGATCACTTCATCTGTTTCGAAATTTTTTCTTGTAATGTAATAAGGTCAAAACTCGCGATTAAAAATCTGAAGTGAAAAATGGCTACTTTTGTAAACAAAACATCCTTCTTGACTTGGCTTATTAAATTTGTTTAATACTCGAGGCTTAGTATTGTCACCTGACGAAACGAAATAATATTGAGATTGCATTCTGGGAGCCGATCCTCCTTGCCTATAGATATAGCCTCTATTAGGACATGTATGTTGAATAGAATGAACTAACTTATACTGACGGTATTATTAATCATTGCCTTATAGATGTCCAATAAATGAAGAAAATTTAAAGCTACCATCTTACAAGATAAAGCTTTCATTTGATTGGCTCGATTATTCTAAGTTTTTGGGCAGAAGCTGAATTATTCAAGGTGTCCAAAAAGTGTAACGACCTGAGGGCTAAATCCAATGCCTGTTTCGGAACCAAACCCAGGACCTTCCAGTTCAGAGTCTGATACATTATCCCTGAGCCTTCAATACTATAGTCAACATAGCTGAGCTGTAGTATCAAGTAGCAATCCAGCGTCGTAACATCAGTATAAATACTATGCATGCATCCCAGTGTGGATAAACTACAGTGGCGTAGCGTGGCAATTTTACTAGGGGACGCAAAATTCCAAAATTGGGATGGGGGGGGGGTTTAACCGATACGCATTCATTTCCACTTGAAATTAGTACTCATTATAAGTCTTGTAGAAATTCAAGCAAAAATATTTAATGTATCGTTAAGAATGAATGGAGAAATCTAGCTAATTTATTTAGGATCCAGGAAGTGCAACCATTGTGTACTTAATACGGGGAGGTCATATGGATTATATAAGAGTATTCACGAAATCATGAGAGTATAATTTGAAAGAATCATTAATGACATGTCGGGACTAAAATAAACACCTAATTTCTATGGTTGAACCCTGTTCAAAGATACGAAATGATAAGGTTGAACAATGGCTTTGCTTATTAAAACTTGAGAAATTTAGAATTTCCAAATATTCAGATAAACATTGGATTGTTCCAGTGGACGCATTTGCGTACTTTGCGTAAACGACGCTACGCCACTGACTATCAAAATAAAATCTCCCCCCAGACTATTTACAATACTTTGTAGATGTTAACTTATTTAGTGGATATGAAGCAAATGGCCCATTTTGAACATGGTGAAAACTGAAAAGTATGTTGTCCCTCAGCTACGCCAGGAAATTTTGTATGAATATTGTACAAAAAAACTAGACTAGAAATAAAATGTTCTGAATAACATGGAAATTCTCCTGCAACACTGAGTTTAATGTTGACAGGTTCTGTTTTGTGTTCAGTCAATGAGAAGTGTCAAGTAAATGATTTGACTGTCTCTGTTTTGCCCTGTTAACATTTGCTTGTTGATAAGGCTTTGGTACAGGGCCATGGATTATAGTTTCTATCCCTCTTAACTTTGACCAATATATTTATAGATAAAGCTAAATAGTGAGGACATATGTTAATAAAGAGAAAGAACTGACTAGTACTGATGGACCTTCGCATAACGTAGAACATGTCCGATGAAAGAAGGAAATTAAACTGAAATGGCCATCTTAAAGCGCTTCCAGCTGACCAGGATCAAGTATTTCAAAGTTTTCAAATGGATAAATTAAAAAGTTTTCCAGACAAACTGCTTGACAGATTGATTTTGAGTTATTGGGCAAGATTTTAAATAAAGTGAAAAAAGTTTGGAAACTGAAGGTTCTACACATAATAACAATTACACCAGTTTTGAAACATTGACGAATTGAAAAATGTCAATTTTTTAAATGTTTCAAGATCAAATTTTAACTTGCTTCAAACCGAACAAATACTCACAGAAAATCATCTTCAATTTGCCAGGAGGTATATCTGGCCTTGGATTTCAGATTTGACCTTTGTAACAACTTTCAAAAGGTCAAACAGGGCCTCCATAAGATTGCTTGAGGTGTTAATTGCTGGAATTACACCAGAAAAACCGCTAAAAGCGGTTTAGTGGAAAGCGCCATCCCGAATACACCAACAATTCTAAAGCGCCTTAGGAATTTTATTTTGGAATTACACCTGTCATTTTTAAAACGCCGTTCATGCATTTTTAACAATGTAGATACGAGAATATCCAGCAGATGTGTACATCTACAAGAAATGTATTCTTTTAGCATCTAAGAGAAAACGTAACTGAGACTTGTGCCAGTGATGTAAACTTACTTTCAATTTTTGCGATACGATTTGATGACCTATTGCATCTTTTTGCTCCCATCCATCATTTCCTGTATTTTTGCGGTGCCCCAAATGTGTAGCATCCGAAATACGTCTTATTTCGTTTCAGGCAAATGATAAGAACCCGGGTAAGGCATTTTACAAAAACCGATCAGTATTGCATTACACTCCAAAAGCGCCTAATGATTTAAGGTGTTTTCTAGTGACTAGGGTTCTAGGAGTTTTGGAAAAGCGCTTTTGTAAAACCGCAATCGTGATAACATCTATTTTTCAAACCGGGTTAAAACCATAGGCGCCTTTCTAAAACGCATGGTGTAATTCCAGCAAATGTCTATAAATGATTGTGGTCATGGTGTTTTTCAATAGTCATGTATTTTCTGAGAATTCAAGATTGTTTTGTCCCAGCATGTAGTTAGTCTGTTAGTACAAAGCGTGATGTCTCGAGAAGCACTTATGCATTATAAATGAAAATGCATCAGGAACTTGATGTCTGACTATAGCCATGATAGCAGGGACAATACAGTATGTGATTGAGTTCCTTTGGCTTCCTCGATGGATGCGTTCACCTAAAATTCAATACACCAACTTCAAATTGGCTATAGCCTGTTAGCTATATAACTATATAGATGAGCTTATGAAAGGCCCCATGCAAAGGATAGGTATTGATATGGTGAACTGAATTCAACAATGTTTTTCTCCTAAACCAATTAATTATTGAAACATTCTTTAAAAAACATGATCAAATAGACGCATTATCTTGAAGTTGTGGCAGGTTTAGTGCCAATGCATAACAAAGCGACAGTGGGGTTATTCAACAAAGCCATAATAAAATTATATTGTCACAAATTGGCCAAGATACACGGCAAAATGCACAAGAAACTCACCTCTTTACGATAATTCCAAAAAGTTTGAGCAATCCGTAATTTGTTTTCACAAATTCGAAGCATAAAGTCGGTTAATTTTCACTCCTCTCTCGAAAAACAGTAGAATAACTCTCACGTTCATTCAAAGATGGCGCCACGCTTCTTACCCCGTCAGACAAATCCCGGGACCACCGTGAAAATAGATAAAAATTAAGATAAACCTTTTATTTCATTAACAAGATACTTTTTTAAAATCAACCAAACTTTCCGTTGTACAAATACAATATTGAGAGACCTAAAAACGTTGTGTTTATGTCGTTTTGTACGAGATTCGGATAGATGTTTCATTTCATTCAAAACATATGATACCAAAAACAAAAGTGTCTGATGTGTTTTCTAAAACAATATAGATAAAAGCATATTTTTTTCAAATTATATTGTTACCATTCAAAAGATGACCATTAAATTGACGATGTGTAAAATTTTCAGAATTTTTTGATGACTAGTTTAAGAGAGACTTGTTCAAAAAGTTCACCATATCGATACCAATCCTTTTGAAAATATAGTTTTAATCATTTAAATATTACTTTTCATGACTATTTGAGACGTCTGTTTGATAAAAGTTAATCTTGCGTATAATTTTTAAATATTTGAATTTTCTCCCATTTTAGAAACAAAAGATTAAGATTAGATTTTTAGATCATCAAATAGATAGATGGGAGAACGGCTTCTCTTAATATCCCTCACTTGGTGAGATAAACTTAACAGATATGTATACATGACATAAAAACAATATGGATATGTCAATGAAAGTTTAGTTTTGTGTCTTTAATTGCCATAAAATGTGATGTTTAATGAACAGGCTTCAAATCTGATATTTTTTATAAAATCATCACACTCTTCATCATGTACAGCTAAGATTTTAAACAGAAAGTAAAATAGTTAAAATATAAATTTGCAAATATACAGATACAGTGTTCATGTACATGCAAATGGTTTTCCTCTCAAGTCACTTCTTGCAAGACAAATCAACTAATCGTGGCTATCAGTCTTTTGTATTTATATTGTATGCTCTTGTATCAATTAGATTATTAAGTAAGGGTTTCAAGTGGATGTGTGAACTTTTACCGATCATCGATTAATCGACCAACACATGTTTAACCGATTATGATTCTTAATTCTTGATTAACTGCAATCACAAAAAGTTCAATATCCTGCCACAAATACATTGCATCATTGACTGATTGAGAGCTGAAAGTTGCTAAGCTCAGCCTCAAACTGCCAAACAATACATGTACATTCATATTGTACACAAATGACATTAGACTAGAAAATTGTCGAGAAATAAGTTGTGTCAGATGATTGACCTATCAAAATATTTTGGTGATCGATAACCTGATATACCATCGGATCACATCACTAGTTTCAAGTGGTACATTCTTTCACTTTGGCTTTATTCTATATCTTTTTTTCTCTATCTTTTCATGAAATCATGCACATGTTTTCTTTATGACATAAAATCAGTGAAATTAGTCTAAATGAAACATACAAGATCATGCTATTTCTCAGTCACTTATTTTTTAAATAATAGCAAATATCCAATTGCAAATATATTTCTTTAAAAATGTAAATCAAGCAGGATGAGAATATATCACTTTCCATTGACAAGTGTTTCTTTCTCAGAGTTATTGTTCTTTTTCTTAAAACTTTTCTGCAGTACGAAGGCATCTGCTGGCTCTATTCGTTTGTAATAGTTTGTCTTTCTTTCAACCACCTCAAAGCCAAACTTTTCGTAGAATGCTTTGGCACCATCATTGTTCACTTGTACATGGCTGGAAGATGAAAGATATTGATTAAATTTGTTTAGGCACAACCAAATTAAACATCTTTTATTTTGACTCTAATTTCAATGCATCTTAACATGAAAATTATCTTGTTGGGAAAATCCAGAAATATTTGAAGCCAATGAAATTTGACAGCTAAATATTGTTACATACAACTGATACATTACATTTCAATTAGTACATGTATATAATAATTGTACAATAAAATATTCAAAATTTTGTTCAAATAAAATGTTTGAGAAGATCATAATATTATCATTCATTTCATTTTCTACTAATATAAAAAATTATTTGCCCTTACTCCTGGAGCACCCTGTATGGACAATTAGACTTTTATTTATTTGAACTAGGTATCAGCATATAAAATTTGAACCAAATCTGTCCATTGGTATTTGAGTAATAAAGATTATGCTTTTTTCTGAAAAATGATGGCCATTTTGAAATTCAGCTTCCATCTTGAAAATTTATTCTTGAGTAAAGCTCCTTTGTCCCAAGATAATAGCATATAAAATTTGAACCCAATCTGCCAAATCTGTCATCTGTCAATTACATCATGGATTCCATTTTAAATGACAAATGGTGGTAATTTTGATACATAGTGGCCATCTTGAAAATTTCTTCTTGAGCAGACCTCCCTCTCTAAGCATCAGCATATAAATTTGAATCAAATCTGTCCACTGGTATTTGAGTTTTTTTTAACAAAAAAATGGCAACCATTTTGAAATTCAGCTGCCATCTTGAAAATTCCTTCTCGAGCAGAGAATGATGTTTGTACATCAACTTATGAAATTTGAACCATATATGTCCACTGGTATTTGAGTTATCAAAGATTACATTTTTAAGAAATATGGCAGCCATTTTCCCTTGTCTCTAGGCATCATATAAAATTTGAGCCAAATCCGTTGACTAGTATTTTAGTTATCAAGGATTATATTTTTTGTGAAAAATGGCGGTCATTTTGAATTGAGTGGCCATATTGAAAATTCCTTCTTGAGCAGAGCTTGTACACCCATAAGACATATGGATGGATGGATTCTCTATATCCCCCTCAAAGGGGACATGCCATTAAGAGGCCATTCTCTGACTTAGTCATTTTTTCAAAAGTGTGAAAATAAAAAAATTCATGAAAAGTTCTTAAAATATTCTGAATAACAAGTTGAATATATATATTTAATGATGGCACAAGCAAAAGTCTGAAAATTAACATGAAATGAAGGGTTTTGACAGATGCAAAAGATGGTAGATTTGTGATGAAGAAATAGAGGTTTTTGCAGTAACAACACAATTACCTCGAAGTTATCCGTTATGAGAGGCTGAGGACTAAACTTGACATAATTTTCAATCTCAGATTATCAGTAGTATCTAACTTAAGCCGGACAGCCACTCAAAATGTATATGGGGCCCATAAGATTCATTTTTCTCAATTGAAGTCACTATTTCTGTTTTTAGCTTCAGAGGATAGGAGGTACATGAACATGCTAAGTTTACCTAGATCACAAGCCTTACCACAAATATAAAGTATATAGGAATAGAGTTCATATGTGTGAAAACCTTTAACTTCCCATTTTATTGGGGATGGAACTTGTGGACCATGTGTATTTCTAACTTCTTCACATGTGCATGGATCTAAAATTGTGGCAGCCATCTTGGATTTGTCATATTATGTGGACATGGTTTTGGTTGTGCTGAATTTGTTTCAAAATAACATTTCTTGTATACCTTCGATAAGTGAGATAGGCATTTGAAATTAAATACAGATAGTATACTTGACATTTAATGCAGTAAACAGTAATACAATTCATTCTTACATAATAAGTGAGTCCAGACAAAAAGTTGTTATTGTGTTAGTTTAACTGGGCATAAATTACACTCATTGGCCTTGGTTTTCTTAATTGGCTTGGATAAAATGTTGTTCTGTTTATTCAGAAAAGGAGTATAGTTCAATATACAAGTTCACATTCGTTCCATCCTCTTGTAGAAATGAATCTCATATTATTTCATCTCAAATATAGAACACAAAAATATTATATTTTCTATCGTTTTGAAGTATGAATGAGATTGAAAATAATTTTCTGATCATTTTGTTAGCAGTTGCTGAAATAGAACGAGGTTAGATTGTGAGTGTAAAGTAGTAGCCAATAGAAAAGTAGTATTTTGAACAAAGGGTAGTATGAAACTAAGGTAGTCATTCTCGGCTTTTTGCCTACACGAGTAACACCTAAATTTCACACGTTTTTAACAATATTCACTATCAAATATGGATATGCAACAGTTAGAACAATTATTGGATAGAAAAATGGACAATCTCAAAAGAGAATTGACGGCGGAAAACAAATCGTTTGTGAAGAAGCTCAAAAGTGACGAACATTCGTTCAAACACAAGGCGCATCGTGTACAGTATGAGCATAACATGGGCGTTAAAGATTCTATATCAACGGCCATGGAGCAGATTAGCAACAACTCGCCAGAAGAAGCAATGGCATCACTAACATCAGGTATGTCAGCTATAGATCATAGAAATAAGCTAATTAAAATCGCCGATGATAGCGAAACAGGCTGGGCAGCCGTAGAAAAGTATGAAAAGAAAGCCATCGCAAGTGATAGCGATGATGATAAAAAGATTAGAAGGGCTCAATCAATTTCATTTAGAAATGTTTCCAAAAAACGTAGAAATAGATTAAACCAAAAAAGGTCAAGTTTCAGAGGCAGCACCGACTCAAGACAACCAGAAGAAGGCACCAGCAGCGGTCAGCAAGCCAAATACAGCAAAACCAGTGGCAATGGTCAGCAAAACCAAAGGAGTGGGCGTTCACGAGAGAACGATATCTGCCGTGCCTGCGGAGGCAAAGGTCACTGGGCCTACGAGTGTTATTCCACATACATGGAAAAACAGCAGAACACTAGCCAAGGAAAGCAGTAAGAAGGGTACGTTGTCAGATTGTGTTATTGCTCCAGAGTCAAAACATGTTAAAGACAGTTTGAAAAGACACATCGAATTTTGGTCACAAGAAATCAATGCGCATAGTTATGTAAAAAGCATTATTTCAAAAGGTTATGTTATTCCCTTTTTATCAGAACCAGACAAAGCAGAACTAAAAAATAATGCTTCTGCTATTAGAAATTCAGATTTTGTAACAGATGCTATTCAAGAATTGCTATGTGATGGAAAAATTGTAGAAACAGAATTTCCACCTCATGTTGTCAATCCACTGACGGTCGCAGAGAGTTCAGCGGGTAAGCGAAGGTTAGTACTAGACCTTAGACACATCAATCCCTATATTATAAGAGACAAGGTTAAGTTCGAAGACCTTAAGGTAGCTAGAGAGTATTTCAAGAAAGATGCTTATATGTTTTCATTTGATATTAAAAGTGGATACCATCATATATCTATTGCACAGGTACATCAGAAATATCTAGGGTTCAAGTGGCAAGTAGGTGAGAATACGAAATACAAGTATTATATGTTTACAGTGTTACCGTTTGGTATATCAACAGGAGGTCTTGTATTTACAAAGATTGTGAAGCCTCTTGTCACAAGATGGAGGAGCAAAGGTATGAGTATAGTAGCATTCCTCGATGATGCCCTTTGTGTGTGTGAAACACTTGAAGAAGCGGTGGATCAGTCGCATCAAGTAAGGTCAGATTTGATATCAAGTGGTTTTATACCAAATGACGAAAAGTCAATATGGGAACCAACTCAAAATATCAAATGGTTAGGTTTTCAGATTGATTTGAAACAGTTCACTATATCTATTCCTGAAACCAAACGTCTCAAAATAATGCAGGATGTACATGCGCTGTGTAGCAATAGACAAAATACTACAGCAAGAGAGGTAGCAAGGGTTGTAGGTAAGATTGTTTCTTTGCAACCTGCAATAGGTAATATTTGTTATCTTATGACAAAACATTTACAAATTGTCGTGGCCAGCAGGTCAGGCTGGGATGTAAGTATAGACCTATCTGTAGGTGCCAGGCAAGAAATACTGTTCTGGAGAGACAATTTGCCACACATGAAAGGTGAGAAAATAGAACAATCACAAGTATGTACTAAATTAGTTTATTCAGACGCATCTGGGAACGCCTGTGGTGGGTACGTCGTAGAATATGAGACAGAAAAAGCTCATTATACATTTTCCGATTCTGAGAAAACAAACAGCTCAACCTGGAGAGAACTCAAAGGAGTACAGGTAGTAATACAATCTTTGAAACATAGAATCCAAAATCAAAGAGTCATGTGGTCGACAGATAATCAGAACATTGTAAATATTATCAGAAAAGGTAGCATGAAACTAGATTTACAGTATTTAGCATTAGCTATCTTTATGCTATGTAAGCAGTTCAACGTCAGGTTGTCAGTTCAGTGGATTCCAAGAGAGAATAATGTCATAGCCGATGAAATAAGTCGCATAGTTGAGACAGAAGATTGGAAAATTGCCAAATGGGTATTTACATGGCTGGACCAGCTATGGGGTAAGCATACAGTAGACAGGTTTGCTTCTAGCAAAAACAATCAGGTAAACCGATTCAACTCAGAATATTGGTGCCCAGGTACAGAGGCAGTAGATGCATTTTCTGCGAGTTGGAAAGACGAAAATAACTGGCTAGTACCACCAATAAAATTGGTTTGCAAAGCAGTGAAATATGCATGTTTTCAGAGAGCAAGAAGTACATTAATTGTTCCGAAGTGGAACAGCGCGGCATATTGGCCATTGTTGCATAACGGTATCGGGTACCGAGAATTTATCACACAGGTGATTGAGATTCCTATGGGGACAAATGTATATATAGAAGGTTCACAGAAAGATTCTGTTCTAGATAGCAAATTTCACGGTATAACTTTAGCATTGAAGTTATTTTGATGAAAAAATTAATGTAAATGAATCGCAGGGTTCGTCAGCCAACAAGGTTCTGGTATAGAATGCATATATTTGCCTTGTAATGTAATATGTTTCAGGTGTATTCGACGAAATAACGAAGACAGAGCAATGATCAGAATTACAAAAGGACATTACAGAACCAAAGCTTCAAATCCTCTTCGATGAACTGCCACGCCAACTATTAAAGTCCAAGGAGGATTCTACGGTCAGATCTTATACTGCTAATTTCAGTAATTTTAAAAAATGGTGTAACACATTTGAAAATGTAAAATATTTACCAGCAAAAACTATTCACGTAGCATTGTATTTACTCAGCTTGATTCAAAATGCAGTGACAGTTAGTATAGTGAACAATGCAAAATACGCCATAGCATGGGCACATGAAACGGCATGTTTACCAAATCCATGCGATAACATAATGATAAATAAACTAATAGAATCAGCTAAAAGATCTCTTGGTCAAGGGACAGTCAAAAAACAACCAATTACTCCAGAAATGTTAGAAAAAATTGTAGACAATTCGGACAATTCATACATTAACCTTAAATCATTAAGAACAATTACTTTCATGATATTAGCGTATGCAGGTTTCTTCAGATATGATGACATTTCTAGGCTAAGATCAAAGGACATACAATTCAAACAAACACATATAGATATATTTGTAGAAAAATCTAAGACAGATGTATATAGAAACGGTAACAGTGTTATTATTGCAAAAACTTGTAACAAGCTCTGTCCATATACATGGTTACAAAGGTATTTCGAAATGGCAAAAATCAAACAAGATTCAGAAGAATATATATTTAGAGCATTGACATGCAAGTCAAATGGTTATGTTCTTAGAAACACAAACTCAAAACTGAGCTATTCGGCTTGCAGGGCTATGGTAATAAATGCCATCAAAAACATAGGTTTTGACTCGGAAAAGTTTGGTACTCATAGTTTGAGAGCTGGAGGGGCTACGGCAGCCGCCCGGTTTGGTATACCTGATAGAGTATTCAAGTCACATGGTCGATGGAAATCAGAATGTGCAAAAGACGGATATGTAGAAAGTCATTTAAAAGAAAGAATGTCAGTAACTTTAAACTTAGGGATTTAATCACATATACATCAGCATACTTTTAATTCTCGGCATACGCAGCCATTGCTAAATAAATGATTATTTTGTTCAGTTTGTAAGAGCAAGTGCGGGGAATGATAAGAAATTATATTTTCTATCGTTTTGAAGTATGAATGAGATTGAAAATAATTTTCTGATCATTTTGTTAGCAGTTGCTGAAATAGAACGAGGTTAGATTGTGAGTGTAAAGTAGTAGCCAATAGAAAAGTAGTATTTTGAACAAAGGGTAGTATGAAACTAAGGTAGTCATTCTCGGCTTTTTGCCTACATGAGTAACACCTAAATTTCAGCCACAAAAATTGTACAATAGTTAAAATTAATAAAGATGTTATACATTTTAAAATAGAATATACGAAATGGCTCTTATATCATAAAATAACACGTTTATAGTTTATTTTCAGAGAACATGGCCTTCAGGGGCAGCACAAAGAACAAACCATTCTGGACAGTAATGCCTTATGGGTTATAGACGAAGCCTTCTGGGGCTGTATCTTGGACTGTATTATAAAGCCTTCTGGGGCTGAGCCTTCTGGGGCTGTATCAGATGAAGCCTTCTGGGGCTGAGCCTTCTGGGGCTGTATCATACGAAGCCTTCTGGGGCTGCACCAATGAACATTATTCAGGTTTTATAAATAGTTTAACGGGAGTGAAAGTTGACACCCCGGGTTAACACGTCTTTCTGCCAAGTTCTAAATCCCACGCTCTGTTTTACAGAGTGACTCTGCTTCATTCAGGCGGGTGAACCACCTGCATGTTTCCCTATAAAGGGTTTTTTCAGGTTGGTAGGCCGAAGTTGAGTCAGAGGCATTTCAGACGTTAACACGGTCTCTGGGACCACATAGCTAACCACGATATAACCAAAATTTCATTGTACCCACATAGACATCAATAAACGTTACTCTCGGCATACGCAGCCATTGCGGCATACGCAGCCATTGCTAAATAAATGATTATTTTGTTCAGTTTGTAAGAGCAAGTGCGGGGAATGATAAGAAATAATAAAAAACAAGTTTCTATTAATTGCAAAAGTTAGCTTCTATGTCATGACTGAGTTTGGGTTCCGCTTCTAGGGAAAAAATATCTATCTGGAAATATCGTATTGACCATTGCTATACACTCCATATTTAATCCTCCCAGTAAATAACATTGATATACAGTATACAATTATATATGACATTGAGGATCTGGGGTTTGGGTAATGTGAGACATGAGGCCACTTGTCTTTTTGAATCTCATATTCAATATTCTTTCTTTAAACCCTCATGTTTAATATTTTTGGAGTGGTAATTCAATTATGTACCTATTTTTTATTCTTTATCCCATAGTTGAACTCTGTTCCGCTCTGTTAGGTAACATGAAAACATATTTATGATATTTTGCAAATGCGTGGAAAAAGTGATATCTGTGGAACACGGAAAATATTTCACAGATATCACCTTTTGGCAGGGATTTGAAAACTACCACCAATATGATGTGTTTTGTTACATAGTGATTTCATGACATCACAGGGATGAATGAATGAATGAATGGATGTTGTTTTGATATGCTTTGTTTAGTTTTAGAGGTGAACTATGAGAAAAATAGAACATCCTATGAATTTTCGTGATATTGTGTTCATCCAACTCATTGATATCAATATCTGCGCTAATTCGCTATGCTAACTTGGCAAGATATTGATATCAACTCGGAGATAAAGATAAAATCATTTAAAATCATATGATATCCTATACATATCCTTTACTGTGACACAACTTTCTCATATGTTATATATTTTGAAGCAGACCATCATTTATTTTCCTTGAATTCATGCTTTTGTTCCTCGTTTTAGAAATGAGAGGAAATCTTTGATTTTCCTTGTATTTAAGTTGCTTAAATGTTGCCTTGTGATGTTGATAAAAGTCAATAGTACTCCATTACAGTCACAGTTGAAATGTACCCATTGCTAGCCCAGAACCTACCAAAATAGCATTTGCATTTTGTCAATATTGCCCTATGTGCTTTTCCATGAAAATAATTTTAATCGTATCTTTTCTTCAGTATTTCATATATTACATTTTAATATATTTAAATTGGTTAATATTTATATACTATTTACTTAGACAACAATAAATAAAGAATTTTTTGTAAAAACACCAAAAATGGTATATGATCTTTAAATGACTGTTGTGTGAACATCAAAGGTCAAAATTCGCTGAAATTGTATTTTTATAAAGCACAAATGATTTTTCTTCAATATGATATGCATTATTATCAGATATCTTTGGGGGCTAAAACGGGCCCTTAATGACACCCGTCCTTTCGTTCGGTGGGATAACTATTACTACCCCCAGACCAGAATGGGCGGTTATGAAAAGTTGATAAGTTTTCCGAAATGAACCAAGAAAGGGAATTAAGAGTTCTGCTTGAAAGAAAACATTTGCATCTTTCCACTCATTTTTGGCAAATCATAGAATGAAATAAGCTAAGCTACTTACAGATAAACATTATCAAAGTTGCCATCATTTTCACAGATCTTTAAAACATGTTCAACCATCACTGAACCTGAAACAAATATTTTACAGATTGAGATTCTATGTAAATATACAAGTGTTACATAAAGATGTTCTGTAATTATATACAGGGCGTTCATAAAGTTCTTGCAAAAGTGTTTCTCAGTCAATCTGGCTGATATTTTCACTCAGTATACCTACACTATTCCTACATTGAGATCCAAAGTTATAATCAATAGGCCATTGAAGAGAAAAAGTTATGGTTGCTATAGTCACACGAATCGGGGGTAGGCGGAGCAGGCAAAAAGAGATGTTTTGTTTGAATGTTCAAATTTTTTTTACCCTGTCCTGTTTACTTCAATAACAGTATCTCAAAGAGGATAGGTATTCAAAATAGTGTCCACCATGGTTTATACACCTCTGCTGTCTTACTAACCATTCCGCAAACAGATGGCAGGACCCATTTGGAAAGTTTCCTGCGATTGATATTTGTATGGATGGCGTTTATCAACGTCATCTGATCCTCACTGGATTTGTTCTTGGACGGCCTGATCTAGCATTATCCTTACCATTTGTTCTACCATCAGTTAATGTCTTAGTCCCCTTTGTCAATGATTCATTTGGCCATAGCCTACTTCCCATACCCCTTATGAATATCTTCAAGTGTTTGTTTTCTTGATTTTCCCAGTAAAACATACATCCTGATGCTACTGAATATTTGTAATTGTAAATCATCATTTTTTCTGATTTTGCAGCCATTTTCACAAAAATAAAGCTGACGCTGCCTTTCACAAAGCCCGATGTCATCAACCAACATAGGTCACTATGATGCCATCAGTGATGTCATGAATCAAAGAAATTTCAACAAAAATGTCATCATATGACATCATCTAGTGCTGACATGTCAACATTAGCTTATTTTTTATTTTCGAAGATACTTTAAAGTATGTTAAAGTTACCTCTAACCCATATCTTTTGTCTAAATTTTTCTTTTTTTCAATGCTGCTCCACCTACCCCCGACTAGTGTTACTATAGCAATCATAACTTTTTCTTAACCCTTTCCCGACGTGAATATAAAAGGAAAATGTTGGCCCTGGTGACGGATAAGTAAGAGCGGTTTTTAGGGAAAAACTGCAAATAACCTATGCCCCAGGACCTTGAATTCTATCACTGAAATAAAATTTTGAGTAAGGATTATCACATTAGAACAACTTGTCAAGAATTGATGTAAAAATACTGAATAGAACTGGAGATATTGTCATTTCATTGATGTATACGAATAAAAATAATGGTGCCAAAAGGAGCCTATCGTCCTGAAAGGTATTACATAATAGGGCTCCATATGGAGCCTATCGTCGTGAAAGGGTTAAAGGACCTATTCATTATAATTCAAGATTCAAATGTATGAATAGTGTAGGTATACTGAGTGCAAATTTCAGCCAGATTGATTGAGAAACAAAAAAATTGGACTACTTTTGCAAGAACTTTATATATATAGATTAAAACCTGTATTCCATAATCTGAACACCTATCAATAATGAATACTTTTCCAAAAATGTTGAGCTTGTTTAAAATATGTATCATTGAAAACCAGCAATATAACTATCAATGGCATTTCACACGATGATGTGTAGTCTATGCAACGGACTAAGTAAACACTGTAACTGAACGATTATTTATGTGAGAAAACTACATGCATTTGTATTGGGTAACTGTTGCGTACAGGATGACATATTGATTTTATATGCATTGCTTAAAGTCTCAATTATCTATCGTAAATTCCTTGATGCATTAAACATTGTAAAAATGATTGCATTTTGAGGAAAAAATGAGGTCAACATCTTTGGAAAAATGTGTTGATGGGTAGATTGCTAGCTAAATATCTCAGAGTCTGATCAACTTTATTATCATTGTATATACTTTTCTTTGAAATAATGACTTGATCTAAAATATCTACCTGTCTTCACGGTGAGAAAATAGTCATAATCCAAGATACAGGGTGATCACTAAGTTCTGGGAATTTATCTGTCATATCTACTTGAAATTTTCAAGGTAAATGGAGAATGTAATTTTGGGTTGGATAAAATAGTCCCATTGTCATATGATGTCACAATAGATAATTGTTGTTACTATAGCAACACGATGAATGGCGTAGCAGGTCAAGCAAAACTTAAAATCATTTTATGGTTAATTAAAACCTATTTGGTGGACAAATTTCTGTGATTTTTTATGTTTTCAAATATTTCTAACTTTAGTTTCTAAAGTAAAATCTGTATTGTGATTTTAAAGTGTACTTTTCTTATCATTGGTCAGACTCTCAAAGGCACAATCATGACTCAATTTTGTGATCTTGCATTAAGACTATGCTTCTTCCCACTCCTCAAATTGCCCATACTACTGTTGAAGAATTAGGGATCACACAAGCTGTTCATGCCCCACATTTACCATATAATGTTCACCATGAACCACCATTATGTTCACTAAATTTGACTATTGAAGCATCATATGAGAGATCATCATAAGTTTGGTTCTGATGAGGGACTGATCTCACCAGCTTGAGCAAATTTTCAAGGGATACCAAAGATAAAACTGGATTGAACTGGGAAAGCGTCTTTATGGACTAGGTTTGACAACAATGCATGTACGTCCAGGCCTATGGAAATCATTACAAATAAAATGATCCTCCAAGCAATGAAGAATACTTCTGAATAAATGACTTCAAGAGTACTGTTCTACCTCTAGTACAATAAGTTTGAACCAACCATCTAGGCAAGATGAATATGTTTTAGTAGGAAATTTTCAAATAAATGCAGTCAAAATTCACTGACCCGCGGACCACTTTTACTTTTTTTACAATTACAATAAAATAAATTGTAAAAGTCATATGTATATGGAACATTGTCTGTCAATTCAGAATTATGCAATCTACATTTGCTGGAAGTTTCAACTCAATTGGTTAAAAAATATTGAAATGACAGACCAATTCCCAGAACTTAGTGATCACCCTGTATAACATTCTGAAATTGATTGTGATAATCTACTTGAACCTTTCTTCCCTCGAACTTCGTTTGGTGGGATAATTATACTGAATATTACTCATCTAGCCTATGTGTGATTTATTTCTTAGATGTGTGGCTATGTATACTTACCTATACCAAGCCTTCTGTAAGGTGATAAACAGCCTAACGTCATAATATATAGCCTTCGTTGGTTTTCTGATTTATCCTCACGACAACATACAGCTCCCACTACTAAGTCATTAAAATATGCTAGCTTTGCAAGATCACCCACTTCAAGGACATCTTTGTAGAATTTATCATTATAAGTTACTGGGAACACTACTTGGTTGAGACGCTTCAGCTGCTTTATATTATGTACTGTGATGTCACCAAGTTCTGTACGACCTCTGCAAGATAAATTATGTAAAACTGAATGCTATTCTAAATTTTTTCTTCAAGGCAGTAGTATATGGCTGTCAGCTAGGGCATTTTAAAAGTATCATAGATATTTATCCAGTATTTGGATCTATATTTCTGGAGTCTTGTGTATACTTTTTCTGTTGTTGAATTTCTGTCAAGACAGCAGTTGAAATGGAATTTACTGAAGTCTTTCGCAAATTTATGACATTTGGTCACTTCACTTCTATTACCCCCATAAATGCGGGGTTGATTTTTCACTACCATGTTTTTTGGTAAGTTTAAAAATAAATTGAAATCTTTAACGGGCGAGATCTAAATCCAAGATGGCCTACGCCGGAAATATGAATTATTGGCAATGGTCGAAATAACCCCATGGTCGAAGAGACCCCATGTCAAAGTTCGACGCATCTCCCACAGTCTAGACTCTAGTCCATAGCCCGAGGGAAAAGTATTGGTAATCTTTCAAAATTTGATATCAATCGTAGAAAAAGAAAAAAATGAAAAAAAACTGAATTGACTCTATTTTTCTTTTTATGGGAGCCATTTTTGTTTCAGACTATTTTCTAAAATTTCAAAGATTGTTTCATTTAGAGCAATATATTGAGCACATTTTCAGAAAAATGCAAAATATTCTGTTCAGTGACCTTTCCTAAGCTCCTACTTTTAGCTATTTTTCAGTCACATTTTCAGAGGGCTGTTACGTATCATAACTTCCGGAAATGACAAGCCAGTAGGAACATTTTTGGGAATTTTTACAGTTCGTTTACATTTCTTGTATAACTGTTGATCAGACAAAAAGATAAGCTGATGTAGTTACATTGGAGTTCGTTTACTACCATTCGGAAGGCACGCGAGGGTCCTATTCATCAGGTAACACTCATATGTCTAAGTTAAGTTCTTGCCTTTTTTAACACGTAACAAGGAGTCACTACAGTAGTTGTTTTTTTGCAGTATTATCAAGAGTTTGGGTAAAGATTTGAAATATCATGAATGACGTTTCAGAAACACTTTGAAGAAGATTCTGGAGAGATTTGTAATACGATTCGAGTAAGGAGAACTCGTACTGAAATGGCAAGTTTTTGAAAAAAATTCAGTCGGGGATGTCAACCTGTTTCTTAGATAAGCTTAGGCCTAAGATCACTTTTCCTGGGGCTGTGCCTTGTGAGCAATAGACTAAGACTTTCGACATCTAAAAAGTCACTTGACTTTTTTGCAAAAAACCTTCCAAAAAGTAACAGTCCCATGAATTCACCTTGTCGTACTTACAAAATGATCCACCGCCTAACTTATGCACCATCGAACTCGGTAATATTTTACACGTAACTATTAATTACTGTATATTCCCATAGAAAACTGGGCTTGCTTTTCAACATTTCAAGCGAAAATTCTCTACGGAGCTTTTGTTTTTCTGACGTAATTTCTTCTAAGAAATCGGTGACGTGATAGGTTCAGTTCATCTTATTTCGAAAGGGATGTCATCTATTTAGAATATTTATTTTCATTTTGTCCAGTCCTATATACAGGCCTGTCAACTGTCCCGCAATTTGCGTATTTGTCACGCATTTGCTGAAGAATTTGAAGTCACGCCAGTTATTTTTGCGTGACAGAAAATGTCACGCAAATACGCATTTTACCTGGTAATTGTCAAGCAAAAATATTTCTGTAGAAAAATTTCTAAAAAAGATCGTCTGCACAGCAAAAATACAAACGCCGGAAAAAAATGTACGCAATTCGTTCGGACTTTTCACGCGAATTACGTATATGTCACGCATTCCGTTCGAAAATTTTCGTACCTCCCTCCCCCCCCCCCCCCCCGTTGATGGATGTTTGAAACGCGAGCGTAGCGAGCGCGAAAAATTTGAGGTGTTCAAAATTTGGCAAGATGTAATAATATGGAAACCAAGGTGTTCAAAATTTGGATAAAGGTGTTCAGATTTGGACCAAAGTGTCCACATTTTGAGGGGAGGTGTTCAACATTTCCAAGTCACTCATGTTAGGTGTTCCCAAGTTGACAGGCCTGTATATACAACCTGCCCTATCCTTTTCGCTTGTAAAACCGCGTAGTAATGTTGAAGTTATGGAATAGATTCTCTGAGAGTGGCGACATGTCTGCATCTCTACCATCTTGCGTTTGACACCCCTCGTTTTGGGTGAGTCCAAGTAAACCGCACATCCGGGTGATTAGAAAAGGGACATTTTTTTTAAAAATCGAGCGGCAACAAAGATACTTCTGGTCAAACTGAGTTTATGACGAAACTTATGAAAAAATCAATAAAAGGTAAGTGGTATACTTTAGGCAGATGCCAAAAATTAAACGTGTCGCCAATTTGAAACTTCAGAACTGAGAATGCTTTCTGCAGGCCTGTCAACTGTCCCGCAATTTGCGTATTTGTCACGCATTTGCTGAAGAATTTGAAGTCACGCCAGTTATTTTTGCGTGACAGAAAATGTCACGCAAATACGCATTTTACCTGGTAAGTGTCAAGCAAAAATATTTCTGTAGAAAAATTTCTAAAAAAGATCGTCTACACAGCAAAAATACGAACGCCGGAAAAAAATGTACGCATTTCGTTCGAACTTTTCACGCGAATTACGTATATGTCACGCATTCCGTTCGAAATTTTTCGTACCTCCCCCCCCCCCCCCCCCCGTTGACGGATGTTTGAAACGTGAGCGTAGCGAGCGCGAAAAATTTGAGGTGTTCAAAATTTGGCAAGATGTAATAAAATTTAAACCAAGGTGTTCAAAATTTGGATCAAGGTGTCCAGATTTGGACCAAGGTGTCCACATTTTAAGGGGAGGTGTACAACATTTCCAAGTCACTCATGTTAGGTGTTCCCAAGTTGACAGGCCTGTTTCTGTGATTCAAAATCACAAAAAAGTCGAGTGACTTTTTAGATGTCGAAAATCTTAATGTGAATGGCTCTCAGATCTTCTTTCATATCGCTTTTTCACAACAAACCTGTAAAATCATGATAAATAGATAGTAAAACAAATCATACTTAGTCATTCTGTTGATATTGCCTAAAGAAACAAATATTTTGATTTTTCTAAAATTCTCCCTCCATGCAGATTAATTCTCAACTGAGACGGTTTAGCAGAAACGAATCAAATATTTTCAAAATTCTATTTACAATGAATTTACCACTTAGATTTTATAATTTAAAATTATCAATGCGTAAGACATAATTTGAATTAAATAATATATGTACATATTAGATAATTGGAATCATATATATGTATTTTCGTTTACTATTCATTACAAATAGTTGAGAATCTAGAGACACAGTAGTGTAAATTGCAGATAACAATATCAGGAAATCGACCAAAATAAGAATAATCATCAATAATCAGCTAGACTACTATATTTTCAGTTAAAAACATGTAATCATGTCATATCAGTCATCATGTGCTTATGTGTTTTTCGACTTATTATCAATCAAAGAAATAGTAATATAAGAATGAATATTCCATTTCAGCTACTCTAAATTTACACCTTGCTGTCACATGACCAAAAGTAATCATCCAAAATGGTAAGAAATTATTTCTCTCTTATTTTACTGCTTTACCAGGAAAGTACGTTATCAGAACGTGTCAAATCTGATATATTTACGTGTCGTATATGTTTAGTTCACAATATCTTGAACATCCTTATGAAATGAATCTGTGAGTCTAGAAATGTGTATCTTTCACTTTGGGGATCTGCCCACAAAAATCAATAGATCAGATACAGTCTAAAAGTTACAGTGCTGATACAAATTGATTGATAAGTCCTATAGTTGGCATTTTCTTGAATTTGAACATTTATGTCCCAAACTCCCCCAAACTGCAGAAAAATATTCACTGTAAATCATATTTACCAAAATGAGTGTTTCCAACACAGTCAGAGAGAATGTTTCTGGCGAAATTCTGGGACTTCAAATACTTTTAAGTTGGGAAACCGGAAGTGCTTACCTTTTTTAATTCCCGAATCTCTCCGAAATTAGCTCATCTTGTAAATTGCACAGCTGTATTCAATGGAGTCTTGTCATATTCGATCAGCCTCAATTTTAAAGTGTATATTTTATTTTCAACGTGATTTCATCGTTTTTTGTCGACTGGTAAGAAAACGCCGATGGATGACTTTTGACCTGACCTTGACCGATGGTGATCACGTCATCAATATTACTAAGATGGCGGTTTCAAAATTTTCTAAAATCGCTTCAAATAATATTATGTTAATTCCTAGCGAGTAAAGATATCTCTTAGTTTGCTATTTCACAATAAGATAACGAAATGTGTAAGGAATTCGTATTTATCAATTAAAACATCACATCGACATTTGGTATTCGTAAACTAGACGATGAAGATAACGACCTCGAAAAAAAACAAAAGAGCGAGTACGGGATTCGAACCCGGGCCTCCAGCGTGCTAAGCGAGGATTCTCCCCCTAGACCACCGATATATTACATATGGTATTGGGATTTTAACGCTACTTATTTTGAATGCTATGATTCGGAAGTGACGTCACGTTCTTCACGTTTTGTTTGAGAGCGAGAACGAGACGTGCCAGAAGCCCGGCTTTTTTGTCAGTCGACCTGTTCAAAGTACATTTAGTTATAATTATCGCTTTCCAGAACAATTTAGGAAACAATATTTTCTATCTACGTCGATTACAAAGCATCTAAGGTACGTAAATTTATATGAACAACTGAGTCAATAGGGATAAATAGCCCAACGAGAGTCGGCGGTCTTAAAAAATACTTGGATCTGGATGCCAGTCCTGGTATAAATATAGTTCCAGGGCAATTCGAAGAACGTATTAGATGTCCGTGGTTTCCAAGGCTTCATACCAGCGTACGCATAATACATTGTCACGAGTTTGAGCTGAAATTTCACCAAAGTGAAGTAATGGTAATCTCCGCCAGGTTTGTTTATTGTGGTTAGCTTTTGATTAATTTGTTATTTGTGCATTCTATTTATCAGATAAGAGTCTCAGGGGTGTATACCTGTAGGTTACCTTCTTCTAAAGCCACTGTATCGTGGCCTTCCAGTAAAGATATATTCCTGCATGAGCAACTGGTCATGTCGTAATCATAAAATTTGAAATCATATGTCCGCCATTTTTCCACATCACAATTTGAATTGCGAGTTTTGTTCTTATTACTTTACCAAAAATTCCAAAACACACATAAAGTGATCAGTGTATTAGTTCACATCTTCTGGATCGCTAACTTAGAATTTACAGCCAGTTACTAATGTCAGACGTTAACGATATTTCGTCCAGTTTTCGAACATCGTCATTTTTCTTGGAGCCATTTTGTTTTAATTTTAGACGAAATCATGTCATATCTCATCAAGGAGCCGAGCGGGGTCTGTTTTGATTTATGACACCACGGCCAGCTTTTTTCAAATGGAGTTCACAGTATTCCAGATGAAATCCCCTCTAGCCAAGTATTGGCTAGAGACTCGAGTAACCTGTAGGCAAATCCATTTTGGTAGGAGCACTCTGTTTAGTTTGAAAACTCAACCTTTATTCTTTTGTATCAGCATTATAGATCAGTCTTCTCTTAGACCTAGGCTAGCCTTTTTCAGCTAGCATTAAGAAAAGCAATCAGCTGACTTAGAAAAATAAGAGTTACAATCAAATTTTTTATTCTGTCAATCAGTTCATATGGTTAGAATAAGGAAAGAATGTGATGTAACCACGTGTCTACTTACCGGCTTGTTCTATGTCATCCATCGGACTAGGTTACATCGTGGAACGCAGCCGAACAAGACACTGAAGGCAACAGCATATCTATCTTGATCTTAGCCGAATTTTTGGAAATTTAGATCGTCCATTTTGCAAGCTCACGTGACTGACACGTGACACATATCTGATCACGTGACTAGTTACTGTATCGATCATGTGACTTAATCACGTGTCAATGACGTGTCACCCAATCATCTCTTCAAGGAAAACGGAAGTAAATATTTTTGAAAATGTTTTCCGAGCATTTGCTACTGATTATAGAAGGCCCAATTACGCAACGAACGTAACTGCTAAATTGTTTTCGTGCCTAACATGCGCAGTACGCAATGAAAGAAACTGCTAAATTGTATTTTTAGAGCTGTTTAATGATCTATTGATTCATAAAGACCTGTAATGATGCATTCAAATAAGACCGCCTCCTAAATGAAAACAGTACACATAAGGTGGTGAAAAAACAACGAACTAAAGTTGAAAGATCGCAACGTTCGCTACTTTGTTCAATTCCGGAAATCTCCAAGGGGCTGCAAATGGGAAATTATTTAGATTTAGATTTTATAACCTCAGAATACTGGCTTCATTGTCGTGTTTGGCTGCGTTCCACGATGTAACCTAGTCCGATGGATGACATAGAACAAGCCGGTAAGTAGACACGTGGTTACATCACATTCTTTCCTTATTCTAACCATATGAACTGATTGACAGAATAAAAAATTTGATTGTACCTCAAACATTGGACCTTCATGTGCCTTCTAGATCAATGGCATAGCCAAGATTTAGTGACCAGGGGTTCTATTTTTTATATTTTTCACAACCCCCCCCCCCCCCTTCCTTTATTAAGGTTCTTCACATAAACGCATTTTTGTATTTATACATACAATTTACACTCCTTCCAAAAGTTGGACAGCCCTAACTCCCCCATTGGATTACATGTTAAACAGGCCTCTTTACATGTATGTTTGAATTCGTATTTTCATAATATATAAAGAAGAAACTATTAAAAATTAATATCTTTCTTTATATTCAAAAAAGTTATATGTTTCCAAAGTGATAATGTTCAAGAAACCTCTCCAGTTGGAATAACACAGGAGGTGAAAAATCATTTTCAATAATGACTTTGAAGCTCTGTAGCTTTAATGTTTACAAAGTAAACTAAACACTTAGCATGCTAAAAGGTTAGACCATTTGATTTTCTATATAAAACTATTTTTGTGAATCCTTTTTCTGAACAGATATCCTACAATCTGATTTGCCCCGAACCCAATGGTTTACATGAAAATGATTGATTTTCAAATACTCATCAAAGTTATCAATTTTCGACCTACTGTAATCGAGGGAAAATTGTGTGGTATAGGGAATAAAGTCAAGTTTCTCAATCTTGATTTTTATTAAGAAATATCAATTATTTGGCACAATTTTTAAACTTAAAAGGTGCTTCATCTCAGACAAAATAAATCACCCCATGGCTAAATCAATCATTCTTTTACAGGAAACTTGTTGTAAGCCATGGTTCAGATCAAATTCAAGATTATTGAAAATTGCGTAGATGTCCTTTACTCCAAAATATCTTTTCTAATTTTACAACGTTTGCACGAAGGCTTTTTAAAATGTTCGGGATAGTTTTATTACTTAAATATCTGTTATTTCAAAATTGTGTGTCTAGATATTATGTTTTGTTTCAAAAAAAGTTCAAAGAAAATCTTTTATAAATGCAAGCGACTGTTCTTATGAACAAATTGAGTAACAAATTAGCCTTACATTATTCGATTATTTTAAATACCTAATGATTTTTTAAATAATCTTTATATGTATTTTTTTCCTCAACTCAACTCAATCGAAATAATAACACAGGGGTAAAGCAGACCCAATGATGCAATGAGCTTGCTCGGCGGTATCATGACTGTGTAACGGGTCTTAATGTATAATTGTGCTCGGAGGTAGGTTCAAACAACGCGGATCCTCAAAGCATGTGCTCATGGTATATTCGTGTTTTAACACCCGTGTAATAAGCTAAATCTAACCATCTCAATTATTTGATATAATCCTTGAAGACCTTCAAGTACTGGTATGTCATTTCCATCCCATTGGATTATATTGCTAGCAACGCCCACTTTTCATTGGAAAACATTGTTTCGCCCTTCTTTGCTGCTCACTAACCAGAAATCGTTGGAACCAATGTTCTTGTTATAAGCATTTGGGAATACATCAAAACACTTTCAATTGATGAAAATTAGATGCAATGACCAACACAGTACAGTTCACACCTTGAATTAAATGTTAGCCTATTGTTACATTTAAATATATTATATTATTTTAGGCAGGGGCTGCAGAAAGAGCATCAAAATTACCAAAAATATTAGATGAAGACAAGGAGTCCAAATTTGGATATGTATATGCAGTATCTGGACCAGGTGAGATTGATTTATAACTTTAAATTCATAAGTTTAATTCATGGTTTATAGGGGTCTAGTTTTGTTATACTGAGTTTAAGCATAGTATTCAACTCTTAGTTCCAGTGTTTTTCCTAAGCGTCGGACCATAGGACATCTCCGGTGATGTGGGCTTCGGACTGATGAGTTTTATCAAGTAGCCAGTCCTCAATTCTGCCTGTGTCCGGTTCCTCATCTAAAATCATTTCTTTACTCCCAAATTTGGTCTGATCGCTGTCTGAAATCTCATTATATCTATGGTAAAACCTTGAAATTCTAAAAATCATTTTAGTGAAATTGGCTGCACGGAGGATGTTTACGTATCATCATTTTTTTATCAGCATCAAACAGAAACTGTTCTCCGATTGGTTGATTAGACTCTTGGGTAATCATCTCGATTTTTTACCGCGTGAGGTTTTATTGGCTAATTCAAATTGGATGCAGTAAAAAACCGAACGCCAATTTGCGAACGATCCGGGTATTACGTTCGCCCTTGGTTTATCTTTCGGTATCATTGCAAAATCTGATCGCTGATTGGTTGGTTAATTTTGTCATATATTGGATCGGTTTCGAGATTCCCATGATTATTACGCCTGTTTATCAGGGCTATCGTGAAACCGTATTCGTAAGCATCTCATGGTGAGCCACGAGTGATGGCACATGAATTTTAGTTGATCGACCAATCAAAAGCATTTTCAAAACGATAGAATTATGCGCATGCGCATTAATAATGTAAACTTTAAAGTTTATTTTTTGATGATTTTTTCGGAAATTTTGTCCGAATTCAATATAATTTCCAGTTAAGTGTACGCTGAGAAGTAGGTCATCTTTAACATGTATAAAAACATGCGATTATGGGCTGATTTGAAACTAAATTCGCAAGAAATTCGCTCTAAAATTTGTTACTTTCATTTCTCTCTTAGTCTTGGACTGGTTAGTTTTCACACGGACCGGTGATTAATCTGAAGTTACAGGTTCGAATGTCCAATGATTTTTGGTATGGACTGGCCAAAATGTAGAACCTGTCAGTCCGGTGGTCCTGTGATGTATTTTGCCTTAGGAAAAACACTGCTTAGTTCGATTAATATTTTAGTTTAAATAAAAAATGCTTTCTTTTTTATTTTAGTTATTATTATTTTTAGCTAGTATTACCATATATCCTTGTGTAATGTATAATGCCCCAGTCACATTTGCTCTACGACAACCGAATGGTGGCTGTAGCTTCCTAAAATTGAGAAAAATATACAGCATAAGCAGTATGGTGCAGATTTTCTATATTGATTTTTACGCTATGGCCACTGTACAGCTTCCATAGAGCAAATGTGACTGAGGCTTAACACTCTCCCAATATATTCTAATGTAAACACAATATTCTAATGTACATACATTATATTTAATATACATACAATATATTCATAGTGAAATATATTATGGGGAAGGGGGTCTAAGAATTGATGCAAGACTAAGACAATAACATTTGGCAAAGTGATTTCTTCAAATAGTATGTTTATTTCAAATAAGTTTGTTGTTTACGGATTAACTGACATGATTAAGTGCAATAAACATGCATTATTTGAATTAAAATGTGTTACTATTAGAAAGATGTTCAAATGTTCAATATTTGACAGACCTAATAGTAAGAGATGCATTGACAAAATTTGTAAATTTTACTCACCATTTTGTATTTTAGTCGTTACAGCTCAGAGCATGTCAGGCTCTGCTATGTACGAGCTGGTACGTGTAGGACATTCTGAACTGGTGGGTGAGATTATTAGGCTGGAGGGAGATATGGCCACCATCCAGGTATATGAGGATACCTCTGGCGTCACTGTTGGTGATCCTGTCTTGAGAACAGGGAAACCACTCTCTGTGGAATTAGGCCCTGGAATTATGGGCAGTATTTTTGATGGTATGTTTTTCAGTAACATTATGAAGAATATGATATCTATCAGCCTAGTTAAATTTTTGAGATTACTAACCTTATTATCTTGACCATTCACAGCACCATTATTCACAGAATAATACTGATTTGTCTACTTCATACATTGCTCAGATTTTGACTTTCTTTGTTCTTTGTCATTATATTACCAATGAGAAGTATATATAGTAGCTTTACCCATTATATGTCATACATATTTTTAGGTATCCAGAGACCTCTGAAGGATATTTGTGATCTGACCCAGAGTATATACATTCCTAAAGGTATAAACACTCCCTCACTGGACAGAAACATTAAGTGGGACTTTGAAACTCTCAATGTCCAGGTAGGTGGAGTTACTTTTCATTATTTACAGGGTTTCCCCAAAAATATTGTATCACATACATATTATTCACACAAAGTATCTTCCAAGTAAGGCCATAAGAAGTAGATTCTTTGTTTTGCGTCCTGGCAAAATCCAAATCATGCAAGGGTACAGGGAAAACAAACACAAACTCAAGAAAAAACACCAACTTGTTTGCTGAGAAATGTATACATTTTATGGTCATAAAAAATGACATACCAACTTGCAGTGATTACAAACACATATCTATACATTTTATACAATACATGTATATTTAAACATAGCTATTATTCAAGGGTAAAAATAAGAAAATACACAATGTATGCCAAAGTAATCAATAACACTGTCAATTTTGACACACATCAAATTATCCGCCATTTCGTCTGATTCTGATTGAACAAAATGCGATGGTACTTTCAGACCCTTGTGATTGCTATTTGGATGTGTTTGTTTTTCTGATTTACTCAAAATTGCGCAAGCAAGAGGACGCAAAACAAAGAATCTACTTCTTATGGCCTAATGTACAAAAATCTTCTGTATTTGGAGCAAATTTGTTGTTCAGAGCTGATATCCTTTGCCTGATTTTATGGTTCGTATTTACATTATTAAGGATTTTTTACATTGACTAGTCATTGTTTCAAATGATTTTATATCAAAGTATAACTTGAATCAAAGATGGCATAAAAAGGTAGATAATAGTTATCTCCCCATTTTGAAATTGTTATAAAGTAATGCTAATTGGACTTAATTTCTCCCTAAATGTGAATGAAATATAAGATTGTCATTTCTGTCCAATTTATAATGTTAGTAACATCCCTGTTAACTTTAATCATTGGTGTTTCCTCTCTTTTTCATTGTATTTTACATTCTAAAAGCGCTCATTGAAACTTTTAAGGGTTTAACCTATAAAAGATAACAATGGACTGAAATCTTGACAAGTGTAGTGTCATTGTGATTAGAACTTTTGACCCTACTGATTGTAACATTCCCTTGCAATTAATAAATAAATGAAGTGAATTCCTTATTTTTTCTAAAATTTGATTATCACCTTTTTTCTTGACTCTCAATTCAAGGAGACTGCATGGGAATTTCTATAATTGTTTTTCTTGTTTGATGATTTAAATTACAACTAAAAATTATGAAAAATGTATCATATTTTACAAGAGAACTTTTTCAAAGTGCTTCATGATTTGTACTATTGATAAAACATAAAATCGTGGGAACATTTATAGTATGTTTCTATATGGATGCATCACAGATATGAAGTATATTGACTCAAAACATACTAATACAATACATGCCCTATAAATGTTCATGACATGAAGTTTAAGACTTACATGTATTTTCATATAAATAGTGTCTTTGCATATTTCAAAATATCATCAGTCAGAAAAAAATGAACAGATCTCATGAACAGACATGTGATCTCTAGTGAATCAAACTATGAAATCCACTATCTGTCTATTTTTATGCCACCACCAAAAAGTGTTATGGTCTCCATTTTGTTTTTACGGCGGATGGTGGTTGGCCATTGGTGGTTGGGGGTTGCCGATCGGTGTCTGTAACAAATTCTTACAACTTCCAATAACTTTACAAATACTGTTTAGACTGACTTCAATTTTTTTCAAAATCATCTACATGTTTTCAGAAGTTCAAATCTGACTTTACATTTAAGATGTGACCTTCATTGACCCTTTCAAGGTAAAAAAGGTTAAAAAGGTCAAATAGTTTTTTCAACTTGCTTCAAATTGACCAAATTTTGCTCTTAAAATTATCTTAATTATTTGAGATTTGACCTTCACTGACCTTCTCGGGGTCAAAAAAGGTTACTTAAAATCTGACTTAAGATTGAACTCATAATATTGTGAGCAACAAGGTGGTGACATTTTGTCATGTTAATGCCTTGTCTACACTTGGTTTACTCATTGTAACAGATTTTAGCTTATTATTATATTTTGTTATGGACTCCATTTTTTTGTGACTGCAGTTGGCAATTGGCGGGTGATGGTTGGTGTCTGTAACAAATTCTCACAACTTCCAATAGCTTAACAAATACTGTTTAGACTGACTTCAATTTTTTTTCAAAATCATCTACAAGTTATCAGAAGTTCAAATCTGACTTTAGATTTAAGATTTGACCTTCAATTGCCTTCTCAAGGTCAAAAAAAGGTCAAAAGGTATTTTTCGGTCAAAATCATCTACAAGTTCTCAAATGTTCAAATCTGACTATGTAGATTTGGGATTTGACCTTCAATTTCCTCCTCAAGGTCAAAAAAGATTTGAAGCTCAAATCTGAATTTAGATTTCAATCAAATTGACCCAATTTTTTCAAAATCATCTACAAGTTCTCAGTCATTCAAATCTGACTTAAGATTTAACTCCTAATATTGTGAGCAACTAGATGGTGACATTTTGTCATGTTAATGCCTTGCCTTTACATGCAACGTTTTATTTGTGTGTGTACATTTGCACACCCCATTTTTATCTGAATTGACATGTACATTTACATGTTCTTTTTGTAAATGGTAAAATTAATTTCTTCGGGGAAGGGGAAGGTTGAGGGTATTTGAGAGTAGGGCACTTATTATCACATGTTATAATGTTTTATTATTATCACTGTTGAAAGATGTAACTAGCATGTATGATACACTGATATTTTAAAATTGACAATGATGGATTTCATTGTTTATTTATAGGTTGGTAGTCACGTGACAGGTGGGGACATCTATGGAATCGTCTATGAAAATACTCTCATTAAACATAAAATCATGCTACCTCCCAAAGCACATGGGACAGTCACATGGGTAGCAGAGCCAGGCAGTTATGACGTCAATGTAAGTAGAAGTATTTTTTGTTAGTAACGAGTATTTCTAAAGATGTGGAGTAACAAATGAGATTTTGAAGTCAGTATTCTGGAAAATGAGTAATGTACTGTATTTGTACTGTATTTGATTGTAGTACATCATTATGATATTCAGTCCATCTCTGCCTTGAAAATAATGTACTATAAGAGGCTGATAGAATGCTTTAATGATGATGGTACATATAGTAATGTATAGGGGTCAGATGGTTTCAAAAATTTTGATTTGGTACAGTTTTTTTAATCCCTCGGATCAGTTTTTGTTTTGTTATTTGGTTCCTATTACACTACTGTATTATATTCTGCTATGATGGAAAGAATGTAGAACAAAACTAGCCTGTATGCAGGTATGATTGACGTGTATTTAATCTCATCTAATAGGCTATGTCTTGAAATTTCACAAATGTAATTTTAAACACTTAACTGTTAAAATGTGTGATCTGAATCTGTTACTGGAATGCTAATATCTTTCTCATCCTTTGGTATTTTCTCAAAGTTGGCAGCAGACATTTTCTCAATCTATGGTATTTTTAGGGAATGTGCATTTAGGAATGGTAATTTTCCTGTTATTAAAAACGAATCATTTTTCCAAACTGAACGAACCATCGAGGCCAGTGACAATCCGAGCTCCGCAGTTGTGTTTAAATGTCTGACCCATAGTTACAATGTATTATGTCACCACCAAAAGTGGTGACATATTGTTATGGTCTCCGTTTTTTTGCGACGGCGGTTGGTGGTTGGAGGTTGGCGTCCGGCGTCCGGCGTCCGGCGTCTGTAACAATTTCTTACAACTTCCTATAACTTAACAAATACTGTTTAGACTGACTTCAATTTTTTTCTAAATCATCTACATGTTCTCAGAAGTTCAAATCTGACTTTAGATTTGACATTTGACCTTCAATGACCTTCTCAAGGTCAAAAAGGTCTTTTTTCAACTTGCTTCACATTGACTAAATTTTTTTTCAAAATCATCTACATGTTGTCAGAAATTCAAATCTGACTTTAGATTTGACTTTAGATTTGACCTTCAAATCTGACTTTAGATTTGACATTTGACCTTCAATGACCTTCTCAAGGTCAAAAAAGGTCAAAAAGGTCTGTTTTCAACTTGCTTCAAATTGACTAAATTTTTTTTTCAAAATCATCTACGTGTTCTCAGAAATTCAAATCTGACTTAAGATTTGACATTTGACCTTCAATGACCTTCTCAAGGTCAAAAAAGGTCAAAAAGGTCTGTTTTCAACTTGCTTCAAATTGACTAAAAAAAATTTCAAAATCATCTACGTGTTCTCAGAAATTCAAATCTGACTTTAGATTTGACTTAAGATTTGACATTTGACCCTCAATGACCTTCTCAAAGTCAAAAAAGGTCAAAAAGGTCTTTTTTCAACTTGCTTCAAATTGACTAAATTTTTTTTTCAAAATCATCTACATGTTCTCAGAAATTCAAATCTGACTTTAGATTTGACATTTGACCTTCAATGACCTTCTCAAAGTCAAAAAAGGTCAAAAAGGTCTTTTTTCAACTTGCTTCAAATTGACTAAATTTTTTTTTCAAAATCATCTACATGTTCTCAGAAATTCAAATCTGACTTTAGATTTGACATTTGACCTTCAATGACCTTCTCAATGCCAAAAAAGGTCAAAAAGGTATTTTTTCACCTTGCTTCAAATTGGCTAAATTTTTTTTTCAAAATCATCTACATGTTCTCAGAAATTCAAATATGACTTTAGATTTGACTTTAGATTTGACCTTCAATGTCCTTCTCAAGGTCAAAAAAGGTCAAAAAGGTATTTTTTCAACTTGCTTCAAATTGACTAATTTTTTTTTTCAAAATCATCTACATGTTCTCAGAAATTCAAATCTGACTTTAGATTTGACATTTGACCTTTAATGACCTTCTCAAGGTCAAAAAAGGTCTGTTTTCAACTTGCTTCAAATTGACCAGATTTTTTTTTCAAAATCATCTACATCTTTTCAGAAGTTCAAATTTGACTTTACAAGTTCTCAAAAGTTCAAATCTGACTTTAGATTTGACCTTTGACCTTCAATGACCTTCTCAAGGTCAAAAGGTATTTTCCAACTTGCTTTAAATTGACCAAATTGTTTTAGGTGGTGACATTTTGTCATGTTAATGCCTTGTGTAAAATTTGTAACATTGTCAATACTTTGAAAAAAAATCTCTCATTGTCCCTATTTTTGATTGACATGATAAAATTATGTTTTTTAGGATGTTGTTATTGAAACAGAATTTGATGGTGAGAAATCTAAATATACCATGTTACAAGTGTGGCCTGTCCGACAGATGAGGCCAGTGACCGACAAAATGGCTGCTAATTTCCCTTTGCTGACAGGTCAACGGGTGCTTGATGCTCTTTTCCCGTAAGTTGTTGGAATTGAAGGTTTTATGAAATAATCCTAGCTTCTCCGTATATGTGTTATTCGAATTTAAAATGATTAGTTTAAGATGTACATTATTCTGAAAATAAAGAAATCAACAATATGATGCTGTTAATGTATAAAAAAATATACATCTGTATGTACAATGTACATTGTACATGTACACTGTTTGTCATATTTGAAATGTATATTCATAATTCCAGTTGTGTACAGGGTGGGACAACAGCTATACCTGGTGCTTTTGGCTGTGGAAAGACAGTCATTTCTCAATCCCTCTCCAAGTTCTCAAACAGTGATGTTATCATATACGTAGGGTGCGGTGAACGAGGAAATGAGATGGCTGAAGTACTCGGAGATTTCCCTGAGGTAAAATATTTTTATTGTATTTTTGTTGCACAATTTGTTGAATATGGAAATAAATATATGATATATGGCAAAAACAGAAAGTGACATGGTATTTCAGCATTTTTGAAAGAAGCATTTCTAGTTAATATTAAAGTATTATTTGGTAATACATTTTTATATGAAATATTCTGCATTGTATTCAAAGGATATGTTTGAGGTTAACCTGGAGTACTTTGCATGAAAACATTTCAGGCAATTGGTGCCATATGCTAGAGGCAGTGAGTTTGAGTTTAAGTGCTCCTTGTATTTATTGTTCATATTTATTGTAATTATAACTCATCAAGTCAGGAGTGTTTCATTGAATAATTTTGCAAATCAGAATTCATGCGTTTTTGAAAATGTCTCCTGGGTTAGGAAGGCTAGAACTCATTTAATCTATTTACTGTGGTACATATGATGTAAAACACTCATTAGGTGTAATAGTACAGAGCAGTGATTTTGTTATAAAAACTATGATTTGAATCTAGTTGAACTTGACAGATAATATTCATTGAATCCAGGTGAATTTTATTATTGATGTCTTTCATTTATTTTTGCAGTTAACAGTAGAGATTGGTGGAAATGTTGAATCCATTATGAAACGTACAGCCCTTGTAGCAAATACATCAAACATGCCTGTGGCAGCTAGGGAGGCTTCAATCTATACAGGTACATAGGGCACTTGTATCATGAACTTTAAAAATGCTTTCGAAGATTACCTTTATTTATTGTGACTGACATTTGGCAGTGTGCATCTGGAACAATGGTTACCCTTTTTATGTCACCACCTAATGTTGATAATATGCCTGACCTTTGAGTCCGAATTTATCATAATTATGGCAATGATAATGAAATTTTGTAACTCAGTGTAGCACACCCTTCTCTTGAAAACTTATTGAACAACTTACCAGTTGGTGTCATGTTATTATCGCATTGTACTGGGTGGCCAAAAAGTTGTTTACAGTTATTCAACAATTTTTTACTGTAAACCTACTTTTTGGCCATCCTGTATATACAAATGCCTTTATGATAGTATATTTCACCTCCGTTGTTTGATAAGTATGGCAGGTGCCATCTCACTTTTGGGATTTTGGGCTTTAGAACATAAGGTTAACACTGATTATGAGGAATACATTTTAGTCATTTTGTGCAGCCTCTCCACCCTTTTGAAATGAAAATCAAATTCATTTTGCAGGTATTACATTGTCCGAATATTTCCGTGACATGGGCTACAATGTGTCTATGATGGCTGATTCCACCTCACGTTGGGCAGAGGCCTTGAGAGAAATCTCTGGTCGTCTCGCTGAAATGCCCGCTGATTCTGGCTACCCTGCATACCTTGGGGCAAGATTGGCATCGTTCTACGAGCGTGCTGGTCGTGTGAAGTGCCTGGGTAATCCAGAGAGAGAGGGCAGTGTTAGTATTGTTGGAGCGTAAGTACTTAATTTGTTTACAATATATTGTAATATGTCATACAAAAATTGAAGTAAATAGATGCAGTATTATTAAAATATAAAAAGATAATATCTTATCTTACCGTTTATTCAGACTTCTCTAAAAAAATTTTTTCATTGGAATCAAAATGCCATAAATGGTGGGAGGCAGTTGACTCTTGCATTGCATTTTCTTGAATTTTTGTTTACAGAATTTTCTTGAATGTTATGTTTATAGTGTGTCTCCACCTGGTGGTGATTTCTCAGATCCTGTGACATCAGCAACTCTCAGTATTGTTCAAGTGTTTTGGGGGTTGGACAAGAAATTAGCGCAGAGAAAACATTTTCCATCTATCAACTGGTTGATTAGTTACAGTAAATATATGAGAGCCTTGGATGAATACTACGATAAAAACTTCCCAGAATTTGTTGCCCTAAGAACAAAGGTAGGGGGAATTTGAACTTGGAGTTTTTAGATATTGTAGCTACAAAATATTTTCACTTCAATCATATAAAGCGATTGTCCCAAAAAGGTGAACCACTTTTCCCTAGTATTTTCACCACTTGCATCACTACCTTTAATGCTTGTTCTGTCAATTTGTCCCTCACTCTCCAGTTAACTCTTTCATTTCCCATATGCCATGTATCTCGGTCTTTATTCCTTAATTAATTATCCTATACTTGAACATTCAAATTTTATATGCTGATACCTAGGGATAAAGAAGCTCTGTTTTCAAGATGAAACTTTCTGAGTGCCTGTTGTTGAAAAATTAACATTTTACAGACTTGTTTTATGAATCTCAAATGTGTCCAAGTATAGGATAAATACAGTAGTAATATATGCTTCCTCACTTCCTTAGCATACTTGTGCTTGAGTTAAGGATTTGAATGTTGTTATATATGCGTTTTGTTACCTCTTCTTTTGACAAAACTGCAGAGTATTGTAAGAAATATTGTAAGAAAGTTTAGACCTTCCCTTTTAGGTTCAATAAGAAAATATTAAATTGAAAAAACTATGTTTTTCAGGTGAAAGAAATCCTACAAGAGGAAGAGGATTTGTCTGAAATTGTGCAATTGGTAGGAAAAGGATCCCTTGCAGAGTCTGATAAAATTACGCTGGAAGTTGCCAAATTACTAAAGGATGATTTCCTCCAGCAGAATGGCTACACCCCTTATGACAGGTAAATCTCTTCCAATCCCAATCAGTATACAAAGTGTCATCTTATGATTGAGGTACATCTCTCCTTAAAAGCCTGTAATATATAGAATATATAGGTAGGTATGTATTCAATTTTGATAAAATCAATCCTTTACTCTGTCCCCTCAGTTTTATGCGATTACGCGTCCGCAGCATTATTCCGCATATTTTTCCGCATATTTTACCTTGGCCCGCATAATCCACACATAAAGTTGCATAACAGACAAAAAATCCCCACATACTCGCAATAAATGCCAACTCGGCCATTGATTTATAGATTAACCTGGAATTAATATGTGTTACTGGAACAGTTCCTTATCAAAATAATGACAAAATTAAAAGAAATCAATAGTTCTACGTTCAAAGCTCTTTAGCTTGGAAGCTCAGCGATGGGGTGTATTTCGCGGACAACGATACGGATCCGGCATTTTATCTCACTGCAACAATGCCGTGAAAGTATTATGAAGCACTGAAGCCAACATTTCATTCAATTTCTTGTGTTAAATCGATCACATATTTTTGCATAATTCATCAAAATGAAAATCGCATCAATTTGCATAATATCCAGAATTTAAAAAATTCCATCGCATAATTTGAGATTATTTATTGCATAAAACTGAGGTGACAGTTTACTTTAATTGTATATATTAAGTAGATTTAGTTATTTGCCCCTTCTATGCAATTATATATTACTCAATCTAGAACCTGTGGAAATCCTAGATTAAGATAGAAATTTAATGTTAAGGTAACATGTTTCAATTTCCACTAATGTCATCTCATTGCATTTATCATGCACATGATGTAACAAAAAAGGAATCTTTTAAAAAAATTTAGAAAAGAATATGTCTTGGGAAAATAAATTATCTCATCAAAAAAGCCAATGACATATCTTTTAATTTTTCCATGAATTGCCTAGAATCCTTCTAGGATTCCTTGAATTCTTTTTTTAATTGCATTACTCCAAATATTCCAGGTTCTGCCCATTCTACAAGACTGTTGGTATGTTGAAAAACATGATAAGTTTCTATGAACAGGCAAGACATAGCGTTGAGTCAACTGCGCAGAGCGACAATAAGATCACATGGTCCATCATACGTGAAAACATGGGAGATACCATGTACAAACTAAGCAGTATGAAATTCAAGGTATTTTCTGTTTAGTTTAAATCTAGAATTAGAGATATAGAGGCAAGCAACATTTATGAATTTCAAACCAACCAGTCTTTTTTCCTATTTATGATAAAATATTATAAAGAAGATCGATGATATTTTGCATATTAACATTTAAGAAGTACATGGAGTGGTTCTCTATCAGAATGTGGAATTAATTTAAATAATAAATAATTTCAGGATCCAGTTAAAGATGGTGAGAAAAAGATCAAACAAGACTTTGATGATTTAGCAGAGGAAATGGCGTCATCATTCAGAAATCTAGAAGATTAATAATAAGCATATAATAGATTGGGAAATATATCAGCACCACCTATACTTCTATATTTAACTGAAACAGCTGTCTCAGAATGCAACATTTCAAAATACAAATATTTATTAAACATTCCATTACAGTTCTTGCACTTTATTTTTGGAATAATATATCAAATTGAAACCAAGAATACCAATCTAATGTTAATGCAAATCAATTCTCTACATTTCTAATTCCTGTGTGAATAAGTATGATCATGATTTAAACACAAACATCAATGTATTCATTATAAAAGTTACTTTGTGAATTCTGGTATGCACAAGAGTAACAAATTGCATTGTGATATAGTCGTAGGTTAAGCATGAATGTAAGAGACAATGTTATCTTCCATGTAGGCCTTTATGTGATAGACAATAGACATTATATTATATCAGAAAATTGACAGAAAACAGATTATTGACATGTGCGAATGTTGTTACAAAATTGAGCTGCTTCATGTAACAAAAAGAACAGAGTTTTGGTACCATCTAGACCCCATCATACCATTAGTTTTCTCATGGTATCATTTAGGTCTGATTTCTAATGTATAATCTTAAAACCTGTCTAATCTGGGACTGGTCTAAAGTGTTAAGATTAGTAGGTGTTCTCATTTCCAGGTTTTTATATAAACTTGTAAGTCAATGAGAGAAAATAAATTTGTGACTGAGAAGTGTTCACATTGAGGTGTTCAGATTAGAGAGGTCTTCAGATATACACTATTTTCTGTATGTAGCTTTTCACTAAAGCTATGAAAATGAATGTGAGACTGAATGTGCCAAGGGGTCTAGACAGTACTGTTAATAAAACCTGGACAATTTCCACCTAAAATAATGCACTTATGTGTCTGTGAAGGAGACACCAAACATCATATAAGTATTTTGAATGCTGATGATATTCTTTGGCTGAAGTGGCTGTGTACAATTGCCAAAGTGAGTTGCAATAGTAGTGTAGAAATGTAGAATCAATGTTAGAAAACACTGTATTGTAGAATATTGATAATATGCTGCAGATTATAATTTGTAAATTATTTCATGCAAACGAAGTAGACACCAGTACCTAATAACTAACTCATGTGGTCAAATCATCTTTCTATTACAGGAAGAAATTGTGATCCATAGTGAAGCATGTGGTATGGCCCCTCATACATCCTTTGTAACTGTTTTAGCTGTGATACTATGTGCCCTTAATCTGATATACATGCATGCCAATGATTAACTGAATTACTGGGTTACTACCTGTGTATCAGATTATGTTAATCCTTTGATTACTAATATTCAGTTCATTCCCTGATCAAAGTGGTATCACCAGGCAAAAATCCTCTAAAGACATATTATGAAGCATTTACAAGTTTATTCTGTGTTTATGTATAAATTGTACATTAGAGATAAACAATATTGAATATTACAGTATATGTAGATGCATTATATTGTACAGATAACAGAATCACTGTTTTATGTCTATATATATATAAGGAATAAAGCCATGAACAATACTTTAATACAGTTGTGTTTGGTACACTGTATTTTACAATTGCCCTCACAATCAATTCCATTCATAAATTGTTGTCATTTTATCCTGAACTGTTCATTTTATCCTTGCTATACTTTAACATGGCACCCTTAATTTACAGTGCTCCACTTGTAACAAATTGTTTTTGACTTCTGTTATCATTTGTTTATATATTTCTTATTTAATTTCTTCACCATCTGGTGAAATCATTCAAGGTTGGAAAGAACATTTAGTTCAATGAATGTTTATACAGTGTTATGAGTACATTTATATTTTGACAAGAACCTTTTAAAGGAAGAATCAGATCAGTAGAATTAAGTTCCAAGCAAAACCATAATATTCATGCCCAAATATAATAAGTGAATGATCCTTTTTGCTCAAAGTTCTCCCTTTTATAATTCAATGTGTAAGACATCAAAGTCATGATGTGGAAAAATGAGTCAGTCCTGTAGCTCAGTGGTAGAGCACTCCCCAAGGAAACAAGGGCCCATGGGTTTGAACCCCACTGGGGTGGACTGACTTTCACATCAGCCCTTAGCACAGAATTTCATTCTGCACTTTGATTAACCAAAGACAAAACCTGCTACACTACGTGAATATATTAATTATTGTAAAAATGTATGTATCTCATAATTTTATACATAAAAATATTTAAAAAATATATTGCTTACATTCACATACTGTACACACAAACATAAGAGAATCACTAAAAATAAACAAGCCATTAACATGCAAAATGTAGCCACCTATCGAACATCAACAGCTGGACCTCGTCCACAAAAATGTTGGAGACAATAACAATACAATACATGTATGTCACCATATGTGGTGGTGATATTAAAATGTACAATTTGAATAATGAGAGGGATAAGCACAATTAAGGAAGATTAGCTCCCAGAATTATTTGGTATTACATGTACTTGGCATCAGGGGGTTCCCCTTAGCTTTGCCTTAATGCTCCTCTGAACTCTGGAAAATCTTCCCCCTGGCCACAACTTAATAAAATAATAATTAGACAAAGGACTAGCTATGGTATGGAGAGTGATTTTAGACAATCATATCTCTGACCATGAGTATTTCTCATTAAAAATACATTTTTATAAAAAATATTTTTCCAACCAACTGAGGTCCCCAGTATAAAAAAAAATTATCAAACCAACTATCCAAAAAACATAGATTTGGAGCACATCATAACAAGAGAATGGGGTGTGGAAGATATTAAACTTTGATGACATAGTGCAGAAGAAATGTTTGATATGGTATAAATGAGGAAAAGGGCAATCTAATCTTTGTATAAAATATTTCCACATTTTGAAAAATATGTTGAGATCGGGTGCTAAACACAATGTTTTTTTGGAAAGTATCTTTTGTATGAATAATAAACATCTAAAAAAATATCTAAAATTGATGATGCGAGTGGTATCATGTCATTCATTGTTATTACATTCTATTATTTTTGAAATCATATCGGAACTTTTATTTGGAACTTCTCATATATGATATATAATCACATCAGTTGGATCTCTTAGGAAATCTATCATTATCAGATATGCTGTATCTCTAAAATTGTCTCTAGAAATTCTCATAGTGATGTTGATAAGAAGCCCCGTCACATTTGTTGAGTTGGGAGCAGGCTTCCTCCACTTTATGAGTCATGGGAGGTGGACCACAGCTGAATACTCCAATCTTGGATATCTGAAATAAAACCAAATGGGCAAAATGTTAATTGAGCGATTATGCTTTATATTAGGGGGGATCCGTCGAACTTCAACATAAGGGGTTACTTTGTCATGGGGCTATTTCGACCATGGGTCTGTTTCGACATTGGCTTATATTTCCCATTCACGAAGTCTGCCATGTTTGTTTTTGAAAATTTTAAACAATAAATTGAAATCTCCAATAGACGAGATCTTAATCCAAGATGACTGACCCCCGAAATATGAATTATTGGCAATTGTCGAAGTAGCCCCATGGGCGAAGTAGCCCCATGACGAAGTAATCCCATGCGTCGAAGTTCGACGCCCCTACACTCCTTGACAAAATCTTGTATTCCAATTTGTATAATTATCTGCCTTGTCTTATAATTATATACATGTACTTGTTTATATATTTGCAAGGTTTTGAGGAAAAGGTATTGGGGCATTGGAGAAGGGGTACCATCCAAGCAGGGTTAAAATAAGTAAAATAAGAAACTTTATATTGACATTTTTTTCAACCAGGTTGCTCAATAAGTAAATGCAAAAAGGCTCTCATTTGCTCAATTTTCCATGTTTGTAATTTTGATTTTTGTTGAGACTCACAAAACATGAAAATATATTTAAGCATTGAGACACAAAAATGGTAAAAAGAGTTCGAATTTGTATACAAAAAGATTTACCATTGCCTAATATAATAATATACTCACATCAAGGTGTTCATCTTGCAAGGAATTCAGGAAACTGTGGAAGTCAGGGCGACCAAAATGTGTGATGGATCGCAAGCCAGTGAAGAGACTCTGATTGGAAATTTTTTGGAAATGTCTCTCACATATATACTGAAAATATAAAATGAATGAATGTTCAATTTTGTTGCCAAATATACAAAACAAACTGTTTTATTATACTAGAGGCAAAAAAGAGAATGATTTTGAACAAATTGTTACAATGTTTTTTGCTCACAACATTCTATGTCATGCCTATTTACACAATTAAGTCCAATTATGGATAATCTAGTGATTTTAAAGGTTATTTGGCAAAAATTGAAAGAAATATAATGCAACTTTGAACATTTCTTAACTTAATTGTCATTTGCGAATAAATTTAATGCAATTTTAAACTTCAGTTACTTTCATATTTCAGATGGTTACCTTTCAGATTAGGATTATAAGAGAAACATTGGCATGCTTTTTGAATTAATTATGTTTACATTCACTGCTCTGCTGCCACTTTCATTGAGTAATCCCAAATGTTAAACAGTTATATTGCACTGGTACATAAAATATGGAACATATGTTGACAGTTAGCTGCAATGTGCTAAATGTAACATCAACACATCTTTTCATTTGGTGAAATTCATCATTAAAAAAGACAAGTTACTTTTAGAAAATAGATGTGAAAACAATGTTGTTAAAAAGGTTCAAAACCTATGACAACGGAATAGCAGAGCTAAAGTACATGTTTTGTGTTACACCTTGACATTTTCATGTAAAGAGGAATACTTACCAACATTGTTGTTCGGAGATCAAACTTGTGATAGAATTGAGTGACAAATATGTGAACTGAGACAAGATTTCTTTGGTCATTATCCTCTACTTCTCTTATGATATCAGTCAGCCATTCAAACTGCTTCTGGGTGCGTGTTACCCACAGGAAATACACCTAGAATTACAATAGATTACAAAACACTTGATATTGGACCTGGAATAGTCACCATGCACATTCCACTCCATAACAATGAAACCTTTACATATGTATTAGAGGTGAATTCAGGACAGAACAGTACAGATGGTCTCGGGACGATGTACTTTCGGGACAGGATGCTGTACTGATAATGCACTCAATCCGCAGACTATGATGGAGGAAATTTTCGAACAGGCATAACCACCAACCTATTCATCGATGAGAAAGTAAATGAGGTACGAGGTAATCATAAATATTTTGATTTTTTTCAGAATGAATTCGGAGGTGTTTCTTGTCATTTATACACAGTTTTGTGCATTTTTAGGTAAGGAATTTATGTTCTGATATGGTTCAGATATTAACCCATTCTGCCCCATGTCCCAAACTGAGCCATCTTGACCAAAATACAGTCCAATATTGGGAAACTGTGATAAGTATGTGTGATCATCAAAATAGGATCAGATCAAAATGTTAATGATTTTTTATTCAGAAGATCTTGCAATGTGCTCATCTCTTTACATAACAGGATAAAAACCCTGAAATGACACATTAGATTAACCTCATTGTCACATTATCATTACATTTCAATGATTTTAATTCGACAAAGTATGCTTTCAAAACATTTCCAAATGATATAACTGTCACACAAAAATGACACCACATTTGTATTTGACCCTAGCATTTCTAAATCTCATTGATTTTTCATTGCAGATGCATCATTTTGTGAATAAATTACCTTTTTGCAGTTGAATTTGACATTTTTCCGAGACTTCTCGACAAGGTCCTTGAGAATTGATGCAAATGGAGTAACACCTATTCCGCCACCAACTAGCACTGCTATGTCAAACTTGTACCAATCCTGGTGTCCCTCGCCGAATGGTCCATCTAAGAAGAGCTGAAATGTAATAACATAATAAATACAGCAAAGTCTTTATATCCGAACACTTGTTGATATTTAATAATTGCTCAAAGTGAGAAATCATATCAAAAGAGCAACAGGTTCATAAAGCTGTCCCATGAAATCAACTTTTCTTGAAAAAACATCTTACTAACTTTTTATATCTTAGTTATCTTCGGGTAATTGGGTAAGACTAGATTCTGAAATTGATACAATGTCTGGAAAGGAAGTTGATCTTTTTATTTATTTGCCTTTTGATGTCAAAACTAGAAATTGGCAACTCCACGGAGTAGCAAATCCCTACTAACATTATATACATGAATCTGTATTTATCAAAATATAGTATTTACCATCTACTCTACCCTTTAATTGCAGATAAAGATATTAAAGATATATCAGAATATTTAAGCATTTAGGTAACCATTTAGGAGTTTCAAAGGCTCAAATCATAAAGACAATACAATATTTGAGATCTAACAGAGTGTAATGTAACCATACTTTGAAGAGATCTGGACACTACAACTAATCTGACATAAGGCAGTCAATTTTCTGAGGCCTGAATCAGAAAAATGATACAATATTTGCAATCTACCCTAAATTGCCTTTCATTTGATTGTAATAAAGCTATGCTTAAGATCTCAAAATTAACGAAAATATGTGAAATAAATGTATGTTATAAACATACTACCAAAATTTCAAAGAGTAATGTTCATTACTTTGATTAAAAATGAGAAGTTTTTGCAAAAAATTCCAGCAGCCATCTTGGAAATTATTTTGCTTAAAACTATTCACCAATGTACATCTTTCCACCAAACATGAAGAGAATCAGTCAACTAGTATTCGAGTTATCTTCCGGACAGACTGACAGATGGATGGACGGACTGACTAACGGATGGACAGAGGGCTTCAGTGTGTCCCTACTGAACTTCGTTCATTTGGAAAGATTGTACAAGGTCGTTCAATAAGTTCACGGAAAAATGCTCTCATTTCAATGATTTTTTATATCTTTTCTTGACATTTTTACAAAATGTGTAAAAAATATTATCTCATTGATTCCTGAAATATCAGCATCTCTAATTTGATTGGTCAGAAATAATGGTTACTATGGTAACTTGACTTCAGTAGTAGGCTTCAGAGTATATGCTTGGTTGTACCTATTAATATCATTCAACAGATTCTTGAATAGCTCATGATAATTGGGACATAGATCAAATTTCAAAGTTTCCTCCATTTCTTGGGCAGTTTAGTATATTGTAACCATATTTTGAAGAGATCTCAAAGTAATAGTGAATTCCTGCTCTACGCAGCCATTTTGAATTTTTCGAGGCACAAATCAGAAAAACAATATCATAATTGTGATCTACTCTAAAATTCTTTTAATTCGAGTATAATATACCCATACTTTGAACAGATCAGAAAATTATTGAGATATCTCACATTAGGCAGCCATTTTGAATTTTAAGAGGTCAAAATCAAAAAATGATACAATATTTGCCATCTACTCTAAATTGTCTTTCATTTGAATATAATAAAACTAAAAACTATATTTCAGAAAGTGAGAAAAAACTTTATATACTAAAACTTACTTTTGGATATGGACTATCTAGAAGTTTACTGGGGTCATATGTCTGCCTCAGATTAGATGTCCAAGGTCCAACACTGCGTACATGTACACTGAGGGTCTCCTCATGGGGGGCAGAAGTCAAAGTAAACGGATGGTACTCACTCCCATTCTGAGCCAGGGATGCTATACGGACCCACTGACCAGATTTGTACTCAAAATTCAGTGGTTTCTTGAACTCCAGGTGAGTCACCTCTGCAAGGATAATGCATGAATATTTTAATTTTAAAATTCTAATTTTTGGTGAAACTGCACTACAATGTTTGGAGAATCAAAATGAAATGAAATATTTAAATTGACCAACCTGAGGGTAGAAGTTCAGCTCTGACAACAGATATCTCGACTCTATTGCGACTGACACTGACAAGTTTGTCCAGTGTGAAGAGTATTGCAGGTCCCAGGAAGAAATAGTGGAAGAAGGCTGGCTGTACCAACATTCCACTTCCATGCATGAACATTAGAATGTACATGACTGGGTACAAATTGTGAATGAACCAAAATACTTTGAAAGCATTACGTCGTGCGTATTGTGTTGCAAAGACATAGATCATTATGACAAGCAATGTGACAAGAACTCCTGTCACACCTGTCACAGTCTGCCAACACCAGTAATGAAACTTTGGCAACTCATCGGTCCTGGAATATAGAAAAGGTTGAATGTTTTGAAACATTATTTAGAGTAATGTAGATACAATTCCTGTTTTATATTGTATAAGTTGATGGTTTTTACATACATATTACACATGTGAGTTGAGTTACCCTCTCAACACTTAAATAATATTGTTAATATACTCACGCATGGAAATAATCCCTGAAGATACAAGTCAGATCATTGGCAGTTTGGGTAGCAATGTGGTAGAAATTGAAGGCATGTCCAATACAATGCATCACTGAAATATAAAACAATGAAATTATCTCAGGGGAACATGTGAGTATTAACAGTAAATGGGTGACACTTAAATAAATGAAGAAATAAGTAAATACCATTCATGATTGGTCAACATGATCACAAATCATTTGTAAGTCTGTCTGTCATATGAATCACTTTCATTGAAGCACATTACTTTAAACATACCATCTATCCATTATTTATTTCAACTGATTAATTTTGTAGAAAAATGATAGACCTCATCATTCAAAACTTTCTACCAACCTGTGAAAAACAAAGCCCACATAGCAATGTACTTGTGCATAGAAATGGCCGCGTCGAATGGAATGAAGCGATGTAAAAAGGTTTCTCTCAGATATGTGATGGTGTTCCTACACATTGTGACGAGGAGACATGTAAAGGTGAACATCATGCCACTAGCAGCCCCTCTGGTCACTGTTACTCCATAGCCAGCAATAGTACGCAATCCTGCATGTTCACGTTCAACCGAGTAATCTGATATTGCAAAAGAGGACAATGAATCATAGGAAAAGCAACAGGACATGATGTCATTGGTAATTTTGTCCTTAAACTGAAGTTAATAACTTACATTTAGAAAACTTCATAGAATTTTGTTTTGAACTACACCACTGTCTGCAATCTATGTCATCATGAATGTGTAACCCTGGCATCATGAATCTAGCAGCAAAATAGGGAAAAATCTATTGACAATGTCTATTGATCCAGCAACAGGCTGATCAAGATCCAAATATTGTGTTTGTTTCTTAATGCCCCTCTCAACTCAGCAACAAATTCTCCCCCTCATTTGGAGCAGGTTCAAATGTTAACATCAAATCAGAAAACAAGTCACACCTGCATGAACCAAAATAGATGAAGTAACTGACCAAATACTCACAATATGCCCTCTCAGCAAACACCCCAATGGTTACAAGTGTGTAAAGTGACAGCCAGAATATGTGAGCTCTGTAGTTCTCAATATATCGTTTGAATTCAGTGAATTTCTCCATGACAGGGTTTTCTGTCTTACTGACAGGTTTACGTTTAACTGTGTTCACAGCAACATTGCTGATTCGTTTATTTATGTTGTCATTTCCTGGTGAACTGCAAAAACAAGAGAAAATATACATAAAACCATTGACCAATCAGATTATTTCTTTAGTTGCATTAAGAAACTAGAAAATGGCAACTCTAATAGTAGAGTAGCAAATCCCAACAAACAAAATATTCATTAATAATCACAATATTACATGTATTTAGCCTTTACCCCTAAAAACAGACATTGGAGATATATCAGAATTTCCACCAATTTAAGCATTCGTGTGACCTTTTAGGGGTATCTAAGGCACAAATCATAAAGACAATGCAATATATGTGCTCTAATGTAGTATAATATAACTATGCTTTAGAGATCTTGAAAGTATAATTAATTCCAGCACTAGGCAGTCGTTTTGAATTTCTGAGGCACAATCAATATCCATATAATTTTGGCATTTAACATATATCAATGCAATTTGACAGTTTTAAATGTTATACCTAAAATACTGCAATATTGACAGTAAAATGGTGGCCATTAACTTTCAAGCAGAACTTGTACTAATATGGGGCATATTGGTAAAATATAAATGATATTGGGCCAATGGTATTTGGGTTATTGCCCAGATGGACAGGGCCATTTCCTATATCTTTTGAGAAAGAATGAATCATATATATCAATGACAGAGGATGCCTAAAACTTGTCCATAAAATATACAACAAACAACAAGTATCATCTTAATTCATATTTATTTCACATACTCTGTAGTATTTCAACACAATAACAAAATTCTATATTTCATCCTTCACACAACTTGGAGATGGCTGGTCTAACATTGGCCACACAAACTCTGACCAGAATGCCATACGTTTTGGAAAGAATGGATTTATGATGCGTGTATGCTCAACAGGGGTGGTCAGCTCCATATAGGCTGGATTAGCTTCTGTAAACCTTGGCCAGGAAACAGTACCTATGCTCCCAGGGTTTCTGAAATATGTGCAATACAGTAATTCAATGGGTTGGTAGGAAAGTGGACCCCAATGGATATTCTCAAAGTTTTCAACATCTTTAGAAAAAATAAACATGAGGGAAACATGAGAAAAACCAAGATAAAAGAATGCCTATTTGAAAACACAATATATAAATTGATCCAGACTCTCAAAGCTGCCATTACGAGAATGAATCATGAATCATTCATATTGGTCTTTATTGATTTATTCCTTTCTCAAATTATCATTTGAATAAGTGTGACAGCTGATTTTAGTACTTAAAGGACTTGCTTCCTTATATCATGTAATATCTGATAAAATGCATGTCAAAGGGTCACTAACCCTGCTTTGGCAAAGTTTGAGTATGCTACCATCACAGCATTACTAAGGACTCTTTCATCAAGTGTCACTTCATCATCCATGGTGTACTTAGCCTTACCAAACACAGTAGCAATATCATCAGCATGTGTTGCCCTCACCCAGATTGGCAGTTGTGGCTCATAGATGATCCTCTGGTCCAATGAGACAAATGCCGAAAAGTAATAATTGTACACAGCATTTGAAGGTGCATGCTTTGAGTATAACTTAGCGAATCTGTCATTATGTGCATTGAATTGGAAATCAGAAAGGAAATTTGTATAAGACATGGTCCTCTCTATGCTGTCACCTGGGGATTCATAGAGATCATACATAAGCTTAACAGCTTGAGCAACTTTCTCTCGTTGCTCTGGGTAGTCCAAGAAGCGTAAATACCATTGTGTTAGTATGTCAAAATCAGTGGAATTCATGCCATTTTCAAGTTGTTTTCCACCACCTGGTATTGGAATGTACCAGTCCTGTCTGTAGGGCCACGACTCATGGCTTGTTATTCCTGTCATATAATCAACTGGAACAAATTCCTCTCTCTCAACTATTGCCAAAGGATCATCGGGAATATACACCCCATCTATTCTTGGAGCGAAAACACCCTGTGTGTCATTTCGAGTTTGGAGAATATTAAGGTTTAGAGCTATTGTCCTGTTTGTAATCTCTGATGCAGGTTTGGTCCTCATACATGTCATCATTGCCTGAGAATTGTCAGGTGGACAGTTTAATTCAATCGCTAACAATGGGGTGAGTTCTCGAAGGTAATTTTTCGCCATAGCCCAGTGGGGTGTCGGACCTCCACTTATTGAGATAGCTCGTTGAAACAGTCCTCTTGCAGGTGGTGAGAGCATTAGATATGTCACAGCAGAACCTCCTGCAGACTGACCAAATATGGTAATGGAATCTGGATTTCCACCAAAGTTCCTTATATTAGCTTTCACCCATGCTAATGCCTGTATCATGTCCATGATACCATAATTACCAGGAGCTGTACTATCTTCCGTTGATAAAAATCCCATGGCGTTAACACGGTAATTTATACCAACCACAATGACGTCATTGTCACTTGCCATGTAGCCACCAAACTGAACGGGATTAATGCCTGTACCCCACTGGAATGCCCCGCCATGGATATAAAACATGACAGGAAGATTAAGGTTTGTTGGATCTGTATTAGTACCAGGCACCCAAATATTGAGGTAGAGACAATCTTCAGACATTTGGACGGGTAACCCATTATAAACTTCAATAGGTCTCTGCCAGCATATAGTGTTAAAATCCAAAGCATCACGCACTCCTGTCCATGAATCAGGTGCCACAGGTGGCTGCCATCGAAGCTCATTGATTGGTGGTTTGGCAAATGGAACTCCGACATACTGGGTAATGTTCATATCATGAAGTACCCCTTCAGGGTACCATCCCTGGAAATTGAATACTTGACCCCGTAATTGACCCTCGCTGGTGCTCACCGTCACATACTGTTGGCACATAGCCTCAGGTAAGAACAGGAATGTGATAAAAAGTTTGCAAATCATAACAGTATGTATCATCCAAGTGAAGCAGTCAATATACATGTATGGTAGTAAGCTATACTGTAGTATTTAGAAAAATCCAAACATGGACACATTAAAAATCTGGGGTGGTTACAGACTTAAAGTCTTTACTAATTCATAAAATTCAAGGAATGATGTGAAATATTGATGCTTTGTTTAAACTGGACAATCAGCAGGACAATCAAAATGTATTTTCTAGTTCAAGTATGATGAATAAAATATCCAAACACATTAACTCAGTGCAATATCCTGAACCCAGGACTGGCCATTTAGATAAATTATCTGCACCATGTTTTGTTTCACATAAAATAAGTAATTGATAAGTGTGAAAATACCAATCCCTTTTTTGAATTTTTACATTCAGCTGCACTCAATAGCTCCACAATGACGTCTTATTGATATTTAAAACAATTAAAATAACCAACTGATTTTACAATAAATTAGAATGGTGAAATTTTATTAAGACTCCGGATTCCTGACTTTTCTATTAGCCTTGAAGTGAGTTACATTTGGCCTTGACTTGGCATCTTCAAAATTCTGAACACTTTGATCTTTAGAAGGTCATCATAGGGTAACGGCAAGTCAGATTTCAAAATCTCAAAAAATCTGAAGTCCGTATGGTTGAATTTAGAGAACTTTTTTTGTTGACCTACTTTCTGGACATTATTCCTCAAAAGTTAGTTCAAAATACTTCTGACACAAAAAGACCAATAGCTTGCTCTTACCGACTTGTACTCCAAATAACATGTGTAATGTCAGGATTGTACGAGACAATATCACCTCCAATGAATTTTGAGAATGAATGGATTTTGAATATTTTGGAAAATCAAACAAATTAATAAGACATGACACACAGACAAGCTATTTTGACTGATTGACAGATGCTATCACCTGTTAGCTGGTACAAACACTATGGAGGTCTCATTGTAGAGCTCCAGTATGGGAATTTTTGACATGCTATTTTGAATTTCTTAGTACTCACTGAATATTTGCTTGATCTTTTTTATATTTTCATTACTTGCTAATGATACTCTTAGGCTACAAATGTACAAATTCTCAGTGAATTTTGTTCATCAGTTGCCGGGAAAATACTTGTCATAAGTATCTTGTCTTTTGGGACACCCGATATGTGTCCATATTTGTGTATGACACTTACCTAAAAGCTCTGACAAGCGTTTTCCTAGCTCTTGAGGGAGCATTCTCTCTCTTTGGTAGATCTTTACCAACATTTGCTCCTGGAAAAATATTAGTACATATACATATAATATAATCATCCCCCAAAGATCTAAATACCTTCTAATTATAAAACTGGTATTGAACTTCAATAGACAAGATGTGATTAGAAATAATCTTGATTGACGTCATTAAATATTCAAAATCCAGTTAAAAAGTTATGTCATATTTGAAATCTACATGCAAAAGTACATCTAGAAATATGGTTTCAAAATTGTTGATCAACTTTGAAATTTCAATTTTTTTGAGAATGTGACTTCTAGTTCAGGGAGATTTCCCTGAACGTGAAGTATCTTTTCTTTTCTTTTCAGATAATATTTTCTTTTACTGGACATATCTTAATTTTCATAACTATTAGATTCTAAAGGGTGATATGAAAATTGAACCACTAAAACATATAAATATTTAAGTTAAAGGGAACTTTCTACGATACCCGCCATGCTATCTGACCTGAACGAGCCACCTAGTGGTGAAACTGGTAACTACCTACCCGCATCTTAGTTATTCAACTGTTCAAAACTTTAATTTCAAATTAAATTTCTGATTGAGATGTCCCGTTTGGGACAATTTAATTAATTTTTCTTTATATTTAGCTCATTAAAGCCCCATGTCATATGCCTCACCATCCCATTTCAACTGAGCATGTCCAAGTTCCTCTTTATAGTCCCCTAGAATTGTATTGAATTCTTTCAGTGTGATGCTCTCTTTGTTAGCCAACCCAGCTGATGTATACATGGAGTTGAGTAATGTGTCCATCTGGTCCTCTGTCACCTTTTCATTTGCAAGCTCCATTAATGACCTAATGATAAAAGTAGCAGCAATTTATATGTGCTATATGATTTTAATAGAAGCAATCATTCGGCATTGGATTTGTTGATTATTGTATGATAAACTACTTAAAAAGAGTGGAAAACTATCAAGTATACATTTGTCATATTAGGTTTGAGGAATACTGATCATTGTGAGTACAAGATAACCTTTCAGTAATTTTAAGATAAAGTGCCATAATCATTATCAGGTCCAATACTATAGAGCAAAAATATATATCATATATCATATCACTCAACTCATTATGGGTTATGTTGTATGTGTAATAAACCAAAATCTATCAATGAATATAAGAATCATGAATCATGATCAGAAAACAGATCTTCTTAACATTTGAAATTAAAATGTACCTCAGCATACGTTTGAATTCTTCCCGGTCGAGTTTGCCAGTTTGATCGATGTCATACATGTCAAACAAAAGTTTGGCTTTAGCTTCAGGGTCACCTAAAATATTCATTGTTCAATATATACTTTATTATCTAAATGTCATTCTAAAAATATCTACTAATACTATTATTCAGGTAATCTTCAGAGTGAACGCTGTTTTTCATTGAAATCAATTCTTAGAAACACAAGAGTTGAGAAGGGTGACTCAGTTCTCACCTTTGGCAAAGATGACGATCATATCTAGAAACTCTCTGAATGATATATAACCATTGTTATCCTTATCAACCAATGAGAACATCTGCTCTATAAATGTTGAACTGGCCTTCATTGAAAGGGCTTCTGCAAACTCTGACTTGGTGAGTTCACAGTCGATAACATCCTTAGCTGCTTTGGCATCAAGTGAAGTGACATCATCTCGATTTTCATCTTTGATCTTAAATGCCTACAAATAGGAAAACAGAGTGGATTCATGCCTTACTCAAGCTCTAAACTGTTTTCTTCAAAGGTTATTTCAATAATCATTGTATATGACTAATAGGCATATGAGATGAAGAGTACATGTGTAATAATGAAGAAGCTATGTATAGTAGAGTAGTCGCAATAAATCTATACATTTGCATTTCCTTTTAACTTTCAACTATCCACATTTTCAATTTTCTGGTTTCATGAAATGAGATCAAATTGGTTTATCCCTCCTGAATAGTCATTCCAGGTTTCCCCTTTGGCAAATGTTGAGCACAAGAGGAACAATGCAAAGGTGTTTGCAGCCTGTAAACCCATGGTTTATAAAAGTGAGGACTAAATGCATGGACATATATCCCCCATTATGCGAGCAATGTATATGATTTGACATAAAGTGGGGTCATTTTTGAAGTCTTGAAATGATGAGAGTAATTTAACAGGGGACTTTATCACAACCTAAATTCATGTGATTGTTGTATCTTTCAAATGTTACCCATTGCACCTGACCCATGATCCAATAGTTAGTCTGATTTTAGTTCAGTTTTGTATTTGTATTGTAGATTGACAATGTATGAGTACAGTAGTGACTAATATGTTATTGTCATGACACCAGAGAGTTGTCAATAAAAGATATATATACATATAATATATGTTCAAATTATAAAGGAAACATGTAAAAGAGGTAACATAACAATTGAGGATTTCACCCTCTGGTAAATGAGAGAAAACCTCTACAGGAGTTGAAGACAATTGGCCAGATGAATATTTAAAGTCAAAATTTAAGAAATAAAACTCCTATAAAACAAACCTGGGCAAAAACAACTCTGAAGAACTTTTCAACCAGTTTTTGTCGATTGTCCTTCGTCACAACGTCTTTCATAATGACACTTTCCTTGTCTTCGGATCGTTTATGTGCAACTCCTAAACCTCCTAAGAAAGTCTCAATTTTGCCAATAATCTGGTCCCGATTGTTCAAATTACTAAACTTCATCAGCTGTAAAAGAGGTACATTAATATATAATTATATCTTACAATATTTAAATCACAAGATGTGACACCATGTTTATGAATAAAATTGTGTCTATTTGTTACACATGCAAGTGTTGAATGTCAAATGATGACGTCAAATGTCCTTACAGAAAAATGGTATAATCAAAGGTCCCTGAATTACATGTTTATGCGACAACTTCAATTTTGCATGATTTTGAATTCATAGAAATGCAGCATAATTCATTCATCAGCTCATAATTTTTGCACAATTTACACTCTTCTGGAAGAATATCTCATCTGATGTTTCACTGCTTCATCATTTTCATAATTATTAGGAACACAATGTCTAAACTTAATAAGTTCTCTCATACCAGAACTTGCGTTACATATGATTACTTGGTGAGATGGGGTCATTGCTATCACAGGATTTAAGAAGGCTTTTATTTACTTGAAAAATGGAATTTCTGCCTTAACAGGTTTGCATAATTTGCGGTTTCCCCTGCAAAATATTGTGTTTTGCCTGCATAATTTTATGACCTATGTATAATAATGTTGCAAAGGAGAGCAAAATGTTTTGTTTATATATAATAACATAAAATAAATATATTATACTTGCTTTAAACAATAGATATTTCTGATAAATCATGCAATCTTTTGATTCATCAGAGAAACTTGGCTAGGTCTATATTGGCTAGGTTTATGATGTCATAAGTTGTACTTTTTCAAAATTAGCAATAAGTCAATTATACTATTTTTGCATGGACAGATTGCTTCTTACAACCGATTTATGGGAAACATCTCTCCCTTAATTAAACAACTTACCACATCATATTCCTTTGGTACCCGTATGAGGCACAGCTTTTTTCCTTTATCAATAGATGTACGAATAAACACAGTTTGGATGTTTTGTAAATCAATAGAACGCAGTTGTTTTCCTGCCTCTGTCATTATCTGGATTGTATGTCTCGTAGAATCCATTTTGAGCAATGAATATCTGTAACCTTCTTTCTTTGACACATACTCCATAACTACAAATTTAAAAATATGATTCAATGCATTTCTCAGTGAAACAGATCTGAACTAGAAAAAAAACTGGAGTAGCAAATCCCACTGAACAAAACATGATACCAGTATTTGCGTAATCATGAAATAAATTTCTCCTTGAAAATTACAGCCATTTTGAATCCAGTAGCCTTGGAAATTCCTTCTCCAGTAGAGTTATATGCCTATATAAGGCAGTCATCTTGAATACTCCTTTTTGATAGTCCTATATCTTTCATGCATCAGAATATAAAAATTTGAACAAAATCTATCAATTGTTGGTGAGTTATCAAAGATTACATTCAAGAGCAACATCAAGAGCCATCTCGAAAATTTATTTTTACCAAATGCCTCAGGCATCAGCATGATGAAAATGCGTTCAAAAACAATCATACTTAGCACAAAAAATTGTAAAAAAATATTGGACTGGGGGTGAAAATAAAGAAAGCAAATTTGAAAAAATGCTTGTTGATGAGTGGATTAAACACGGAGTATGAGATCATTGTATGAACTTTTATTGAAGATCATTGTATAAACTTTTATTGAAGATCATTGTATGAACTTTTATTGAAGATCATACATTGGCCTTTTATGTGCATTTGTTTTTTTGTAGTCAGAAAGTACTCACAAAAAAGCTACAAATGTCTGAAATCAGTTGCACTAACTTCCCTTAGCTTTTGAAATTGAGAGGCGTAAGACAAGATTATACAATGGAAAATCCAAAATTTCTGCCTTAACATTTATCCAGAATGCCAAAAAACTATTAACATCAAGACTTAATATGAAAAGATATCCCCAATCATTTGAACTTAATCTGTCAAACAGTTGGCCTGGAAATGCATAGACAAAATTAATTGGGACACATCTCCGTCTGCCCATCAAGCATTTTGATGACAAAGTAGCACGATAATAAAACATAAAAGTACACACAAATTAGAGATATCCACTGATTTAGAAAAATCTGTTGTTTACCAGAAAAGACATCTCCCATATCACGTCTATTGCGTTTTTGTGCAGCTGCTCTTCTCTCTTCACGTTGCATTCTCTCTTTATGTTTCCCAAGAAGCCAAAGGACCACAATGCAACCTTAACATAAAAGACATATCTGTTAAAGACAATCTTCAGAATACAGTAGAAGCATGAAGAATGATTTAATACACAAATTCCATAGGCATCACTTATTCCCCTCTCAACAGTTAGACACCACCATGTGTCATGCTACGTACAGTTTCTAACTGTATTTAATTTTTTTATTGTTATCTTGAAAACCTGATATTTTCAATAAGGCTTTCATAACTATTAAGAATATTCCAATACATATAACGAAGATATATACATTACCTATAAAAAAGATTCCCAGGGCTGTGAATGTCAAAATAAAGGACAATTCACTTCCGACAAAATAGTCAAAATGTTTTGGTCCCTCACACTCTGCAAGTTCTGAGTGATTCAACTGCCTAGGTTGTTCACAGGGGTCTCCTACAATTAAAACAGAAACTCTTTATCGATGTTACCCTTCTTACATAAATACATACATAATTAATATATACTGGTCCATTTTTATTAAAAGAATTCAATACACAAACAATATTTAGTGAATATATGAATAGTGCACAGTAAAAATAGCCAGCCTATCCAAAAGTCAAGTTACCATAGTAACCATCATTGTTGTCCAATCAAATTAGAGATGCTGATGACATTTTCTGAATTAATAACAAGATATTCTTTGAATATTATGTGAAAACTTCATGAAAAAAAAGAATTGAAAACCTTTGTAATGAGTGCATTTTTGAATGAATATATTGAGGTGTTTGTGAACCTGGTATCGGAAATGAATATATTGAGGTGTTTGTGTACCTGGTATGTGAAATGAATATATCGAGGTGTTTGTGTACCTGGTATCGGAAATGAATATATTGAGGTGTTTGTGTACCTGGTATGTGAAATGAACATATCGAGGTGTTTGTGTACCTGGTTTGTGAAATGAATATATTGAGGTGTTTGTGTACCTGGTATGTGAAATGAATATATCGAGGTGTTTGTGTACCTGGTATCGGAAATGAATATATTGAGGTGTTTGTGTACCTGGTATGTGAATGAACATATCGAGGTGTTTGTGTACCTGGTATGTGAAATGAATATATTGAGGTGTTTGTGTACCTGGTATGTGAAATGAATATATCGAGGTGTTTGTGTACCTGGTATATGAAATGAATATATTGAGGTGTTTGTGTACCTGGTATGTGAAATGAATATATCGAGGTGTTTGTGTACATTGTATATGAAATGAATATTTTGAAGTGTTTGTGTACCTGGTATATTAAATGAATATATCAAGGTGTTTGTGTACCTGGTATATGAAATGAATATATTGAGGTGTTTGTGTACCTGGTATGTGAAATGAATATATCGAGGTGTTTGTGTACCTGGTATCTGAAATGAATATATTGAGGTGTTTGTGTACCTGGTATGTGAAATGAATATATCGAGGTGTTTGTGTACCTGGTATATGAAATGAATATATTGAGGTGTTTGTGTACCTGGTATGTGAAATGAATATGTTGAGGTGTTTGTGTACCTGGTATATGAAATGAATATATTGAAGTGTTTGTGTACCTGGTATGTGAAATGAATATATCGAGGTGTTTGTGTACCTGGTATGTGAAATGAATATATTAAGGTGTTTGTGTACCTGGTATATGAAATGAATATATTGATGTGTTTGTGTACCTGGGGGTCATTAACAGAAAGTTACGATTTGTAAATCAATTGTTGTAACCATGAATATAATGACGTCACAGTTAGAGAACAATGGAATTTAAGAATTCTTAACTTTACAAAGTTTCTGTTAATGCCCCCCTGGTACAGGGTGATCATTAAGTTCTGGGAATTGGTCTGCCATTTCAAGATTTCTCAACCATTTGAGTTGAAATTTTCAGCAGGTGTACATTGTATAATTCTGAATTGACATGCAATGTTTCATATACATATCACATCTAGAATTTATTTTATTGTAATTATAAAAAAAGTAAAAGTGGTTCGCGGGTCAGCAAATTTTGACTGATGTTAATTTGAAAATTTCCTGCCAAAACATATTCATCTTGCCTAGATGGTTGCTTCAAACTACTTGTACTAGAGGCAGAACAGTACTCTTGAAGTCATTTATTCAGAAGTATTCTTCATTGCTGAGAGGATCATTTCATTTATTATTGTTTCCATTAGCCTGGACGCACATGCGTTGTTGGCAAACTTAGTCCATAAAGATGTGTTCCAGTCCTCCCTTTGGTATCCCTTGAAGATTTGCTCAAGCCGTTGAAATTAGTCCCTTATTGGAATCAAACTTATGACCTCTCATATGTTTTAGCACCCAAAATGTAGTGAAGCCTAATGGTGCTTCATCTGGTGAATATTTTCTGGTGAATATGGGACAGTAATAACTTGTGTGAACCCTAATTCTTCAAGAGTAGTATTGGCAGCTTGAGTAATGGGAAGGAGCATAGTCATAATGGAAGATAACTCCCCGCTATTTTTAGTTTTAGTCATGATTGTTACTTTGAGATGCTATGAATGATACAAAAATAGAGCAAAGTACACTCTTATATAACAATAAAGATGTTACTTTAGAAACTAAAGCTAGAAGTATTTGAAAATATAAAAAATCACAGAAATATGTCCACCAAATAGGTATTTATTTACCATACTTTTGGATCAAGTAAAATTTGAATTCATTTTTATTTTACTTGACCCGCTACACCATTTGTCATGTTGCTAAAGTAACAATAATTATCCATTGTGACATCAGATGACAATGAGACTGTTTTTATCCAACCCAAAATTACATTTCCCATTTACCTTGAAAATTTCAAGTAAATTGGTTGAAAAATAATGAAATGACAGATAAATTCCCAGAACTTAGTGATCACCCTGTATGTGAAATAAATATAATGAGATGTGTGTGTACCTGTATTCCAGAAGAAAGGATTCTTCTGTATATCATTTGGCCCAATGTCTGTGACAAGTTGTATGATATCATATAAAGTAGTCTTATTAATCTGCTGAATCTCCTCGGGAGTGAATAATCTATAAAACACAACATTTAATGTTACTCTGTATGAATAAACATCTCATAAACATGGCTGACCACATTTATGCCTGTTTTTATTCTTTGCTGATTCTACAAACATTTTCTAGTTTTGCACTTCAAACATGACAACTGAGACCATGGGCTTTTATGAGAAGGGTATGTAAATTCTCATTATTTATACATGAACATTGCCTTGAGATTTCAAAATGCCTCCTGTACACATTCCAAGAAAAAAATTATTTTGTACTTTTCTAAAATATAAAATCATGATTATATGCAGGCATATTAACTGTCAATACAAAATGAATCTCATCATAATTATTATATAATAATGAATACATGTATAATGAAAGCGTGAGTTCTCTCATGAAAAGTATTTTTATTGGAATGTGTTCCTGAAAGCCCAAGCAGAAACAGAAGTTGCATTGGATTGCAATGTAAGGTGGAGCATAGGAATATTGCACTGGTACAGTGAAACTTGTAAAAAGGAACACCTCTAGAAGTAGAACACCTTTATCAGTGGAGCACTTTTCAGAGTCCCATACCCAACTGACTTTATATTAAATGAACCTCCCATAAGTGGAACATACACCCAGTGGAGCACTTTTAAGGTACCAAAGGTGTTCCATTTAGATAGGTTTTACTGTATTTTCCAAAGTCTGGCAAAGTATTCAAGTATTCATGACTACTTATTCTTACATGGATGATTGTTCATGGATTTAGAGCACCAAATTATAACATCTCAGAAAACTCACAGGTGTTGAACGAAAAATTTAAAAAAAACAAGCATATAAGAAAAAAGTAAAGAACATACCCGTTTTTATCATTTTCATACCAAAATCGATCACCATCTCGAACTCTTTGGAACTGGTCAGCAATGATTGTCCGGAAGAGATCTCCAGGGCCACTTGATGTTGTCTCTAATATTCCACCAGCCCAAATATCCATGTTGTCTATACCACTCTCATTGTAAAGATTCCATATGTTTTCCAATAACTGCAATATGATGTAGAACAATATTTGACAGAGCAATGTACAACAGTATGAGTGCAGCAACATTGGATGTCGAGCAATATGTGATGTATAAAAACACTGATTGACAGAGCAATGTACAACAGTATGAGTGCAGCAACATCGGATGTCAAGCAATATGTGACGTATAAAAACACTGATCGACAGAGCAATGTACAACAGCATGAGTGCAGCAACATTGGATGTCAAGCAATATGTGATGTATAAAAACACTGATTGACAGAGCAATGTACAACAGTATGAGTGCAGCAACATTGGATGTCAAGCAATATGTGATGTATAAAAACACTGATTGACAGAGCAATGTACAACAGTATGAGTGCAGCAACATTGGATGTCAAGCAATATGTGACGTATAAAAACACTAATTGACAGAGCAATGTACAACAGTATGAGTGCAGCAACATTGGATGTCAAGCAATATGTGACGTATAAAAACACTAATTGACAGAGCAATGTACAACAGTATGAGTGCAGCAACATTGGATGTCAAGCAATATGTGACGTATAAAAACACTAATTGACAGAGCAATGTACAACAGTATGAGTGCAGCAACATTGGATGTCAAGCAATATGTGACGTATAAAAACACTAATTGACAGAGCAATGTACAACAGTATGAGTGCAGCAACATTGGATGTCAAGCAATATGTGACGTATAAAAACACTAATTGACAGAGCAATGTACAACAGTATGAGTGCAGCAACATTGGATGTCAAGCAATATGTGATGTATAAAAACACTGATTGACAGAGCAATGTACAACAGTATGAGTGCAGCAACATTGGATGTCAAGCAATATGTGACGTATAAAAACACTGATTGACAGAGCAATGTACAACAGTATGAGTGCAGCAACATTGGATGTCAAGCAATATGTGACGTATAAAAACACTGATTGACAGAGCAATGTACAACAGTATGAGTGCAGCAACATTGCATGTCAAGCAATATGTGATGTATAAAAACACTAATTGACAGAGCAATATACAACAGTATGAGTGCAGCAACATTGGATGTCAAGCAATATGTGACGTATAAAAACACTAATTGACAGAGCAATGTACAACAGTATGAGTGCAGCAACATTGGATGTCAAGCAATATGTGACGTATAAAAACACTAATTGACAGAGCAATGTACAACAGTATGAGTGCAGCAACATTGGATGTCAAGCAATATGTGATGTATAAAAACACTGATTGACAGAGCAATGTACAACAGTGTGAGTGCAGCAACATTGGATGTCAAGCAATATGTGATGTATAAAAACACTGATTGACAGAGCAATGTACAACAGTACGAGTGCAGCAACATTGGATGTCAAGCAATATGTGATGTATAAAAACACTGATTGACAGAGCAATGTACAACAGTATGAGTGCAGCAACATTGGATTTCAAGCAATATGTGATAGTATAACAAGGCACAGACGTGAACAATATCGTACCTACATGTAAAACACAGCAGTGTGACAGTGAAGAATTTAGGACGGAAAATCCAAAATGGCCACCTTAAAATTTACCCAAAACGCCCAAAAACTAATCAGTTTTTAACTTTGATACGTAGAAACATCCCTGAAAATTTCAGATGAATCCATCAAATGGTTTGGCTGGAAACCTGTAGACCAGTCTTGAAAGTGAAGATTTTAGGACGGAAAATCCAAAATGGCCACCTTAAAATTTACCCAGAATGCCCAAAAACTAATCAGTTCTTAACTTTGATACGTAGAAACATTCCTGAAAATTTCAGATGAATCCGTCAAATGGTTTGGCTGGAAACCTGTAGACAAGTCTTGAAAGTGAAGATTTTAGGACGGAAAATCCAAAATGGCCACCTTAAAATTTACCCAGAATGCCCAAAAACTAATCAGTTCTTAACTTTGATACGTAGAAACATTCCTGAAAATTTCAGATGAATCTGTCAAATGGTTTGGCTGGAAACCTGTAGACAAGCTGAAAAGTGAGACGCCGCCCGCCCGCCGCCTGCCCGTCAAGCTGACGACAATATCGTACCTTTATTAGGTACGATAAAAACACTGATTGACAGAGCAATGTACAACAGTACGAGTGCAGCAACATTGGATGTCAAGCAATATGTGATGTGTAAAGACACTGATTGAGTATTTTGTGACAAAAATGATCAAACCTCTTTTCCCTCTTCTGATTTGAATAGCTCAGGATTAATATCTCTGACATCATTAATCGTGTCAAGTCCAAGTTCACGCCTGGCTGTGTTATAATCAGGCAGCCCATGGTCTCGACCTCGCTGTATATTGATTGCCATCAGATCACGCCGGGAAAATTCCAATGGTCCAAAAACGTCACCTACAGAAGAAAACATCAATTTATCATTTTCGTCACAATTAAACAAGAAAAAATATATAGTTGCAGCACGCAATGAAGAGAAATATGTATTCTCATTTAATTTCAGAATAACTTACCCCTGAGGTCAGGTGTTATAATGTTGTCCTCTCTCTCTGTGATCTGTGAGGCCATACCCATCAACAACTCATCTATGTCTTGTTCCTTTACAGCATCCTACAACAATAATCAGGAAAGAAATATGACAACTAGAGAGAGCACTTTTCTACTTTGACCTGCTTGTTTCAGATCTGGATCTTTTATGAAAGCTAGCTAAAAATAAAGAAACATACAGACAAGTGGTGTATGTTCTTTATCCATGCCCTAAAGATTTCTTGGCCCTGCCAAGACCAAATGTTGTACCCACTTGAAAATGCTTCTTTATTCAAAATGTCAAAATACTAGAAGCGTTCCAAAAGAATAGCTGTCAAGAAATATCAAGATTTTGGAACTTTTGCATAATACTTGTAAACAAATGTGAGACTATAAGAATACTTGAGCATGAAAAAGCCCTCTAATGATATTCCTTACTTGTGGATTCCAGTAAGAGTTACACGTTCTCAGAGCGTGATGTCCCTCCTCTCCTGTCATGGTGGTGGTATAGCGGAAGTGACATGTCTTATTCCTACAATCAAATCATGACATTCTGATATTTCTAAGTTGCAAAGGGACCACGTTTTGCAAAGTTATGGAACATTACAATGGGAGTTGTAAACCATATATTTTATTTAGAAAAAATTAATTATGAATTACTATTCAGAAAAATATCACAGAGGTGTAAGTGCAATGAGTATAATCACTTTTTAAAATAAATATTATTTAATTGAACAATATTGTAACGACAACATGGGCACCACCTTCCATTTGTTACAGATGCCAAACCATCCACAAAAAATTTGGAAACTATAACAATATGTCAACACATCTCTAGATGAGGAAATATGTATTTTTCTCCACAAACGATGAACATTTTTGTATAAGTACAAGTACCTTCTATAAACACCAGGGGGCACTAATGTATGTCCAAACCTCATTGCGGCAGATTGAAAGACGTGAGTTATACCAGGGTCTACAGCTGGCTTGTAATCTAAAAAAGAACAGAACATAAAGTACTCAAACTTTGTTTCCAAATTTTTTGTCCTGTTACTAAATGGTCTCAAAACCTATCAAAAATATTTGTTTCATCACCAGCAGTTACACATAATTACAAATATTGTACTTTTAGGGTCCCTTGTGGGGTTTCTGTTGAAATAATCCTTGAACTCAGTTCATCTTACATATAAGCCATAGACTTAAAAATGCAACAGGGTTGTATGTGAACTGATAAAACCTACGAGTATATGGTGGAAGAGTGAATGCAGACCCATCCTCCTCTGTCCCCAGCCAAGATGGTAACCAATCGTACATCACAATTTTCTGAAACACAACAATTTTATTACATACTGTACATCAAACAGAACCTGGATCAAATCATGGAAAAACAAACATTAAAAATGATTTATAAAAGATGAATCCCACAAGTTAATAAACATTAATAGACAGCAATCTCAATTTTGCATTCAATATTACTTAATTAAAGGTAACAATATACACCCTATCCAAGTGGTCAATTCTATGGCACTGGGTTTGTTGACATTTCAATTGAATATAACTGATAAAAATGGTGACCTCATCAGAAATGGATATAATGTTTTACAGCTAGCTCGGCGTGCAATACTGCAGTGCAGTGTCTCTAAGGAATCGATTTCACTTTGTACAGAAAACAATTGCAACACATTCTGTGGCAAAACCTAGTGCCACGGAGTGGATCAATTGGATATTGTGTAAACCACTAAAGTTAAGCTACCACACTAATAATAAAAATCATAAACATGTTTATTATTCCCCAGAAATGACATTACCAATTCAGAAATGACATTAAGATTACTATTCTCATATATATCTGACTCACTTGATGTGCTGCAACTGTCCACTTTCTTGCCTCGTTATAAATCCTCTCATCGCTCCAGTCAGGATGAACAGCATCTAACTGATGAGTCAAGTAGTTATGGTAACGGAACCATAATATTCCAAATGTCAACAAAAATGCATTTTCATTCCCTCTGGGATTTCCAAGTTCTAAAATATATATTTGTACACTGGTTGAAAATAATTTTCAAGTGAAATTCAAGTTCATATTAGTGAAATTCAAGTTCATATCAGTGAAATTCAAGTTCATATCAGTGAAATTCAAGTTCATATCAGTGAAATTCAAGTTCATATCAGTGAAATTCAAGTTCATATCAGTGAAATTCAAGTTCATATTAGTGAAATTCAGGTTCATTTTACATGTAGCTATGAACACAAGAATATTGTTTAGTGCAGCAAAACACTTTCTACTATCTAAGACAAAATATGACCATGGTCTTGTCATTTAGATACACTGTATACATTTTATGTTTAAGGCAGTCCTGTACACAAGTTTTAAAGACTGCTCAGATATGAGTATATTTATAAATCATCCCGTTCTCTGGTATTGGTTTTCGGTATTCCCCCCCAAAAATAGAAATTATACAATTTCTAGTGAAACATGAACTAATTGCCTGAACATGTATGTGAAAACAGCATGGAGATTTAGCTTCACAGCTGGTCAAATATTTGCTGCCTGCTGGCTTCAAAGGAAAGAACAGAAAATTAAGCTGCTCGTTATAAGCTTGGCAATATGCTAATAATGCTGGACCAAGAATTAAAGCAGTAAATAGAAATTATTTATATTTGCATCTTGTCTATTGCGGAAATATGAAACAAATGAAAAAAAAACTTTAATAGGGACGTGTAATAACCCAGATGTGAGTAGGTAGTTACCAGTTTCACCAGTTAACAGTTAATAATGGCAGGATAAGTTCCCTTAAACTTGAATTATCATTAGTTTCAGTGGTTCAACTCATATTACCCCTATGTATCTGATAGCTATACAAATTAGAATATGTCCAGTAAATAAAAAATCTGTCCAATTCTGTGATTCTGATTCTATAGCATAGTGTCTATGAGGAATCTCCCAGAATCACCCAAATTTTTAATGACATAAATCAAGATTATTTCTACTTCAATTTAACAGCAGATCAACAATTTTCAGGACTCTGTAGATCAAATCTATATAAGATCTATATACGATTTGATTTATAAATAAATATAACTTCTACCATTATGAAATTATTTGGATACCTCCCAATATGTTGCGTGGGTGTTAATGGCCTTTCTGAAAACTCCCTCGCATTTCTTGAAAAAAAGCACATGACTTCTCTGGTAATCCAATGACATGATATTTCATGACATGACCAATGATACAGGCCAATGATCTTACTAGATGTTCCTTGTAGAATGCTGATAAATCTGAATACTTCTCTTTAAATATATAACAGGAAGTAAAATTCTGAGAATTCTATATGTCAGTAAACGTAATTCATGACTTTTGTATATGTGAAAAAATCAAAATGCAATCTCATTCATAAATAATTATAGTTGACATCTGGCTTGATTCAAAATAATACCACTGATTTTGATTTATAACCTTTTCACTCTTAACCCTCTCCTTACGCGAGATAAGAAAAATCGATAGTGCAATAACGATGGTCTTTAGAGGGTTATTATGACCACAGTATGACAGTATATGCCTTAATCTGTACACCAATGGAAAGCTCTAGCAAATATCTTTAATATGATACCAAGTTCTGAAGAATTTTCCACCCATGGGTTGCAAAGTTACAGCTGCCTGAACATAACTCGTTATGAAAAAAATGATCTTACATGCCAAACTCCCATTGAAATTTTCAGCATTTTTGGACATATAAAGTATTTTCAAAAAATTACTAAGAAGAATAAGACCCTGTATAATGTACCATGTGAAAGCTACCATTTTGTATTACATAATAGAATTTGGAAATTTAGCTAATATATACTGAAAAAAGTTATTTAAGAATTACCAATATTTTTGAGTAATTTTGGGCTAAAAATGTTGGCCATATTGGATTTTGACGTCATAAACTAATAACATGATTTACATAGTAATTTATGCGTATTAGGTTGAAATATTGAAGAAGGACACTAACACTTTCTATTGATGTAAAATAATCTAAATATTCCTATTTCTTCTCTTCAGAAATCATGTTTTAAACAAATGTTTTATTTTTTTCAAAATTTTCCTAAAATCGTTCAGTAAGGTAAAAGGGTTAATTAAATCCTAAGTCTTAAATTGCTAATATCACTGCAAAACAAATTCAAGAGGTAACATTTTGACTAAGGTGATCTCTAACAATGGGAAACCACACTTATAGCCATGATTGACTGTCAATTGACTTTATATGGAACCCTTCAATGTTAAAAAAGGCATTAACATGACAAAATGTCACCACCTAGTTGCTAAATATAATGAGTTCAAATCTTAAGTCAGATTTGAATTTCTGAGAATTGTAGATGATAAAGAAAAAGTAAATCGGTCAATTTGAAGCAAGTTGAAAAAAGACTTTTTTTGAACATAAGAAGGTCATTGAAGGTGAAATCAAATCTATAGTCAGATTTGAACTTCTGAGAACTTGTAGATGATTTTGAAAAAGAATTTTGGTCAATTTGAAACAAGATAAAAAGAATGAGAAGGTCATTGGAGGTCAAATCTTTTTTTGACCTTGAAAATGTCATTGAATGTCAAATCTATAGTCAGATTTGAACTTCTGATAATTTTGTAGATGATTTTGAAAAAAAGGAATGGTCAATTTGAAGCAAGTTGAAAAAATACCTTTTTGACCTTTTTTTTTACCTTGAAATGGTCATTGAAGCTCAAATCTTTTTTGACCTTGAGAATGTCATTGAATGTCAAAACTATAGTCAGATTTGAACTTTTGAGAACTTGTAGATGATTTTGAAAAAAAATCTGTCAATTTGAAGCAAGTTAAAAAACAACCTTTTTGACCTTGAGATTTAAACTTCTGATAACTTGTAGATGATTTTTAAAAAAAGATTGGTCAATTTGATGCAAGTTGACCTTTTTTGACCTTAAAAAGGTCGTTGAAGGTCAAATGTTAAATATAAGTCAGATTTGAACTTCTGAAAACTTGAAGTCAGTCTAAACAGTATTTGTTAAGTTATTGGAAGTTGTAAGAATTTGTTACAGACGCCAACCGCCGTCAAAAGAAAACGGAGACCATAACAATTTGTCACCACTTTTTGGTGGTGACATAAAAACTACAAAAACGCTTACTAAAAAATCGTTTGATAGGTTTAAGAACATGATCAGCTGGTGGAGGTGGGTTTGCCATTGGCAGACGGATCGTATTGTATTCTGGGTAATTTCCCTCATTTGGATCTGTATCGTTCGCAGCTGCAAGACGACCTCTTGGAGCAAGATTACCATTTTTAGTCACACGTAATGCATCAGCCCATGCTTTAGATACCCCATACATCAAACCTCCATCTATATAAGGTGTGATCTCATTCAACTACAACATAAATAAAAAATTGATTTATAACACCAGAGAAAACACTTGAAAGCACACAAATTAGAGATATATCAGGAGAGCTAGCTATAAATCACCCTATGCAGACAGAGCCTGTGGGAAATATTGGGTGTGGCGCAAATGAGCGGAGGGTGCGGAGCTAATGGTCATTTTTGAATTTAAAATTGGGATATTTCTGAAACTAAGCCGTTTTGGGACTTCAAATATACCAAGATATGTGTATTTGACACCAAATATCAATACAATTGTGAAAATAGTAGCCCAATTCATTCTATAGCGACGCAGTGTGCCTTAAACCTTTCCCAGACCTATATATTTTGAAATTATCCTTTTAATACTGAGTCCCCAGCATTCATAAAAAATGGTGTTCAAGGTACACTATCTATACAAATTATTTTTGCATCTTGGAAGCCAGGCAGTATCTGTGTGATTTTATAAAGATTCGGAAATGTTTTTCAGATATGAGCCCCCTCTAAATATTGGGTGCGGAGGAGCTCCATAAACGTACCTCCGCACCCAATATTTAGAGGGGGCTCATATCTGAAGAACATTTCCGAATTTTTATAAAATCACACAGATACTGCCTGGCTTCCAAGATGCAAAAATAATTTGCATGGGTAGTGTATCTTGAACACCTTTTTTATGAATGCTGGGGACGCAGTATTAAAAGGATAGTCTCAAAATATATAGGTCTGGGAAATGTTTAAGGCATACTGCGTCGCTATAAAATGAATTACACTACTATTTTCACAATTTTATTGATATTTGGTGTCAAATACACATATCTTGGTATATTTGAAGTCCCAAAACGGCTTAGTTTCAGAAATATCCCAATTTTAAATTCAAAAATGACCGTTAGCTCCGCACCCTCCGCTCATTTGCACCGCACCCAATATTTCCCACAGGCTCTGTCTGCATAGGGTGTAAATAGGTGATTAAAGTTTCCCTTTATCAGATCTTTTCCAATCTACTGTATTCTCAGAAATTTAAATAATGATTTTCTGGTATTTCCCTTTAATCTAAAATGCTTTTTGCATGTTAATTTATTTTTAGCTGTTCTAATACTCGAGTCATATTTGCTCATTTCATCAGCCTGCACCTGGCCAATTGAGACTTTCGTTCAAAACTGAATACAATTTTGAACATAATACTCAATCGGTTGGGCACCGACCGATGAATTGGAGCAAATGTGCCTCAGGCATTACTGTTGAATGCTAAATTATCATTTCATAGTTTAACCCATAAAATGAAACTTGAAAAGTTTATGTAGCTTTAGATATTGGCTGTTGTTATTCTCAATAGAGACATTGTCAATCATATGAATAACCGCCATATCATCTTTTTAGAAAAGAAAATATATCATATGCCTAAAATGGAATTCTGGGAATTTTCGATAGACCATATTCTCTTCCATTGATATCTTTCTTATTAGACTTGTACTTATATTTTAGAAATGCAAGAATAAAAGCTTTTTCATCTGTAAAATAATCTGAGATATTGACCTGTTGTCTGGGGTTATTTGGAGAGAAGCCAGTCCTCATGTCATATCTGGTACGTAAAAATGGCATCTCAATATCATCACGGTCATCAGGATTGTAACGATGGTTCCTGGGTATCTTGATGTTAAAGTATTCTACTGGGCAACCAGAACCTTGAGCATCTAGGATTTCTTCCACAACCTGCTGACCTGTATATTAATTCACTCAAACATTAGAAATCATACATCTGTAAGCGAGTAAGTAATGTATGTAATGTACAATAATGTAAGTAATACATGTATATACACTGTATAATAATCAAAGTAGTGTCAAAATGTTATGGCACCAGATTGCATTTATAAAAGGTTACAGACAGTGAAATTAAAGCTAAAGAAAACAAACATTTAGAAATCTAAAACTGAATTTCTCGCTGACATAAATCGTTTGAATTCACTGATAATAAGAGTTCACCAGGGAGTTCACAATGGGCTGGCTAATTCGGATCAGATAACATGGGAGACATAGAAAAAGCTCCCATAAAATTGGATTATTTTGAGTTTGGTAATAATACAATATAAATAAAATATATTTTCATTGCGGGCTTATAATGCTAATAGCCCTGGGCCTCCACAATTTATCAAAGTAGAAAACAGCAACTCCAGGGAGTAGCAAATCCTATGAACAAAACATGTTTGATGAATAGAAATCAACTTGAAAATTTCTTCTTGAACAGAGCTAACTTGTTCCCAGGTATCAGCATATGAAAGAACAAAATCCTAACACTGGTATTTGAGTTATCCATTTGTCCATCTGATGGACAGTTGGACAAAAGGACGAACAGCTGAATGGACAGACAGATGGATGGATGGCTTCTCTATATTCCATTCGAACTTTGTTTGGTGGGATAATCAATTTTATAGTTTATTATGCAAATAAAAATCATTATTATATTTAAAAAATCTTCACTAAAATGCAATATCATCATTGGAGAAAATATTTCTAAATGACCTAGAAAACACATTTTCAAACAAATTTAAACAAACAATTTAAAAAAAATTATAGATGTAATTTTGTATGTAGATCACAGATATGATTGCACTTTGACTAGATTTTTAGAATATGATGATGAAATCTAAGATTATATCAACTTTCATCTAAACGTCTATTTGTCCAGTTGACTCAGTTTTCGCTTCAATCATTTATGCTTCGGAGTTACCCTAAATGTCAATCAGGTTTTGAAATGTTATCAGTATAACTTTTGAATTAGATGACTGGCGCTGTATTCCTCAAAATAATTAATGCATTAAGAGACTTCTAATTGTACAGTACCCCTTGTGTTAATTGAGATATTGGAAATGAGAAAGTCAGTTACCAAAAAACACCATGAAGGCAGTTCTGTTTCTTGAAGAGGGATGTCCTGTCTCACCACTCATCAGGGCGTCACTAATCTCAAATGGGTTTGGTCGATTTTTTCCAGATGGCTCGTACACCCCATCCTCATATGCACTGGGTAGGAGACGAACCAAAGGACTGTCTGTAATGAAGAATTAACACTTTCTTGCAATTCTCAAATTACTTATTTACACAATGAACCAGTTTTAACACTTTAAACTTTCAGAACAATAAACCACAAATTAAAATCACAAGATTTTATTGACTTTCAATATTTACTGGGGCAAACAAAATGATTGAAACAATGAAGCAATGTAAAAATCAGTGTACTATTAAACTATACTATGCATGTGATTTGATGATAGAATAAATGAGGAAAAGCTGATCTATTATCTGATATGATATGATATCTTTAAAATCATTTTCTGCTATATCCTGATAACAAGTACTTTCATTGTATGATAAATGATTTAATTGGCTTGGTTCAAATTGTTATTAGATTATTAGAGTACCATATAATATGAAGTGTACGTATATATGATAAATGAAATAAGACTTTTATCTTCATTTATTCAAGAATATTATCTCATTTTATGGGTGTGCATGATTGATTAACTCACCAACCGCTCCTAACTCAGGGTGTGCACGATTGTTGTACCAGCCATCATAGGGCATATACTCCACATGTCGCTCAGTCTCATAGGTACTGCCATTCGTAGTAGGGCTATCTGTTGTCAATGGAACCGCTGTTGTGATATTCACATGTGAATCTATAAATATGAAAACATTAATTAAGTAATGGTATCGGGAGGTGGTGAGGGGGGGGGGTAATTTGCCATGGAGTGGGTAACTGTGAGCTGATAGCAGTGGTTGGGTGTTGGATGTTTACTCCAGAGCAGAGTGAACTAGATAACACATACGCGTAGCAAATACCATCGAACAGCCACGGCTGCCATCTTTACAAAATCCCTCTATTATTACACATGCAAATTACATTGGGCCCCGTACGAGCTTGTATGAGCCTCGAGAATTAGGAGTGGTTACAGGCAAAAAGAGGCACAATCCTCGTTTAAATTAATTAATTCATAATGAAATATAATTGAAATGTAGTTTCTCAAGTATGCTGTATTTTATTTCATCGATCAAAAAGTGTTCATCAAAATAAACGAGCAATTACGAGTCTCATTACGAGCCCCATACGGGCAAGTACAGTGCTTGAAAATTACAAGCCATTACGGATATCGCACAGGCAAGTACAAGGCTTGAAAATTATGAGCCATTACAGACATCGCACAGGCAAGTACAAGGCTTGAAAAGTACGAGCTATCACGTACGATCAAGTACGGGGATCGAAAATTAGGATTTATTATATGGCTCGTTACAGGCACCGTACGGTCAAGTATGAGGGTCGAAAATTACTCTATTTGATAAATATTCATTTCATAAACTCTTAATTGTTAAAAACTGTTGAGTATTAAAAAACAAACATTGTTGAGGACTTTAAATTGAGATAAAATTTATATGTTTTGATTGTAATTATTGTTTGTAATTATTACATTAGGGTTCCCTAACATTCAATGCATATTTAATTCTCATAATCTACTAAATTTAGGATAAATCAGTTATTGAATGCTTCATTTTTGATACAGGGTATATCCCTCGGTAAATACAGTAAATATATCAACCCTATGTCCCTACGGTCCCTCGGGTAGATATATTGTAATTCCCTCTGATATACCCTGAATCAACCCCCCCCCCCATTAAATAACCTCTATATATCATGGCAGGATACATATTTTAAAATCAAAATATTATGAATAAATTGAAATGGCATTCCCTAAAAGAATTTCCCAAACCTTTTGTGAAAGTGGGGAGCAACAAAAAAACAAATCATGAACAAACACCAACATTAAAGTCAACAACAAATCATGACATTAGTGTGTTTATAAAAAGTGTCCTACAAACATGGTCACTTAAACAAGTCATCATTATATGGAACAGACAGAACAACTTGATATCAATTGAAAACTCTTCAAATAACCAATTGAGGCAATTTCACTTTCAATGATATATTTTAAAAGGAATCATTGGATTGGAATTTTAAAATCTTGAAACTAGAATTTTTGAGATGATCCTTTTTTAAACAAACCAAAAAAGATTGTTTGTGTTCAAGTCTAGATTGTTAAAAGCAAACACATGTCTCTTGGAACCTGATATGATTTAGTCAAAAATAACGGTGCAAGGCCAAGAGAAGATCAGTTGTTTTTTAGAAACTGTTATGTTCATGTACACCATATATGTACAGCACAAGTAAAAATGTTGTACAGTTTTGACCATAAATAAATGAGAAGTTGATTTCCTATCACCACTTCCAGACCATGGTGGTTGGAAGCCCATAGTTTCCAATATTGTCTTGGTACATTCTCTAAAATATGGCCTCTTGAAAATTCTCTTATTTTTAACATGAGAAATCCTCGCTTTAGCAAATCAATGACTTATTATCCATGAATTTATTTATTGTCCAAACTGTATATTATACTAGACCATTTCACTGTTTTATTGCGTCAGTAGCACTAAAACCCCAAAAGTAAGAAATCAGGAGACCATTATGGAATAATATATGGAAAAGTATATTCATATTATACATGAATGACAATTGTATATTTCAGATTATTTAGTTTTTTGTGCAATAAGCCTATGCCTTCAGATTATTTAGTTTTTTGTGCAATAAGCCTATGCCCTCTTGTAATTCAAAGAATTTCAGCCATGTTTATCTTTTTGAAAATACTATGGCAGTGAAGCATCAAGATATAAGAGACCACACACTTTATAAGCCAAACTAGAAGCAATCCAAGATCAACAAATCTCATTTATGTACAATAGGAATATATTTTTCCACATATTATTGCATAATGATCTTTTGATTTCTTATTTTTTAGGTTTCACTGACTCAATAAAACAGTGAAATACTTCGCCTCGCCTAGTTTTTTTTCCTCGGATAGGTATTCTGGCATATCCACCTCATGGTCATCCAGTACTTGTTTAATATACATGCAAAATGGTTATTTACACTGTACATATACGTATACTAAATATGTACAGTGTGTAAAAACATTATGTAAGTTAATCTGAGCAAACATTTTTTCAATATTATAATTCAATAAATACTTTTATTGTAAAATAGTTGTGTGAACCTACATGTACCAAACTAACAAACATATACAAGTATCTATAGCAAATCACTTCAGTGAGAATAACTCCCGGGGGTCTCACTAAAAAGAAAAGTACATGTATATAGTATGCAGGTAAATTAGTCTAAATTTTTTTGAAGTCTCAGTAATATAAGGAATATAACATAAAAACTTACCAGCAGTGCTTTGTGATTGAATATAGGGGCACCATGCTAAAAGAAGCGAAAAAATCAGCTTCATCTTGCAATAAATTTGTCTGCTTCAAACTGCGTTATACAGCAAATATCTTTTTTTATAACTCTATCCAAATTATCAACTTTCCTGTATTGCTTGTGCGAAAAATATCATCAGTTTCCACTTCTTAGAACAAAGTTGTAAATAATATGATTTTCAGCCAAGATGTTCAATTTGTTGATTTATTGCAACCTCCATATTCTAAGAATTCCAATGACTCTCTGCACATGTATGCATTTTACTTCCTGGTCTGAAATCTACATTTTCACATAATTTTATTTACCATATGGATTTATACTGTAGTGGTTCATGGTATGTATTGAGCTGCACAGGGACCTTTTCAAAGGACTTAAGTCTGTATGACTACGAAAAGGGGTGAAGCATTTGCATGTTAAAAGAAATTCAAATACTTTAAAATATCAAATAGTATAAACATATACTAAAGATGAAATTAAATATACAATTAAATTGTGTTCTTATCGTTTTATTCTTCATTGAAAAATAAAGTAAAGTAAATAGTCTAATTAAAGTAAAAAATATAGATTTATATTTAGAAGTGCAATTGGTCTTGCCCTATCTAGTAAATGGTAAACTTAACAGTTCATGCAGTTGGGTGGGTTAGTACTTAAACATTTTTGCTCGCTCATTTGAGACAATTTAATGGACATGTACTGATTTTTTGGCTCTTACTCAAATATAACATGACATATAATCTCATTGCTGGAAATGTCATGTTATATACTTTTTCAGTGGTTGGGTGATAAATAAGGTCAAACAACAATTAGATCTTGAGACTAAGAACAGGGAACAGCAAAGTTGAAGCTAGATTTGCCAAAACAGTAAGTTTACAATTACATTTTATTAATGTAAAATCAATGTGTGATGCTAATAGTATATCATAATGCAAATGAGTATATGCTGTTACAGATGACAGCCATTGTATATAGCCAATCTATGGGTAATAGCAAAGTTATTACTTCAGATATTTTGAGTCTGAAAGTTCATAAATGGGTTCTACATTTTTATATTAACAACCAGGTGTCAATTAACTTTATGCATGCCATCTGAAGACCAAAACACCTTCAAAGGACCCCTTAAGTTTGGCATAATGTTTCTTGTTGATTAACTTATTATTACATTGTTATTTACAGCTAATTATACTTTAATATGTATACTTATCACAACAGGCAGGCAACATTCCTTTGTTGACTTAACTAATTAACTTAAGATAAAACAAGGAAGTTTTGACATGTATAGAGCTATACAACCAACCAGAGACATGAAAAACTTCATGTCTCTGAACCAACCATGGGCTTTCAATTAAATTTCTAGTTGAAAGCCCATGAAACAACATATAACAGGCCTATAGCCAGGTTTTGTCAAAAAGGGGTCACTTTTCAAATATCGTGAAAGTCAAATCAAGCACACGTAGGTGTCACAAGCTTTATTTATATTTGCTTTAATTCAAAGAATTATTTTGATATTAAGGAAGTAATATAAAACAGGAATAGGTTATGAGTATAAGAATGAAAAAATATGTAAGTGATAAAACCCATATAAAATGTGTGATGCATAAGATTACTAAGAATTCAGGAAAATGTAATTCTAAATAAATGGATTAATTTCATTTCAAAATGTTTGAAACATTTTCAGCAGACAAACAATTTGAAAGACTTGAGGTTGGGCTTTTAACTATAAATGCTAATTGAAAGCCTATGTATGGGTAACAGTCACATTTGATCTAAGACAACCATATGGTGACATTAACTTGCCAAGAGAAAAAACCATAGAGCAAATGTGACTGAGGCTTAAAGGTGATTTCATTAAAGGGCTTGTAGGAATCAATTATTTTAAGTATTATGCCATATTACTAAGTACATATAATAACTTTATATTATACTATTCATTCAAGTTTAATCATGGGCTTTCAACTAGCCTATGGTTTAATGAATTAAGACACAGCTTAATAAAGGACTTACTGTAGCTCAAGACTCAATGAACTCAATCTTTCCTCTGTAAAGAAAAAAAGGTACATTGTCCTTTACCAATCACATCTTTTTTATTTTTTGTTATTATCATACCAAACATTCAGAGGGATAATGTATGTATACTCTGACCAAATGGAGAACATTTCAGAGAATTTCATAATATGGTAATAAGTTAGAGAGGATTGAATACAACAATTTCCAAAAACATGAGTGTGACTTTTTACCATAAATTGACATTATAAATTTCAGAAATCCTATAACCAGCAATGTGCTCCAGAATGGGATCTTCTGAGACATGAAGCTAGTTATGTTTAGAGGAAAACATCTTTTTAAAAAGATCTCAATCCAATAAAACTAAAACAAAATATCAGTTATATAATTAATGTAATTAATTACAACCATTTTGTATTAAAATTTGAGGTAATATCCTTCAGATTCAAAGGTCTCTTCTCAGTTCAAAATTAGGGGTAGGGGTAGCATATGAATTACAATAAACTTGAAACTGTAAGATAATTAAAACCCTTAATCTTTCTCAATGACCCATATACCTATACTTAGCTTATGCATACCAAATTTATATCAGATGTGATATATAAATGTGTTTATTGGGCAAAATGGTTACATCCTACCTCTAATTTGACTGCTATTTGAGGCGTAAAATTGTAAAAAAATCATGTTTTGGAACTTTCATAATTTTCTGTCAGTGTGTCAGTGCTTAAACCTATCAGTTATGAACAGTTTGAGACAGGATTTACAATGGCATGAAGAATATAACACATTGAAAATGATATCCTATCCTTAGTTTGGTAAGACAGATGAACAGAGATATGGATGGACAAATTGATAGACAGATAAATGGGTGATTCCATAGGCTCACATGTAAAATGATGGAACCATCTTAAATTATGAATTCCAGGAGCAGACCTTGCAAAGATGAGTGGGTGGTTTGATTATGGGCGTAGCAATGGGGGACCTACCCTTTACTCTCCAAACAAGACGGCAGTGACGGTAGATGTCCTTGAGGCTGGGTTCATATTTGCAGTTCTCATAGTGTTTTTTTCCTTCCTTCTTATTCTTCCTGGTGTCAGAGGAACTGAGGTAAGTACATAAAGGTTTTATCATCAGAGGTTTTGGATATGGGGAATAACCAGTCAGGTCAGTCAGTCAGGTGGGGTGCTATTGTGGCATAACTTAAGCGAGCCAAAAATATTGAGAAAGAAGCTTCAAATGAAAACATTCTAAAGCTCCTTTCTTCTATCTTCTGGTTCTATTTTATATGTTATGGAGGGGGGGGGGGGGGGGGGTCAAAGAGATGCCTTAGTCTGAAGGGGTAAAATATCCACTTATCAAAATGTCTCTATTTGTAACATTCATTCACTGATTCTACTAAAAACTAAACTAAACTAAAAACCTAAAACAGCTTATGTTAATATACCAAATATATAATCATTTATCATCACTCTCTCAGTGTATTATGAAATGAAAAAAAATTACTTACATTTATATTTGTATTTTCTAGAGAGTTAAAGTTGCAATAAGAATCACAGTGAGCCTGTTTATAGGTGCCTGTATAATGAGTAAGTATCTTATTCTTTTTAATAAGAGAGCGGGATTATCAAGGGTTTGGTAAGGGGCAGGGTAAGTGGTGGATGTAAATAGGATCGAGTAGGAGGTGGAGTAAGGGGCATAATAAGGGAATGGGTAAAAGGCTGTGTTCAGAGGTAGGTGGGAGGCTGAATTAAGGGTAAGGTACTAAGAGGTAAGGGGCAAGGTAGGGGACTTGATAAGGGGCAGGACAAGAGACTGTGTAAGGGGTTGTATAAGGGTCAGGGTAAGGGGCATGGTAACAGGCAAGGTAAGGGTGTGGATAAGTGACAGATTAAATGGAGATAGGATAAAAGGCAGGGTGAAAAACTGAATATGGGGCAATGAAAGAGAAAGGGTCATGAAATGCAGAATTGTAGCTTAAATGATTCTTCACAAAACCATTTTATTTGCATGAGAAATAATGTTATGTAATGAAAAATGAATATATCAGCTTGCATTTGCATTGTATAATATTTGTATTGCATAATATACAGCATACTTGAGTGCAATCATTATCCTGATTATAGTATGCAACTTTGGCCAAGAATGGGAAGTTGGTCATATCAAAACACACACTCAATATAAAGCTGGGGTCAGTGATGAGATTGAAGCCAACATTGGAATGAAAATAGGTCTACGGAGTATCAACATCACATTGAAAGGTGAGAAAGAGACTCCACTTGATTGAGAAATGAATAAGCAAGGAATGAAGAAGCATATATATGCAGCTTAAGTGAAAGAGGTGTTGGATGTGGGGGGGGGGTATTGTACTAATAAAAATAAAAACCCAGAAGGCTCACATGGTGTTCCTCAAAAAGAGAAAATTTAATGATAGCTAAAATGGCCAACAGAATTTGTAGGGGTATTTGGACAGACAGATGGACAAATCGATGATAGCCGAAATGGCAGACAATAAAAAAGATTAATTTTTCCTGATTTTGTTTTACAAAATCATTTCATATAACTTGTTTACAATGACATGGGTTTTTACTATGCAGGACACCTGGAATTATTTATGAAGCTACACAATTCTCCAAAAGTGAATTTTCTGCGACTAAAGTGGTGGCCATTTTGAAAATAAGGAGATCTTTTGAACCAGGAATCCTATCAACAGAGGATTTAAAATGTGCCACTATTGACAGACTGACGGATGGACAAGTAAATAATTGCAAAGCTCATTAATATGGCATATACATATATCAAAATCAACCAGGAAGTTTTTTTTCTTATTATACTTCTTTAAATGCCACAGTGACCTTACATCAGAGCTTTTGGTGGTTATAGTGATCTGTTAATTGTAAACAACAAGCATGATGTCAAACATCATGTGAAGTACCAGGACAAGTTTCAACATTTAGATAAATATAAGGAGACTATTTCAATAGTAAAATCAATATTATGATTATTAATCATATTTTCTAATAGGAACTCCATCTTCTACTAATTCTACTGTCACAATAATAATCAAATCAATCAATCTGTATAAAACAAGTATAATTGATATAAAGAACATTATCCAATGGAATGCGCCACTAAAATCGTATCCGACTCATATGACGTCTTAAAAGTAGTATCGGTTGGATACGATTTTTTCATGAGTTTGGAATTTAGTGCCAAATAACCACTTGTCTGTTTGATCTACAACAATATAGTTCCAAGATTATGTGCCCAGTAAAATCTAGTTAAACTTTTTCATGCAATCAAATTGTAAAAATAAGTCACAGAAAATAAAATAGCAAAGTAGTAAAGTAAAGGAAGTAAAGTATCAAATCCCACCGAACAAAACATATTTTGATAATTAGTGGCCATCTTGAAAATCTATTCTTAAACAGAGCATATCAGCATATAAAATTTGAACCAAATCCATCCACTGGTATTTGAGTCATCAAAAATTATGCTTTTGTCCGAAAATGACAGCCATTTTGAAATTCAGCTGCCATCTTGAAACTTTCTTCTTGACCAGAGCTCCTTTATCCCTAGGCATCAGCATATAAAATGAACGCAATCCTTCAATCGGTATTTGAGTTAGATGAACAAACGGACGGCTTCCCTATATCCCTCATGGGATAATAACGATCTAAAATACAAATTAATCATGAGAGAACCAGTTGGCATTTTGGGATATTTTGCAATTGTTCCTCTTCCTTATTGGAAGGAACATGTCTTTACCAATTACTTTAAGAGGCACTTGTTTCACTATTTGCCACAACAAAATATGAAAGTCTAGACGCCTAACAAAGAAATATATTTGTCGCATGTGTACTGTGGCATTCCATTGCATTTAAACAAACATGCATTCCCATGTATGATTTCTCTAGTGCTGAATACCTCATACATACCAATGTTAATATGCATGTTCTTTAATGAGAAACACTGGAGTCAGTTTGCATGTTACTTAATATTTGATGGATGGGAAATGTCACTCATCAGATCCAACCTTAATAAAAACCGAATAAAGGCTAAAAGTCATTTTGACATTCTGGCAGCCTTGGGTTTTAACCTCTCAATATGTGGTTTCAAAAATTGTTATCAACTTTAAATCAACTTCCTTCTGTGCGACAACTAAGTGAGATTACAAGTAATTTACCAGAAATTTTTTTTTATCAATATTGATAATTATAGGCTTCTATATCCACATCATTTGGAAATCAACAGTTCTGTTTTATAAGTAACTTTTGAAATGGAAAATAACTAATAGTAAAATAATTTTAAGCAAACATCCATATAATTTGTGTTTCGAGTCAAAAGCCAATAATGAAGTATTTAAAAATGAACAATTGGGTCTCTTTATTATATGAAAAAGTCAAAGCTTCACTGCACAGTACAGTACTGAAATTGCTAGATCAATCTATATCATACATTGAAAGTAAAAATGTGGGAAGTTTCCAAAAATATGTATGTTGACAGTTTTCTCTTTTTGTAAGGTTGTTTTCAACACTGTGAACGAAGAATAGATATCTACCAAATACAAAGGTCTCCCCTGCAATAAACTGTGGAACAGAGTCGAAAATGTCTGAAGGATGATCATTTTCACATGTACTAAGTTTTCCCTCAATGGGTACAGACCTGAACTGTTGAATTGAAAGGGAGGAAGGCAACATTTGTTAAAGATCAACCTAAAAGTATACAGTTTTAATGACAACATTCAAGACAAGAACATACTGCATTATACTATTTATTTTCCAGGTGATCCAGTAAGGCAAGAAATTGCAAACATAACAGAGACAATCAACTACAATGAGAGGTTTCATTGGTCGAACCCTTGGGGCCAAGGACGTAGGGGCTTCAGCCAATTTGGTAATGTACCAATATCTTATTCTACAGTTATATGACGCTTATCTCTTGATTTACAGATTTTAGCTACTAGACCCAAAACAGGGTGATAGTAACATTGGCTGCCCATTTGTGCAGATAGCATAGCTTTTCAGGAATAAAAATCATATCCCCCCATAAAACATAGGATAACTTTTATTTATAATGTAGAGCATATCCTATCACTCAGGTTCAATATAAAAGAAAAGCAAGTAAAAAAGGAAACCTCTTCTGATGTTATCAAAGTACCTGAATATCAGATTTATCTCATGATTTAACTAGTTCAATATATTTTAAACAAGCTGAACTTCAAAATATTTCAAACAAGACACACAGTGATAAATATCGCACTTTGAAAACCAAAATGGTAACCATGTTATTTATTTACCCAGCAAGCCCAAAACCTAATCAGATCTTGGAACTAGGCTGCTCTTGCCTGTGTAAAAAATTCAAGTTTAACAGGTTAGCTGTTTTCTTGGAATTTTGATGACAAAAAATAATTTGTAGTCCCAAACTTTGAGCAACTTAGATAACATAGTTTGTGACCTTGGAAATTTCACTTTTCAGACCTAAGTAGGTCTTTTCCAATTAAGCTGACCTAACCTTGAATCCAAAACTTCAATTTTTTACCTTTCGAATGTCATTAAATAGTCCCTGATCTGATTCTGAAAAGGGCTTTAGAAAAGGAGTTTGTTGTCCGGTACTTGTCCACATAAAATGATTGTAACGTTTGAAAGAACAGACTTGCCTCATATTGAAAACACCTTTTATATTGATAGAAACAAGGGCAAAAGGCACTAAAATGGGGTTAGACAAGGTGGTACTCTGCAGACACTTTTTACTTTATTTTATTTCACATAAGTGCATATTTTGTGTATGGTATCAAATGATTTTTAAAATATCGATATATTGATAGAAACGGGAAAAGGCACTAAAGTGGGGTTACACAAGGTGGTATTCTGAAGACAATGTTCACTATATTTCTTTACTTTATACCACATAAGTGCATATTTCGTGAATGGTATCAAATGATTTTTAAAACATTGTTTTAATGATCGAAACAGGGGCAAAAGGCACTAAAGTGGAGTTACACAATCAGACTCGTATTCTGAAGACAATGTTTACTATATTTCTTTACTTTAGAACACATCGTGTATATTTCATGTATGGTATCAAATGTTTTGAAGACATCGATATATTGATAGAGACAAGGGCAGAAGTCACTTAAATGGGGTTACACTATAAGATATTCAATGATTCGAGTGAAATAAAAATATTCTGCTTGAGAAGGTCTGTATTTCACGAGGCATTTGCACCAAGGGAAATACAGATTTTCGAGGGAAGAATATTTTCTGTATTTCACGAAAAATCATTGAATAACGTTTTTATTCCATGATCATTCAGATGAAACTCTCCCAAAATCAAGTACAATTCCTTGGCCTGGCCGGAGAAAATTCAGACAGATCAACTTTACTCACCCCATAGATTTTTTGATCGATGAATTTCTTCTTGTTATTTTCTTTTCTTGTATTATACGCTACATTTAATCTTATGTCCTTTCTCTTCAATTCCATGAGCTGAAAGTGCAGTGTAGCAAAACGTTTTTTCGACTTTCATCTGCCATATTGGATTTTTTTACTAGTTCATGTAAACAATGTGCATGCTTCAAATTGTTTTCTTATATTTACAGATGGGGAGTTTTTATCCTCAAATTATAAATTGTGATGATCACAGTATCATTTCCTGATATCTAAAACAGATATTTATAGCAAAATGCAAAGATGAGAATGCAACAGCTTAAACTTATCGCCATCAAATTTTTCAGTAACAGTCATATCCTGGATGGAAATCTAGGGCAATTGGATACTGAACCGTATCCCAATGGTGACGTCATTTTTTACTCTGTATCCAATGCTAAGTTGAGAGTGTGTGTAAATACAGGATATATTTAAGTCACATGGACCAATCAGATTGCAGGGAATTTCACCATCATGGAATAAAAGATGGTATTCTACGTTTACTATATTCTATATTTTATACCACATAATTTGACATAAATGCATATTTTGTGTTTGATATCATCTTTTATATTGATAGAAATGGGCAAGAGATGCTACTATGGGGTTACACAAGGTGATATTCTAAAATACATTTCTTTGAAATCAAACAATGCAAAATGCAAATAACTCAAAATTCATTTGTGTGGTATAACGTACAGAAACAGAGTAAAAAGTTGTATTTTAGAATATCACCTTGTGTAACCTCATTGTAGCGCCTCCTCCCCAGGTTTCTATCAATATAAAAGATGATATCAAATATGCATTTATGTAAAATTATGTGGTATAAAATACAGAAATATAGTAAATGTTGTCTATAGAATACCACCTTGTGTAACCCCACTTTAGTGCCTTTTACCCCCGTTTCCATCAATACATCGACGTTTTAAAAATCATTTGATACCATACACGAAATATGCACTTATGTGGTATAAAATATAGAAACACAGTAAAAAGTTGTCTTCAGAATGTCACCTTGTGTCACCCCATTTTAGTGCCTTTTTCTCCTGTTTATATCAATGTAAAAGGTGTTTTCTTTATGAAGGAAGTCTGTTCTATCAAACGGTACAATAATTGTTTGTGGGAAAGTACCAGACAACAAAACTTCTTTTCAGAGGAACCAGATCAGGGACTTAAAGGTGAACAGGTAAGCTGTTTCCTGGATTTTGATGACAAGATTTGATTTATGTGGCACCTGCCCGCATACCCATCTGAACAGATAAAAGCAATGATAAAAATGGTTAGGGCCACATGGTGATTCCTTCTTTCCTTCATTCACAATATACCAAAAGTTGAATACAAGCATGCACAAAGGCCGGATATATTTGAATACTTCTTCTTCATCATTTTTGTTGTCAAGTTGCAAAAGTAGACCAAATTGCAAAAGTATGTCAAATTGGAAAGAAGGTTAAATTAAAGAATGAAGATCGACATTTTATGATTTATGGTGTAATATATGACTGAAAATTTTCTTCCGTTCATTGTCTTTGGCAATGGCAAGAATAGAATTTGATGTCATATATTTGACATAAATCATAAAATCGAAGACTTTGTAACGATTCTAATATGATAAACAGACAAGAAACACAACTATTTGCATTTATGAATTTTAGAGATCATACATACTCCAATATAGACTAGTAAATCAATTGTTCTCGCTATTGTGACGTCACATATCATATAAGAATGACATACATAGAGATTATCCTATATGAGGTTCGGGATATTGGGATTATCCCGAGGCCAATATAATATATCTGCCCGAGGGCCGTAGGTCCCGAGGGTAGATATATTATATTGGCCAAGGGATAATCAAAATATCCTGAACCGACTATAGGATGATCTGTTTATCCCATACCAATCACATTTTCCAATTGGCCACAGTTCAGAAACGTTGCAACCAACTGTGGAATTATTTTAAAATATTCATGTCCAGTTTTGTATCCTTGTCCGGATTTTTGATATTAACGGGGCATACAGCTCCTTCCCGTCGTTTACAGTATGCGAACGTTACAAAAACGAACCAATATGGGAACAGCGATTATGCCGTAGCGGGCAGATATATATTATATCTGCCCGCTCAGAGCGGGAGGTAAAGCTATATCTGCCCGCTGATGAAAATATAAGTTTTTACAAACCGGCTTTATTTATCTGTAACACGTCCAAGTATGGGATAAATGTATATATTATGGAAAAACAAGTAGGCGATTTCAAATGTTCTCAATGTTACTGTGACCCAACAAAAAGCAGCCTTACTGTCATAACTCATTTCAAGCACATTGCATTTTCAGCTGGCAACATAAACCAAGAATACAGAGCTGCCAACTTCAAAGGTCTCCCCTATCCTATACTATGGATAGCTGAGTACTTCGTATTTGATGGGGAAGGTATACGTTGGGGCAGATACTACAGATGGTCAGGCTTCTACTCACACATCATGATATGGTAATGTCTTAATTGTCCTGCTGAGGGTTGGGGACAAATTAGTAGGCTGTCACGATCTCTAATTGGTTATGGTTTTCTAGGCCCATTACCCCTCTTCTAAATGATGCCGTCCAGTGATTATTTTCTACCCGTAGAGTTAATTTTGATCAGAATATATTCTATTATTTGGAAACATGGATTAAATTATTTGAATCATATTTATTATTAGTAAATAAGGTAAATTGAAGATTGACTTTAATTGCCTAAATTATCATGGTACTGATCAATTCAACATTGTAATTTTATTTTCAATATTTGTACAGGTTAGCGTTTCCTCTGTGGATTATTGCAAACATCTTATCATTTATGGTGATACGTTACTCAAGTTACCTTCTGGGAATGACAGGTGGATGTCTTCTTATCGCCAACATTGTGTATGCATCTGTTCGCAATCCAACAGATCTCACGATTCCATTTGAAGATGATATAATGAAATTAGCTTGGGGTTGGACATTCTGGCTCAACTTGGTTAATGGTAAGTGGTTTTGTTAAATTGAAAGGACAGCTTTACAGAAATAGTTTAATGCTGCTACAGCATAGCTATATATTCTGCACACTACTTGCTAATAATATGACCCATTTAAAGCAAATGGCCACTTAAAAAACTATGTCTCCAAGGGACCAGCATATGAAAATTGAACTAATTCTGTCAACTGGTATTTAAGTTACAGATTAATCTTGAAAAAAAAACTAAAAGGCTATATTGAAAATGTTTTCTTAAGCAGAGGTCCTACCAGTATGTCCATAAGACATCAGTCTATAAGATTTGAGCCAAATCCACCAACTGGTAGAAGAATGGATGGATGAACTGACAGTTGACTTTTCTATATCTCTTCTAAATTAATCTTATGACATATTGTATTCTTTTTGCAGTGTTTTGGCAATATTGCCAACTGTCACATATGTAAAAAAAACATGAAAATCAGGAAACCAGGGGTGGATCTGGGAACCAACAAGGAGGGGTCCAAATTTCTGGTCTAAGAAAAAAATTGTGGGCCCCTAAAATCAAAGGTGGGCCCAAATTTTGAAATTTGAGGCCCATTTTCTTCAAAACTTGGCCTGAAATTAAAAAATAAGGCCTTCTAAGGCCATAATTATTTATGGGCCCAATTCTTTCTTCTGGTCCCACCCAAGGGCGGGGGGCCCGGGCTTCTGTGCCCCCCCCCCAGATCTGCCAGCGGGAAACCCCAGGCTCTTATAGAAAAGTGCAAATAAGGTGCCTTTCATTAGTTTTTTTCTTTTTCTGTAGGTATTATCTGCTGTATTATAGCTATTGTCATGTTCCTGATGGACATGTTATGCCAGGACAAAATTGCAGAGTTCTTTGGAGTAGACCCTTTACAGGACTATGAGGAATATTATACAGGTGAATGTTTTATATAATACTATAATAGGTTTCTTACAAGCAACAGAAAAGTAATGTTTTGTTTTGGAATTAAACTACATAGAAGATTTATTAAATCATTTTTCAATAAACACATTTAGATGGCTCTGAAGGGAAATCAGGCAGTGAGAGGAAAATGGCCAAGGCTGCCAGTTCACAAAATGGTCATGATACAAATGATGAAGCAGCTATAGGGGATGCGACAAATAAAAGAGAATCTCAGTTGGTAAGAGACTTTTAAATAGAAGACAAATACAAATGCCCTCGTTATCATGTTTATCATGGAATCAAGATGAAATCTATGTTTCAATACTGGCTAAATATTTTGAGTTTGTTCCTGGTTCTTTAAAACAAGCGGTAGTAACTTCGACAAATTACAAGTAATATGTTGGATAATTTGTCAAGCGTATCAGGGGATAGAGAGGGTGAACTGTGAGAAGCCCTTCTCACAGCTGGGGACCCAAATGCCGCTGAAAGTAGGGACTCTGTATAACAGAATAATGTACCAACAGAAAGGCATTTTTGTTGCTTTGAATAAAACAAGTTTTAAGAAAAATCGGGGCAGTATGAGACTCGCAATCCTTGATTTTCAAACATCTGGTAGGTCAAAATTCAAATTAACGGTCAAATTTATTACCCCATGTTAAAGTTGCATAAGATTGAATACATAAGGATGAAAGTACAGCTTTTATATATTGTCAATACATGTAAAATGGTATTCTAGCCTAAATCTATCTCAATTTGTTATTTCGTGTTGGAAACAATAAGTAAAAAACTTAAAAATGACCAGTTTGAGGAGAATATCAAGAGTGAAATCATTGGTCTGACTGGACCATAATTATGGGATATGGATAACAAAATAGCCAAAATGGTCAGACGTAGAAATGAACTTTCATTTTGCATAAAATTTCATTTTAAGTGATATATGAAGATAAATGAAAAAATGCTCTAGGCACCCTCACGAACATGTAAATTGCAATAACATCCACAAAATTCAACTTGATTGCTGAGTCAACATAGAAATGAAAACATTTGTCTCAACATTTATTGAATGACCCTCATATTGACAATTTTAATGAATTATTTTAGCAACCACACTATGATGAATTTTACGTAATGAATTATTTTAGTAACCACACTATGATGAATTTTACGTAATGAATTATTTAAGTAACCACACTATGATGAATTTTACGTAATGAATTATTTTAGTAACCACACTTTGATGAATTTTACGTAATGAATTATTTTAGTAACCACACTATGATGAATTTTACGTAATGAATTATTTTAGGAGCCACACTATGATGAATTTTACGTAATGAATTATTTTAGTAACCACACTATGATGAATTTTACGTAATGAATTATTTAAGTAACCACACTATGATGAATTTTACGTAATGAATTATTTTAGTAACCACACTATGATGAATTTTACGTAATGAATTATTTTAGTAACCACACTATGATGAATTTTACGTAATGAATTATTTTAGTAACCACACTATGATGAATTTTACGTAATGAATTATTTTAGTAACCACACTATGATGAATTTTACGTAATGAATTATTTTAGCAACCACACTATAGAAGACGGGGATTTACCATCACAAGCAAACAGGTAAAAAAGAGCTTACGTCGACCTCGTGCAGCTCCACGTCAGGGTGAAGTTAACAATGGAATTGGCTCTATAGAGGAAGATGAACAAATTACAAGTAATATGTTGGACAATTCGTCAAGCGTATCAGGAGATGGAGAGGGTGAACTGTATGAGAATGCGGATCAGTTTGCCAAACATCAGCAGCAACAGCAAAGGTAATCTTGTGTAGATTTACACTTCTCAGAGGTTTTGCACTAATTGTTTACATAATCCATTTTGTAAACTGTGAAGCCAGCCACAAACCTAGCCTTGTTAACTGAACAGATGTGTGATATTTCTAAAAAAGAAACAGCTCACTAAACAATATCAATTATATGTAAAAGTTTGTATGTTCATTCTCCAAATGCAGGATACCTAGCAAACCCTCTGAATGCAGATTAGCTTACTCATTCTCCAAATGTTGAGTACATAACTCATCCTAATATACAGGGTACCAAACTCCCCAAATGCACAGTACATACATGTATATGATATGCACTCTCAAAATAATGGGGAGATTTCCAAAAGTTCATATATGCAACTATTCCTCCTTCGCTGACCCACTTATTAAACTGTAGTAATGCACCATCAATCTAACTTCAGAACACTCTTTGTTGTTAGTTGATTATTTTCAGATTAAAGATAAAACAGAAATTCTAGTGACTAGTTCATATGGTTAAAATAACAAAATAATGAAATGTAACCATGTGTCTACTTATCAGTTTGTTCTATGTCATCCATCCTGCTAAATTACATTGTGGAACTCAGCCAAACCGACACTGAAGGCAGTATTCTGAGGTTATAAAATCTAAATCTAAAAAATTTCCGGTTTGCAGCCCCTTAGAGATTTCCGGAATTGAACAAAGTAGCGAACGTTGCGATCTTTCAACTTTAGTTTGTTGTTTTTCACCACTTTATGTGTAGTGTTTTCATTTAGGAGGCGGTCTTATTTGAATGCATCATTTCAGGTCTTTACGAATCAAAAGATCAATAAGCAGACTAAAAATTCAAATTTAGCAGTTTCGTTCGTGTCGTACTGGGCCTGTTAGGCACGAAAAACAATTTAGCAGTTTCGTTCGTTGCGTAATTGGGCCTTCTATAATCAGTACCAAATGCTCGCTCCGTTTTCCTTGAAGACATGGTTGGGTGACACGTCATTAAGTCACATGATTGATACAGTAACTAGTCACGTGATCAGACACGTGTCAGTCAAGTGAGCTTGCAAAATGGACAATCTAAATTTCCAAGAATTCGACTAAGATCAGTATCGATGTTGTTGCCTTCATTGTCGTGTTTGGCTGAGTTCCACAATGTAACCTAGCAGGATGGATGACATAGAACAAACTGATAAGTAGACACATGGCTACATTTCATTATTTCGTTATTTTAACCATATGAACTTGTCACTAGAATTTCTGTTTTATCTATAGTTCAGTAAGTTTAGTTTGGTGTGCATTTCTATCACCATATTCACGATTAAGAAATTAAATGTTGAAGTGAAATACCTGAAGTGTTTGGTGATTTCTTCTTTAATGCAGAGGATCAGGTGAAACACCATATACAGGTAGCCATTTGACATAATACACCATATAACAGTTCTCAAACCATATAAATAGTTGCATCTATGAGCTATGCAAAATCTATTCTTCCTAGAATACCTTATGATCGTCTAACTCATCCTCCAAATCAAGGTGACAGAACTGTTCTTTGAGAGAGGAAAATGAAATGAATTATTCCCTATTAGTTTTGGTACTAATCCAGATGCCACTTTACTGCTAATCAGTTTGTAAGTAGGTTTCAATATTGCCAATGAGCTTTAAATTCATACATGAACATATTAAAGCTTACAATGATTTCTAAATAATTTAAATGTGATTTGTTCACTATACAGTACTTGTATATTATTATTATATATTTGAATGGTTTCTCTTTCCAGAACATTGGATGCTCAGAGTGGGGTATACATAGAGCTGTCAGACAAATAAACAACAAAAAAACAATGATGATTTACAACCAAAAACAATGATGATTTACAACCATATAAAATGATGATATGCAATTATAAACATTGATGATTTACAACCATAAACAACGATGATATGCAACCAAAGACAATGATGATATGCAACCATAGACAATGATGATATGCAACCATAAACAATGATGATATGCAACCATAAACAATGATGATTACAACCATGAACAATGGTGATATACAACCATAAACAATGATGATTACAACCATGAACAATGGTGATATGCAACCATAAATAATGGTGATATGCAATCACAAACCCTGCTATTATATACTGTTTTAGCCAAAGAATGACCATATTTTTTATAATGCATGAGTTTCAATGATATTTTTAAAGGAATGCAGCAATGAATTATACAGTTGATCCCAAAATGACATCACTATATCTCTATGTCATTAATATGCGTCTACAGGAACATTGGAAACACATGTCCTTATAATTTTTGGCTCCATCTAGCACCTTACTGACCTTCCTTACCACATATAAGAACAGTTTTCTCAGAACACTCAGGTAGATCTCCCAAATCACCTTTTTTGCTTGATGTACCAGTTATAAGTCCTATGTCTGAGAAAGATTGGGATCTAGAAATGGGATATTATGACATGTTATCATGATTGTCTTAGTACTCACATAACATTTACTTTTCATATTTTTGTACCTTGCTAACAATGCTCTTGGGCTACTTTGTACACATTTTCAGTGAATTTGGTTGATCAGTTGTCGAGATAATACTTGTCAAAAAGTGGCTCATTTTTGGGACACCTGATATATATGTATATAGTAAAAACGTACCCCACTCATTCATGACATCACTATTATTAATAGTGGTACATGTAACAGCTTCAATTTAACTATAATCAGTTACTTAGAGTTTGAGCTCAGGGCCAGTCCACTGGTCATTTATTCTTTCACTAGGTATAGGAAAATGGCAACTGGTCCATAATGCCATTTTGACCAGCTGCTCTCAGGACCCTAACTTAACCCCTGCAGAGCTTTGATTCAAAAACTGTCTATATTCTTACAGACTACTGTAGATTGGGTTAATTTGGCGCTACTTAATTTGGCGATTTTGCCATTTTTGGCATATTGGCGGCTATTTAATTTGGTGGATATGCAAAATTTTTTTTAATTAACTTACGCGTTGTTTGCGAATTTTATGTTCATTTTTTCTTTTGAGGACCACTGGCAATATTCACCACGTTTGTACATTTTTGTGAGATCATCCTTTACATTTTGCAACTCGATTGATGCTGCTACTATACTGCACTTTTCCTTTCTAGTTTTTCCCTGAGTATTAATAAGTGACTGACCAGTTCTGAGCCAATTTATGAGAGACATTTTTTTCATATTTTTGGAAAAAACTAAACCGGAAGTGACCTAAATACACTCGACGAAATACCCTAGATAATTCCCGGGGATTCATTCTAAATTTTGGCGAAGATTTATATTGGCGAATTTTTCAATTTCGCCAAATTCGCCAAATTAAAGCGGGCGCCAAATTAACCCAATCTACAGTATATAGCTTTGCAAGTTGTAAATAAAATGCATGTGAAGAAAAAATAAAATAAAACTCAAGAGAAATCATCGGGAATAGTTATGTATGGGATTTGAGACAGGATTTTGCCTGATTTTGAATATCAATTTCATTCCGTTATTTTCCCGGGGAAAACATGTTATTATGGATTAAAATACTTTATACCATGGTTAGAGCAAAATCAAGTATATAATAATAGCAAGTGATAAATCACATATTTGGGATAGGGACGATATTGGGATTAGAGGGATGATATCCGGTATGATATGGATATTAGAGATCCCATGATTGCTCAATTCACTGATATAAGCGCTAGAAATCAACTCCGATTTGATTAATCGATATAAATCCTCTATTTTCGATATTATCGATAATCGTTTTTCAAATCAACTTACCCATAAAGTAAGTAAAAGAGCTCTATTAAACCAAAATTGACACAGGAAAACTCCGAGAAAAATTGAAAATTAAAAATCTTTTGAAGAGCTAACATGACACGCCACATATTTTCGTGATTCAAACCGAACGTGAAAGTTTTAGCAAAAAAATGGATTTTCAATAATTTTGCGAACATTTGTGATTTCAGATGCCCTATTTGCAATTCAACACCAAATATTATACCATTAATTATCTTAATGCGTAATAAATGCGATAGGGCTCTAGACGTGTCCTTATTTTAATGTTTTAAGATGTTATAGTATCTTTCCAATTTGGAATATATTTAGCGAACGACAATCAAACATGATATTTAATGAATAGTGAAACCACAGCGAGATTTAAATCCTGTAAATTTGCTGATATTTGTAATATGCAGAACATCATCACAATAAACACAACCCAAAAGGTAAGTCTGAGGTGTGGAGGTCTTTTAAAAACCCAACATTCAATTACAACACCACTTTCTATGCTCAGAAGGGTAACTTAGAAAGTTTTTTTAGCGGGGGGACTCAAACCCCCCTGTATACTAGTGTATCTAATCGTTTGTATCGAATTGTTTTCATAATATTGAGATACATTTCGAATCGAAACAAAATGTATCACGGGATCCTATTGAATAACAAGCTGGGTATATAATCAAAAATTTGATTTTTTCAAAATTTTTCTCTCATTCAACAGAGGATTTTAGATATTGCTCTTGACCATGATATAAGGTCGTTATTCACCTGTCAGGATGATATGAGGAATATCCCCGGGATGATATCAATATCAATATTTCCCTCTGTCACTGCATTTCCTCATCCTTGTGATATTCCCCATATCAAATCCCTCCTGGTGAATAACTTCTTTTAATAATGTACTCTAATTTCATAGTTATCATTTTTATTATTTGGGAGAATTTAAACACTTATTCCCTTTTTTTTAACTTTGAGTCCTTAATAACTTCACCAATTTATAACATATCGTAGATTTTTTTTGGAGATATTGTATTATTGGATCATACGGAATAGATTGGTAGGCCAACTGAACATTTGCAACTTTGCCACTCCAATTCCCTTTAGATCTGATTCTGTCTTAAATGTCATCCTTTCAATCAGGTTTTGTTCTTAACTACTGTATTATTTTAAATGTATAGTGTCTATATTTTGGTACAATTGTCTTTCTAAAGTCTCTATCTCTCGTCTCAATTCCTCTAGTTTAACCTTGGCCAAAGGGACATCCTGAAAAAATATTTCCTTAAGTAACCTTACTAAATGAAAACAAAAATCAAATGATTAAATCCTAATATTGAATTATGTATCAATGACAGTTATGTCTGGCAAGTTATTTTTCATTTCTTGATTGTGTAAAAACTAGCACTTACTGGTGGAAGACTTTGATAGCTACTCATCCTTGCTCGGAGTGGTTCTAAGGAGCCCTTTAATTCTTCTAGCTCCTAAAGAAAAAAGAAAGCAAGAACATAATGTCAGTAGTAGCTGAAGGTGAAGTTATGTATTGTTGGAGCATAGAGAAATATATTATGTGATGGGACTGAACTTTGACTGTTCATATAGTTGAATATGTTTTGGCATAGACTAGTATCATATTCTAAAACACATCGAATCATAGTTTAAAAACTTAAGAAGTTGAATTGTTAAAGGCCCTATGTATAGTTTGAAAATATAGGAATATAGTTTAGATTTAACCCTACCTTGCTTTTTATTAACAATGCCTGGTGAAGGACACTTGTATCAACCCCACTTTGATGCAATGTTTGCTGAAAGGTAGATTACATACTATGAATGCACATCATGTCTTCAGTGGTTCAAAACCATAGTGCTGAAGACACCCAAATTCAAGAACTGTAAATTCCTCAGAAGACCAGAATTCAGTTCTTTAGCACAGAGAAGACAATTAGGTTATTTAACATTTAATCCAGCAATTAACTTCATCATATTACATGCAATGGTTGTTTCATTCATGATTTCGTAGGAATTCTGTTGGAACCCAGTTCTAATCAAATACAAAGTTATTGAAAATGGCGCAGACGTCACTGACTCCGAAAGATCACTTTTCAATTATTGATTGGATAGAAAACCAATAAGCTAGATGTTTAACGAAAATGAAAGCAGAATTAATGTTTGTTCAAAGCAAGTCAGAACAGGAATCAATCACTGTATCTTAATTTAATTGACAAATATATAGGGGTTATGTACTGGGAGGTTTTGGATATGGGGTTTATCCAGAGGGAGATGGAAAACATTTAAACATTTTAAGCACATTGGAAAGACATTGCCATCAAATGATGTTTTACGAGCATAAAACAGGCGTTTTGATTTAGAAGATTGTGTCATATTTTTGGCGTAGTGTTTAATTTACACTTTCCTACACCCCTGAAAAAGGATGGCTGTCAAATGATGTCCATTCTGTCAATAAACAAACAATTAACATGATTATGCTATTTCTATGATAGTCGTTAAATAACCTAATAGTATTTTGTGATCTAATATTTGAAATGTTTCAATGCTAACATATCTTTTTAGTGACTGTCAAATAAATATGGATTATCAAGCCTATTTCTAATTTATTATATAAATATTTTTACCATGGAGGTTTCTATTCTTTTTCTATATTCTCCTCCCTTCTTCCTGAAGAACAGTAATTGCTTGCTTTTACGACTGACATGTGGTGCCTCATGTTCTTTTTGCTCTCTGAGTGCTTCAACAGCCCTGCAACACAAATGCAATAATATACATGCAAATTATCATGCAAATGTCACCACCTAACATTTGTTACAGATGCCGACCAAACAATAACCGCCGAATGCCAAACATCAGCTGCAAAACACCATCCACAAAAAAAGTTGGAAACTATAACATGATGTCACCAACTCTGGTGGAAACATAAAAATTTGCAATATGCAACCTCTAAAGATAATAATTCTGTTTCTAATTATGGAACCAGATCCTAGTCTTGATTTCTTTTTTTCTATTTATAGTTCAGTCAAAATGAAGAAGTCTTCAAAGAGAAAGTATAGGATTTAAAGATCTTACACTTTAAAAGATATAACCATTGTTGAATTCAGTTAACCATATCGATACCTATCCTTTCACTATCTTGCAGAATTCATCTTTTCAACTTGCAGAAACCAGGAGGAGTGATTACCACAGAAACCTTTGGAAGCATCCTCAATTTACACAATAATTGGTTAATATTGACTTACTTGTTCAGTGACTGAGTTCTGAGCATGGCTGATTTCGTTTTTGCTGATAATTGCGTAAACAACTGATGCTCTCTACTTCTCTGTTCTTCAATTTTAAGAGTCTGTTGGGAGATATCACTCAGAGCACAGAGGTAGCTGGAATAAATCAAAGCATAATCTCATAATAATATATCTTTTTACTTTGATGTATACCAAGCCAAAAAATGTATCTTGGCCTAGGCTTGTATTTCATTCACATTGGATTGTAGACAGATTTATTTAAACTCATGTGATTAAACTAACCATAAAAATGTCAGAGTATTCATGTTTAAATGCAAAATAGTGTAGAATATAGAAAATAAAAACAAACAAGGCAATAACATGCAAAATCAAGCAAGAGACATATGTGCATATTTTGAAAATGAAAAACTGTACAGATATTAAACAATGTAACTATGGATAATTGTATGTATCTCATACTTGAGTGAGTTTGGGGTAGATATCACCCGGGAATATATATCGTATCTGAGGAGCGGGCAGGATATTATAAGTTATTCAATGATTCGAGTGAAATACAGAAAATATTCTTCCCGAGAAGGTTGTATTTCACTATGCGCTAGCAGAGTGAAATACAGACGTTCATCAACCTTCTCACCTCAGAGATATTTTACATCGATATTCCTTCAAAATCTTTATGGCCTTGTTGTTTGCTTTGTATTGTATGATACGAGACATTTGATTTTCTTTTTTTTCTTCAATTTCATCAGCTGGAAGTGCAGTGTAGCGAAACATTTTTTCGACTTTCGTCTGCCATATTGGATTTCCAAAACCTCCCAGTGCATAACCCTTATATATGTTTATTCTTAAAATATAGTTTTATAAAAAAAACATGCAAAATGCCATCACCTGCCATTTGTCACAGAGGCTAAATGCTGAACACCAAACTCCAAACACCAACCACCGCCACAAGTTGGAGACTATAACAATACATTACTACTTATGGTGGTGACATAATAATGGATAAAATGGAGTGAATAGAATTGTGTACCTTGAGTCATTAGCCTCTGCTATCTGTAACAATTCTGCAATGTTAGACAGGGTTCGAAGGCTCATTGTACCAGACTGAGAAAGATTCTCCTGTTGTAAACCAACACCATCCAATATATTGGTAAGCCTTTGTCCTACAATAATGTCACAGTAGCAAGTACATATTTGCATATGTTAAAATACTATTTCTAACTAGATAACAGCAGCGCCAAGACGCCAAGGAATAGGCATGGCAACCATATTTGGGAAATATTAAATGCTCTTGGGCTAATGGTATTTGAGGAATTGCCCTTATGGACGGCGTCGTTCTGTCCGAACTTCAATCTATGGGTAATAAATAACATTTAACAATGAGCAAAATGTCACCCCCTGCCATTTACTACAGATGCCAACCAAGGCCCGCTGAATGCCACGCACCAACCGCTAAACGCCATAAACAAAAAAAAGTTTGACAAAAACAACCACCAGAAGTGGTGACATAAAGATTGCATGTAACCCAAACACAAAATAAGCCAGATGCAAGTAGGTAGTTACCAGTTTCACCACCAGGTGGCTAATTGAGGGAGATAGCATGGCAGATATGTAGAAAGTTCCCTTAAACTTCAATAATCATCAGTTTCAGTGTTTCACTTTTCATATTACCCTTATGTATCTGGTAAATACAAATTAAAATATGTCCAGTAAAAGAAAATGGACACACAGTTAACCCCTTTAAAGAATAAGTGATTCGGGGGTTTAAAAGATATCAATTATGGGTGACCAAAAGTAGCTGAAAGCAATGGATCCCATGAGTTTTCCCTATGGGAAATATTATTTTCCACTTTATCTTAAAGGATTCACTTATTCCTTTAAAGGGGTTAACTGTGTGTCAAAACACAACATATTGATGCAAGAAAAATTAAATGAAGGACCCACAGTCCTGTGCTCACACAGTTTGGGACCTTGAGAGGAATGTATATCTTGACTTTCAAACAAAAATATTGATTTGGATTTGTAGTCTCGAACTTTGAGAAACTTAGATAGCACAGTTGTGTGACATAGTTTGATGACCTTTGACCTTGAAAACTTTATTTATTCAGAGCTCAGTAAGGTCTTTTGTGACTCAGCTGACCAAAATTTACATCCAAAAATCCATTTGAAAAAGGTTATGCATTGGTCTAATATATGCACCTGTTTAAATCCTCGGAAAATAGCCAAAATAACAACATATGACTGTCCAATCTGTTGCGATACTTTCCCTCCTCCTTTTCAAAGTTGATAAACACTTTTAAAACCACATTTCTAGATGTGATTTTACATCACTATGAATTATAAGAGACTTGTTTTAAATAAAAAGTAATACTAACCTTCAGCATAATACTCCTTAGCTTTAAGCCTACAATCCTCAATTTGTGCTTCTATGTGTTTGTCTCTTTCTAAGTTTGTTTTCATCAATGCATGGAGAATGTCAATGGTCTTGGTTGAGATCTCATATTGGGGAATGGAATCATGGAATATTGCACCCAACCAGTCCCGAACCTGAAATTTCAAAGTTGTATACTCAGAAATTGTTCAACATCATACATGTTTATAATTTACCAAATCTCTTATTCATTTTTTCTTTACTGGCATCAAGGCTCCCCCCAATTCATTATATGTTTTATAAACAATATGCATCAGTTCATCATGCCTTAAAACATCCTGTTTCCTTCCAATCAATTCTGACATTAGGAAGGATAGGGCCCGGGCCTCCCCCTTTAGTGGGTTCAGAATTTTGTTTAGTTTTTATACCCAAAATTTTGTAGAGCCTCAAAAAATGGGCCATTTTGGGCCCCTTAATACTGGAGGGCCTCAAAAATTGATCATTTTGGGCATATTTAGGCCTTTTTTGGCCAATTTAAAATGAGCCTTATGGCCTAGTCACATAGCCCGGCCGATGTCCGGCATCGGTAGAGCTCGGTGCATTTTTTTGGTGCCACCGAGCTCTCCTCATCGGAAGCAGAGCTCGGTGACGTGAACAGACTCCGTCCGGACATCTTCAGGCGACCGACCGAACACCGGCCGGTGACCGTACGGAGTCTGTCTCAAAATGGTAGTTTTTTTCTGCCGATGTGGCAGCAACTACCGGCCGGAGGTCGGCCGGACATCGGAAGGAATACGGCCGGTACCCGAGCAGGTAACAGGACACCGTGCGATCGTCGGCCGGGTTGTTAACGGGCTTTGAACAGTGACCGGCCGATGCTCTGTCCCACATCAGCCGGAGCTCGGTCGGAGCTCGGCCGCTGTCCGTTGAAAAACCTCGTCCTCTGGTTGTCTCAGATGCACGGGACACCGGCCGATACTCGGCCGTGCACCGGCCGACGTGTTTTCCGATGTGGTTACGATGGGGCTGCGATGACATGATGAGGGAGCTCGGTGAGAGCCCGGTGAAATTTAACTCGGAAGTTAAAATTTCACCGAGCTACCACCGATGCGGTTTTAAGCAACAAACGCCACGGATGTCCGGCCGGTGTTCGGCCGAGTTCGGTGAAAATTGCATCGCTGGCTCATCGTAACCTCATCGGCCGGGCTATGTGACTAGGCCATTAATTTTTCAAAATTTTGGCCCAATTCTTAGTTTCAGGGGACCAACATTTTTTTCCAGACTCAAAGTTCCCGCCCCTTGTTGATTGCTGGATCTGCCAATGTACTAACAAAAATAAAATGTTTCACTTTAGGAGTAAAAAATATTCAAATGTTGCACTTTCAGAATAACAAGATCCCAAAATGTTACAAATTTTTTTACAAAATCCTCCCTACAAAAAAATCCTGGGGAGAGCACTTAAGAAATTCAAGACAGCATGTCAAACGATCCCATATCAGAGCAACACAATGAGAACTTCATAGCGTTTGTACCAAAAATGGGAAGCAATTTGAGAAGTGATTTCTCAGCAATAGATAGGACAAATTCTTTGAAAACTTTACTTGATGCACTTTAGGGTATCTTCTGCTATTGCAATGAATATGTAAGAGATTAAGGTGCCATGGAAGTTAACAGGAAATGACGAAACAGGAAGTGACAAAATTTTTTGCATTTTTAGACATTTTTTGATCAAAGATAACAGAGTTCTGGTTTGACCTCCAGTCAATTTAACTATTTCCACATATCATTTACATGACCAGGATCACAATGTGCATGGTCAGAATGACCCTAAACATGATGAAATAACCTTTTTAGCACTTTGAAAGTGTGACTGAAAAAAAGCTAAAGTAGGAAAGAAGGGAAGGTCACTGAACAGAATCTTTTGAATTTCCCAGAAAATGTGCCCAATATAATGCTCTAACTGATACAATCTTTGAAATTTTAGAAAATTGTCTGAAACAAAAATGGCGGTCATAAAAAGGAAAATAATTCGCTTTTCAAATCAGTTTTTTCATTTTTTTTCTTTTTCTATGAATGAAATCAGATTGTATCATTTAGAGCAATATATTGGGCACATTTTCTGAAAAATTCGAAAGATTCTGTTCAGTGACCTTTCCTACCTCCGTCTTTTAGCTATTTTTCAGTCACATTTTCAGAGGGCTGAAAAGGTTATTTCTTCATTCTTAGGGTCATTCTGGCCATGAACATTGTGATCCTGGACCTGTAAATGGTATTTGGAACTAGTTGAATTGACTGGAGGTCAAAACAGAACTCTGTTCAAAAAATGAAAAATGAAAAATTGTCACTTCCTGTTTTGTCATTTCCTGTTAACTTCCATAGCACCTTAATCTCATATTGTGTACCGTAATCGCCGTATTAAGGGCTAACCCCTAATAAGCTCCCACCCCGCTTCACAGAGTTGAAGAAATAACGAGGTATGACCAAGTATTAACGTATATATCAGAAAAAAATCAAATTTCCAAAGAAATATTGAGGGCGATAAAGGAGTACTTACACTAAAATGCAGAAAACATGACGCGTTTTGTAAATCGATGAATCCTCCCAATGAATATCTATCAGTGGGTGCTTCCCACATCATACTAAGCTAATATTATCTCAAAATAGTCCATAATGAATGAAGGAAATGATCACGTTTCAGAGTTGTGTTTCGACATTTTACTAACTTAGTGATCGTCAAGGTCATGTCAAGGTCGTGAACTTTCTTTTTAAGATTTCTTGACTTTTACATGACTTTTATACGAAAAATGATGATTTGTCATCAAATAAAAAACAAGGTATAACTTTAGATCTATATCTAACAGTCTATAGTGGAAATATTGAAGATAATCTCGGAAAACAATTCCTTCACCTCGAGGGGCTCTGCTGGGGAGTTCTTCAATCACTGTCAATATTGTTAGATTCTTGTTTATTTTTACGATCTTTACAAATAAGGCATTTTTGGCAAGAAAAATTTCTATACATGAAATTCCTGGGGATTTTTGACTTCTCTCATATATGGACGCTCTTTGTAATGGGTTACAATGGGAATTTCAATTTCAAAAGCGCCCTGGGTGCTTATGACAGCGAATACGGTATGTATTTTTGAATTAAAATGTTTCAAAATAACCAATATCAATGTACAGTGGGGATCATAAAGAATTGCAAAAGCTATGAAAATTACATGCTGTCGCACATGTAAAATGCTCTATTTTCTCCGTCTTAGTAAGTCCAAATATAGTGGAATTTGTGTCCCTAATGACAAATAAGAACTTCAAAAGTTGAATTGGATATTCACATGTTATGCCGACTCTTCAAATGTTGAGGTGATTTTGTCGCCCGATTGCGCCGGAATGGAGGATTGGCTCCCAGAATGCAACATGACACGTGCCAGCTTTCAAAATGCTGTTCCGCCATTTTGAAACCTGTCATGAGTAAATACGGTTAACCGATGTTGCATTCTGGGAGTCAACCGTCCTTGGATAACAAACATGGCGATTCATGAAAACATTCATTCGATTTGGTAGGGATTTATCCATTATTTGCAGGTATGAAGCTTTGGATTCATTTATTGTGCTACTTTAGTGAATGGGAATTATTTTTCTACCGCTTGGGAGAGTTTGAGACACGAAACTTGGAAATAAGCTCATTGTGACTTATCCCGTTCCCGGACTATAGTCCTGCACTGAGCGCATTCATTTGCCTGTACGATTACAACTTGGGAGAATTATCTACGCCGCTTACACTTAAGATACCTACCTCAATGCATTATAGAACTCAAGATGTAACTTCTAATATATTGGAACCGCCGATTGTCTGGGTATATCGGCAGAACGGGAACATTTTCTCTTTTTCATCGAGAGAGATTCCATCACTTTTCAAAATGGCGGTTGGATTTAAAAGGGGAATCCCCCGTTTGGCTGTCCCGGATGTAGCCCGGAAGTACCAATATGGAGGAATTTGACGGTTGAAATAAGTAGGGCTGCCATCGAACTCAAATGTCAGTGTCGACAGTCGAACTCTGCTGTCGAAAATATTGTCGACAATCGAACTTTCCAGGGAAGTACGGTAAACAGGCGAAGAATTTATGTTGACATTTTTATCTGGTTCATTAACACACTTTATACACTATCGGGGAAAAGCTTCATATAACTTATATTCATATTGGTATGTAATTGCCTAATATTGTTACTAAATGCCAAGTTAATAGAATATTATAGACGAAAATGGGACAAATACCTGCAATGTTTCGACCGGGATTTATTTCGACTGCTCGGGCGAAATCTCGTACAACGTCTCGCAAGAGAGAAGAGAAGTCATGAAGGGAACTTCCGGGTGAATTTATTTTTTGAAAATGAAATGAATGTGAACAATATTTCCGCAGAATACGCGCACATAACACGTTGAAATGTGTATTGAAATGTATTGGGGCCATTTGGATATTTTCAAGTAAGTATTGATATCGTTTGCTGTCGACATGACGGGAATTTTGTCGACTTCGTTGTCGAACTTGCATTTTGACTGACAAGTCGACGTTCCGACTAATGATGGCAGCCCTAGAAATAAGTTAAATGTTACACGCAAATATTGCGATCAAAAACGAAAATGTCTTCGTTCTGCCGATAAACCAAGACAATTGTGGATTCAACTACACGAAAAGAATGCTAAATTACCAAGGAATCTATTGAAGTAGGTATCTGAAGTGTAAGATGAGTAAACAATTCTCCCATGTTGTAATCGCACAGGCAAAAGATTGAGATGTTCACAGGACCATAGTCCGGGAACGGGATAAATTGTGACAACTTGTGAACGTTGAGTTTTATTTTTGTCCCCCACTGTAAGTCACTTATAATCTATTTCCAAGAAAACTTTTCCGTTTTTATTCTAACAAGATCACCTCCAATGAACTTTGAGAATGAATGGATTTTGGATATTTGGGAAGAATGAAACAAATTAATTAGACATGACACACAGACAATGACAGATGTTATCACCTTACTTTCTCCAAATCAAGACTTGCATTTTATTGAATCGGTACTGCACATTGACCTTGCTACGGACAATTGTGACATTCTTACATCTTGTAGATTTAAGGCCAGGGTGCATGTTTGGAATTTTGCTGCATTCCTCAATTGCAGGCCGTCTAATTGTCCCGCAATTTGCGTATTTGTCATGCATTTGATGGCAAAAGATTGCGCTCAGAAGCGTAGAAAATTCTCTCATGTTGTAATCATATAGACAAAAGATTGAGACGTTCTATAGTCCTGGCATGGGATAAATGCACTTCATTGTTGTTGATGACAAGGAATTTTTTATTTCATATTTGATTTTAATTTTTCAGTTGGGACCGCTTTCCTGCGCATGCACCCCACCTTGACAAAAGGCAAAATTGAAACTTACTTCTCTATGTTTCTCGTTGACCCCCACACTCATCTTGAAGCAAATTGACTTCAGTCTGAAAAGCTAAGATGACCAAATTCATCTAAGAATCCAACATTTTGAGTTATTTTGAAAAAATGGCGCCTGAAATCGATCTAGAATACAGACTCGCGAAAAAGTATAATTAAATTTCTTTGATATTAGTCTAAAAACTCAGTATGACTTCGATTGGTTATCAAAATATATTGATCTTTCAAAGCAAATTATTTGGTGGTATAAACACTTTTCAATTATATTGATTTTTAAAAAATTGATAAATTTCGTTTTATCAAAAAATTGTTGTTTAAGATGGCGACCATCAACTTTATCCGACTTTCGTCAAGAGGTAAAACGTTACATTTCGGGCAAATCTAGTCTATTAAAATATGCTTTGTGGTTCATTGTCAAAAGATGAAATCTTCTTTTAAAGTCTACCAATTGTTTTCTTACTTGTTTTACACTTTGGGGTAGTGACAGCGATATATTGAATGACCTTGAAATTTTTGACCTTAGCCAACCTCAACATTGAATATTGTCAATATTTTGTAGACTACATGTAACTGTCAGTTATCTTGTCTTCCCAAAATCAGCCCAGGCTAATTTTCAATATTTAACCCTTGATGACAAGTCTTACTCTTTTCGCAATTTCCTCTATACTTCTATAAGTGTGATATTATGTATACACTCAAATTTTTTATTCTGGGAACCAGTTCATATGGTTAAATAACAAAATGATGTGATGTAACCACGTGTTCTTACCAGTATGTTCTATGTCATCTATCGTACGAGGTTACATTGTGGAACTCAGCCAAACACGTAGTTCAACGTCGTTAAACTCAATAATGGCGTTCTTTATTATTAGGAATTTTCTTGGGGCCATTATTGAGTTTAACCTCCTTACTATTCTTTCCTTTGATGCAAGTTCTGAATCCATCGAAACCATTTTTCCGCGATAACGTGCAACTGATACTTGACAATAATATAAAAACACATAACATCAAGCGATTTAACACAATATTATTGTGTTAAATGTTCATTTATACGAGTAAAATGAGGCTACACTTACCAATCTCTAAAGTGATATTTCCGCATGTCCGTCATTTTGCTGTTCGTCTGAGTGTCCCGGATCGTAAAATTGAACAACCAGCGAAACGAAATTGTTGTCAAATAGATTGATAATTATTATCGCGATTTCTCGGGATAAAAAGATCAATTTTGAGGATAACAGGTATCTTTGATTAATTTATATAGCGCGTATATACACGCAAATAGTTATTAATTGCAAACCAACTGTTCGTTAATGCAGTGCCGTGATGACGGTTAATTCCTGAAACGATTTGCAATTTCGATGTTACCGAAACTGACTGACATTTTCGTCATATTCCAAACCTGTCTCCAATATTTTCGTAATTATGCATCAATAGGGTCTAAGGGGGATACGGGACGGGGTGTATGTGTTTATAAGGTATGTATGCATGCTTGAATCACATTCTTTGTGTAATATTGCCTTGTTTTCAGGGTTCAATTAGTTCCGCTTGACGAAACCTGCTGAACGATTAAATTAACGCATCAAAGGCAAAATGGTCATGGAGGTTAGACCTAGCCGGGCCATAACACTAGTGTTGTTGCGATTAATCGATACATCGCGATATACATCGCCAAAGCTGGTTCTGGCGATGCATCGATGTCTGAAACAAAACATCGATGTTTTTAAAAAAATTTAATTTGCTAAAAATCGCCCTTTCTTATCTTATTTTGACGCAAATTGCTTACCTTTTTTCATATCTTATTTCATTTTCAAATGTTTTGTGATATTCTTTTGCTTTAAAACTGTTTTAGCTAGTCGAAATGAACCATTAATCTAAAAAAATTACTTTACTTTCATTTCACCGTTACTATGTTCCCGGATGTACCAACGTACTCTTATTAATTTGTTCTGTTCGATATTTTAGTGCATTAGCGTTCGGTATTTCAGTGCACTTTTCTCGAACTTTTTCTCGATGTACATCGCGATGTGCATCGATGTTTACTACTGAAAATTGCCGATGCATCGATGTACGATTATGGCACATCGCGACAACACTACATAACACATGTCAGATAAGAAACGAGGCCCGGGCTAGGTCTAATGTTGTTGGACTACCAAACACGGCACTGAAGACAGCATTCTGAGGTTATAAAATCTTTAATCTAAATAATTTCCCATTAGTACACAGGCTGGTATCTTAAAATTTGTCCGCTGTGACTGAGCGTGCTATTTTGCATAGAAACACTAGGAAATCCACACAATTTATTTTTAACTCATATGTTACTCATATTACTTACTCCATACAATTGATATATCATTTGCGGGTAACTGTAACTTCTGTTTGAAGTCCCACAACGCTAAGAGTAAAAGCTATTAAAAATGGCGCCGGAGTATCATATTCCAAAATGTATTAGTGTTGTAATTATTGGTTTGTCAAGCTTGTTTTCGCCCTTCCTTCGAAAAAATGCACTTCCGCGTTCTACTTAAATTTATAAGCTTGACTTAATTGAATTGATTTAATACAGATGATAAAGGATAGGTATCGATATGGAGAACTGAATTAAACAATGTTTTTCTCTTAAACCAATTATTGAAAACATTCTGTAAAAAAACATGGTATTTTATGTAATGTTGACTGATTGACAACAATTTAATGCGAAAATTATTTAGAAATATTTTATATAACTGTTTTTGTTAACATTTTTTGTTTTTTTTAGTGCAATTGTTTTTGCTCCTTTCTACCAATTCTTGAGAATGAAATAAAATGTCTTTTCGAACCTTATTGGAACAAAATAGCAAATACAACATGTTTTAGACCTCTCAATATTATTATAGTTATACGAAGGAATTTTTGGTTGATTTTGAAAAAGTATTCAAAAAATTAAAACAAAATCCCCTCAAAATAGATAAAAGATAAACCTTTTATTTCATTACCAAGATACTTTTTTAAAATCAACCAAAATTTCATTTGTACAATTATAATATTGAGAGACCTAAACATGTTGTGTTTATGTCGTTTTGTTTCAATGAGGTTTCGGAAAGATGTTTCATTTCACTCTGGAAACATGATACCAAGAACAAAACAAGTGTTTGATATGTTTTCTAAAACAATATAGATGGAAGTATATATATCTTTTTCAAATTATATTGTTACCATTCAAAAGATGACCATTAAATTGACGATGTGTTAAATTTATAGATTTTTTTTTTCATGACTGGTTTAAGAGAAACGTGTGTTCAAAAAGTTCTCCATATCGATACCACTCCTTTAATTTAAAATTAATTTTTGAAAAATTTTACTTTCAAACAAATTCTAATTTAATGAATTTGATATAGATGAATAAATGGAAGGAGGTAACCTATTAAAGTAAAAAGCCAATATCTTAAAATATGTCATTGCATAAATTACAAGAGACTTTTTCGAAAATTTACTACGATGTGGATTTGTTCCCAAATTGTACCCATCAAACACAACAATCCGCCCGCCCATTCCACAAAAAATGTTAGCTGTACAGGTATATTCTCCACTTTTGTTGAACAGATACAAACCAATAGTAAAACCATGTCCCTCTCAGCTCATTTTTGTCAAAACTTTCAAGCAATTTGCGAAAATGTTATATAAAATTGTCATTGGCTTTTTATTTCGCAGGTGATTGCGTCATTTAAAAAGTTGCTCCTCTATCGATTATATGTAAATTGTATGCAAACTTTCATTCATAAATTAATTATAGCATGTGCAGTGGACTTTCCGCGAAGAATCTTATGACCATATATGGTGTCTCTAATTAAAATATTGATATAAACAAAGCACTGCAGTGCATGTGTATCCCTCAACATTCATGAGCATTCGTCTACTAACAAGGAAATCTGATGTTAAAAAATAGATTTCAAATGGTGGAAGGACCCGGGGGTCGCAAATATTTGACCAGAATTATTGCTCAAAGGGTAGGGAAATTGACACATTTATTTGGCCCCAGGGTAAGGAATTAGACAGGCCAAATTTTTTTGTCAAATTCCCCAACCATGCACGCGCGGGGGGATCTCACGCAAACTTTTGAGTGGTGCATAAGGAATAGATTGGTAGGTCATTTGTACATGACTAATTTTGTCACCCCTATAGATCTGATTCTGTCTTTAAATTGACAAATGAATACGCATGCATGTTCAAAATAAAGCGAATTAAAACTATCGGAATTAATGAAGAAGTAAGCCTGTTTAAATTTCATTTTGGGCTCACGCAGTGCACAGTGAGCCTATTGGATCAACTAGGCGTCTGTCCATCCATCCGTCTGTCCATTGGTCTGTCTGACTTTTGGTATTTATCCAACCGAACAAAGTCCAACCGAACAAAGTTCGGAGGGATATAGGAAACGCCTTATTCCGTCAGTCCGTCCGTCTGTCTGTCCATTCATCCGTCCGTCCATCTGTCCATCCGTCCGGGCAATAACTCAAAAACCGTTGGCCAGATATTGTTTTTGTACACATATACCCTATGGGGGTAGAAGTTCTCCTCGAAAGCAGATTTTCAAAATAGCCACTCATTTAAAAATGGTGGCCATCTTAGTGCCGATTTTACAGTAATTTAGCTGCAATATGTAAAATTGTAATAGCAATATGTTTTAAATGTAAAATCAGTTATATAAGACATTAATAAAGCTAGAAATGTAGATATTAAAGAAGAACATAGGCAGCCATCTTGAAAAATGGCAGCCTTTACTCGTTATTTTACAATTTTTGCTGTAACTCGAAAAGTAGTGGAGTGATTTTGTTCATATTTGGTATGTGAATACTATAAGCAGGGCACACTGTCTAATGACACTTTTGGTAGAAGGCAGCCATTTTGAAAAATTTGGAAAATGGCCGCTATTTTAACATATTTTACTATAACTTGAAAAGTAGTGGAGTGATTTTGTTCATATTTGGTATGTGAATACTATAAGCATGGCACACTGTCTAATGACACTTTTGGTAGAAGGCGGCCATTTTGAAAAATGGCTACCATTTTTGCTATATACTTTGTTTGTAAAAATGCCAGCCATGGCTGTTCGATGGGATTTGCTCACTTTGGCGTTGCTGTTGTCTAGTTGACCTTTACTTGATCTTCAGTGACCTTCGAAGGTAAAAAAAGCTGATTTTCAAGGTCAAAGCTCAAGGTCATCAAACTAGGTCACAAAGTGTACTATCTAAGTTTCTCAAAGTTCGAGACTACAAATCAATATTCTTGTTTGATAGTCATTATGTACATTCCTCTTAAGGGTCTACACTGTGTGAGCACACGGCTGTGGGCCCTTCATTTATCTCTTGGATATTGTGCTTATGCTCAATGGTTGATGCAACATGGTTATGTGCTGTTAAGTTGAATGTTTTACTAATTTCTGGAAGGTTAGAGACAGTAATCTCGATTCGTTCGAGGATTTAATAGCACTTCTGACCCTTTCATAACTTTGCGAATGGTTTCTTATTTAATTATGTTGTGATTTGTGACGTTTTGTCATTTTTAATCCGAGAACACAAAGGTTGACACCTCAAATTAATATAAACTTATTTCTATTTTTTCTTGAATCTTTATCTTTATATAACTTCTTCTATGACTTTGATTTTATTCTTTTATTAAATCTTGTTTGTTTTACTATCTGTCCTGCCAATGGTGGAATATGACTTCAACCCATTCATAAATCTAGCTAAAAACGAATGACTTACAAAACAGAAATGGTCCATTCACAAATTTATGAATTCGTAATTCATTCGTAACTTTTAAATTATTTACAAATATTTAATAAATTTATTAATTGTGAATGTTTGTCACTACGAACCATACAAGAACAGACCCCAGGTTAAAAGTGGTATATCTAAAGGCTCTTCTGAGCCTTATGATGTTTACATAGACATAAATAAACAATCTTCCTGAGACAATCATATGGAATATTATCTAAATACAAACTATACTCTAAAAGCTAAAGAATTTGTATTTTGCATTATTTCAGGTGTCAATCGGCTGTTGATGCCGCAGTTTGTAACGGGCCAGTTGAGTCAGACATCTATAGCTGCAGCAAATAAACGCAGCTTAATGCTCACTCCTGTACAAAACAAAAGATTATATGGACCAGGTAAGTTTAACAATTTAAATTCTCAATGTTTAGTCAATGTATTTATCTCTACTAACAAAGTTTGATATTAGGATATAGTGAAGCCCTCTGTTCAGAAAATAACTCAAATAATATTCTGTGGATAGATTTTCTTCACATTTGGAACTGCTTTGAAAATGGCAGTTGACATATTTTGTGGATGTTGTTTAATGTGTTTGGCATTCATTGGTTGGTATTCTGAGATCAACATCTGTAACAAATGGCAGGTAGTGACATTTTGCATGTTAGTGCCTTGTTAACATTAGATTAAACATACATGTACTTTACTCTGACATTCTTCAGATTACCAAATGAGTTGTTCATTTGTTACTACGTGAAGTTGCCAGATTCTAATTTATCCTGATTCCCTTTAAGATGAGTCTCAGTCCAGGGTTATTAGGTTATACAACTGCTCCACCTTGATAATTGTGGAACTTGATTACCTCCATCAACAAGTTATTGCATCTTGATAATGTTTTCTTTGCTCCAAATCATTACACAGATTTGAAACAATTAATGATATGAATGATGATAAAAAGATGTCAATTGCCCAAAAGCAACTTACTCATTCTAAAATCAAATATTCTCATTTAGAACAGACATGAAGCAATCATCTCAGCAAAGAGGTCACATTTACACTCAATTTCATGATTTGGTTTATTTTCAGATTTTGCAGCACCATCTGCTATCAGCCACTGGAAAATTGAAAGGGCTCTAGCTGTTAGTTTGATAGCTGTGATACCAGCGTGTATCTATTTACAAAGTCCCATAACTGACTACATGTTAACTTGTGGTGTATGGCTTCATGCCCATTGGTAAGAATTCATCACTCAAACTTGTCTGCAGTAGGTACTGTATTTGTCTTTAATTTGGTGAGCATTTTTATTTGGCGAATTTGGCAAATTGAAAAAATTGGGAGGTGCCAGGGACTTTCGACAGGATAAGTTGACTCATGCTGTGGCATCAAATAATGTTAGATATGAGGTTTATCCCCTTGAAAAACCACCAAATTAAACTTAAATATCAGATATCCCAAAAATTGCCAAATTAAGTAGCGCCAAATTAAAGACAAATACAGTATTGATGGGACCAGGTTTTGGTGTTCACATAGAGGATATTCATATAACATGAACAAAAGTGTTCAGTGGCAATATTTGAAAATTAAATTGAGAAAATTCCAGTTATCTCTTGCTAATGAAACCCTTAGTAATATACCCACTGTATATATGAAATGGAGACAATACTGAAAATAACATGTTAAAAAGTAATCATTTGAGTTTTTCTTGTGAGAAACCATACCGTTCATTAAAATTTTCATTTTATTTCAGGCACACCAGGGAAGTGATGACTGATTATATCCATGGAGAGACATTTCCCAAGATTATGGGATCAATTTGGTATGCACTGTCAGCCACTGCATTTTTCGGTCTTTGTTACTTCAACTACAATGACATAGGATTGGGAAAAGCCATCGCACTTCTCTGGACAGTTAACAAATAAACTATGAACTGACTGTTACTTCAGTTTAGTTTATCAATATAAGTGGATATTCTGAATTGTGTTGAAATCCCTTACAAAAAAGTTTTTTGAAAATGTTTTTTGAAATGGAATTTAAAAACATAAAAGGTACATCTTGTCTTTTTCAGTAAAACTGTATCTTGAGTGTCAACTCATATTTTGGTTTTTAATCCCAGTATCCTTGGTTTCTGAGATACCAACATTTTTTGTGAGGGATTTAAAGGCATGATGAAACGACTAAATAATTCACTGTATGAGTTCCAGCAAATGGAGGGCCTGAATTGTTGCCAAATTGTATCCATTGTTATACATTATAGTAGTGAATTTAATACTGTATTGTACAATGTATTTGTCGTGAAAAATAACTTATTATCATCATTTGTTTCATGTTATGCTTGTAGTCTCCATCTCCATTGATAAAATAACTATACAACAGAAGATTTAATCCCTGTATGTAGATGTTGTACTTTATGCTTGAAAATATGTTGTGAAATAAACCTTCTTTTCCCAACAGCTAGTCTTGCATCAAGCCCTTTTCTTCTTCCTTTCAATCATGTTGTGAAAAAATTATCATAATAATATTCAACCAAAAAATGTAAAAAACTTTCTAGGTTCATCAATTGAATTGACATAATGTTTACTGATATTCCACTTGCCAAATAGTTAATTACTATGAATTAGATATTTGAAAACACATTTCATTTGTTAATATATTATACTGCATTTGAGAAAGAAAAATGTAGACTGTACAAACGTGTGTTCTGTTTGTTTAGTTGAAGATGACCACCAAATTGTTCTTTCTCATAAATACATCTTCTCATTACAGTTAGTTATTGACAGAAATGTCCCTGCCCGGTTGAAAACATTTGAAAGAGTACAAGTGCTATTGATGGGGATGCAGGCATCACTTTTGCAATTGTTCCAAAATAGGATAATGGAACAATTTTAAGCTAATTTACAATTTTTCTATTCGTTGTGGTCAAAATTAGAACATTTAAATCATTCATGATTCACCTTGAATTTTCCCACCAGTTCTGTTTTCTTGATGTTGAACCAGTCCATCGAATCGTCCTTAGGCAGGGGAGGCACCAAAAGATTGATGTCTATTTAGAAACTTAACTAATCAAGTCTTGGGGTGGGGGTTTCAATACTGAAGATTTTTTTATCTGACAATATCAAGGATTTGAAATTGTGAATGAACTTTTGATGCCTCTTATTGGTCTCAATACACTCCCCATGCTCCAATTATTAAGAGAAATATTAATTGTAATTGACATATAAGTACCTTACATAAAGATTTTCTCTGAAAGACTTACGATATGCATCTGGTTCAAATATGAGGCGCAACTTCAGAGTTGGCCAAAAGAGCCACTTTTCAAAAAATTGCTTTAACTTTAGTTATTGATTTAAAATCATAATTCAAAAGAAACTACAAGTTGCAATCTGGCCATGCATTATGAATTGTACACGTTTACTAAAATATTAAATTCCTTGTCATTTGACTTATGGAGAGTCACATGTCCCTTGAGCATCAGCATATAAAAGGATGAGTCTGGGAATGAGTCTGGGTATCGACTTAAAAAATATTGAAAATTGTAATGTCTGAAAAAATAACTCGATCACACGTATTATTAAACTTCAATATCTTATCCTTCTTCTGAGATTACAAAAATATCACTTTGTATCACAATTGATGAAGAATATTGGCATCAAAGACAGTGCATATCACTTTGTCAGAATTGACAAAAAAATCAATGGCAAATATTAAATGAATTATTTATGCAAAAAGTTTGAAACATATCTTCCAAAACATTGGTTACTTTCTTTGTATAGACATTGAATGGTATTTCTGGATAAGTGAATCAGTGTTTATCTGGGTAATCAAGGGATTATAGTCACTCAAAGTTACTGAGCATCCAGTTTTGAGACTGCAATCGTGTTGGTGATGTTACACATATTTCAGTCAAATTCATGCTGAGCACAACATTTTGGTTTCAATTTTATAATCTCTATACATGACCCTGGTGATGAAGAGTCAGAATCAGTCAAAAAACCTAAACCGGAAAACTGTGCTCATTGTGAAAACTAAAAGTAAAGCAACTTTTTTTCTGATATTTCTTACATCAAATGGCAACCATCTTGTTTTTCCCCCTTCAAATTAAACTGGCGGGAAATTCAAAAATTTGAAAATAATTTAATCCTTAAATATATTTCAAAAAGATGATTTTCTTTTTAATTCTTCATGGGTCTTAAGTTATTTCTTCTTTGTATGTCATACATGTTGCCATTGGTGTTTTTTTCTATGATAATGACTATTTTTTTGTTTGTTAAGATACTTATTCTGACTCTCAGCAGGGGGTTAATTATGCATCAAAACTCATGAAAAAGTAAATATACTTATCAAATATAACTAGGACAGTAATAAAAACCATATTTCACATACATTTGACTGAGGGACCAAAAGGGCATATACCCAGACACATCCTTTGAACCAAATCCATCAACTGATACTTGAGTTATTTATCATGATAATGGTGGCTATTTGAAATAAAAGAATCTAAAATGTCTTCTTGAGTAGAGGTCCTTTGCCCATAAGATATTAGCCATCAAAAAGCAATAAATTCTACATGACTAAATTTAATTCTTTGGTCTACAGGGCGTCAAATAAGTCTGTTCTCCCCCCTTAACTTTTTTAATTCAGAGATAACATAGGGTTGGTACATATCATCTTAAAGGGAATTTAATTTGCTGATCACACACCAAATTTCAGAGTGATTGGTTAAATTCCAAATTTTTTAGAGTATTTTTAGTGATGTCCATATTTCACTTTTTTAATAGTCTGTATGTCTCCCCCAGCAGCCTGGAGGGCCTCAATTCTACGAGGATATGATCCCATAAAAATCATTCAGAACGTTTAATTTTAAGTGTTATCAACTATTTTGTGTTGAATGATGCCCCTGTTTCAAAGGCTCCCCTGAATGTAACACATTTACTCTGTAATGATATTGAGAAACATCAAAATCACCCAATGTTGGCTTTGTCACTGCAATATCAACTTTTCACTTTTCATTCACTATACCTGGTAATTTTACTTGTTTTGACGTAATCAAAGGTCAACTACAACCTCACAAGAAACATTGTAGCAATCTTATTAGGAGGAGTTTATGATTGATTTTTTGAGCGTGATCAGCATTTTCCATGAGCTTCAAAATGATATATGGGAAAGTATGATAAATTTAAAGATGAAAAAGTTAAGGGGGGAGAACAGACTTATTTGACACCCTGTATAAATGTTATGTTATCATTATATTTCTTAAATGGCAGCCATTTTGAAATTAAGCAGACATCTTGAAAATTTCACCTTGAGAAGAGCACCTTTGTTCATAGGCATCAGCATGTATTTGAACCAAATTTGTCAGTGGCCATCTTGAAAATGTCTTCTTGAGCAGGGCTCCTTTGTCCCTAGGCATCAGCATCAAAAACTTGAAGCAAAGCCATCAATTGGTATGTGCTAATGGTCCTGATATAAACCCCTGTGATTATAAGTTATAGAGACGTTTCCAGTTAAGCACCCAATCTCAAATGTTGCCCAACTAGAGCTGGCAATTAAGACAAGTTGGAAGAAACTTAGACAACATTTCATTGTTATTACTGCTATATTAGCATGGTGACTGAGACTAAAAGCTATCATCAAAGAGGGTAGCGGACCAATAGACTAGATGCGAGTAGAGATCTTGATTTGATTGTATGAGGCATGAGCATTAGCAAGTTGTGTGAACCCTAATTCTTCAAGAGTAGTATTGGCAATTTGAGGACTGGGAAGGAGCATTCATGGAAAATAATTCCCAGTTTTTTTGGGTCCTCGATTGTGACTTGGAGAGTCTGATGAAAGATAAGAAAATAGAGCAAAGTATAGTGTTATATCACAATACAAATGTTACTATACAAACTGCAGTTAGAAATACATGTATTTGAAAACATAAAATATCAAAGAAATACATGTATGTCTACCAAATATGTATTAACCTCTTGAATCCCAGGCTCTAAAATCTGTTCAAACCAGAGACTTTTTAATTTTTTGCCACCTTTTGACATTTAACTACATACCTATACTATTTTAGATGCTCAACTTAGTAAAATTAGATGGCAGAGATCATTTCTACACATTTTAAAACAATTTTTGTGTAAATGTGATGAAAACTGTTCAAATAACAGCAATTTTAGTGATCATTTTGTGATGGATTTTCTCGCCACTCTGGGTTTCAAAGTTTCTAAGGTGATGAGAAATCTCGTCACTCCAGGTGGTCAAGAGGTTAATTAACCATTCTTTTGGATCAAGTAAAATAAAAATGATTTCAAAGTTTGTTTGACCCACGACGCCATTTGTCATGTTGCTATTATAACAATAATAATTATCTAGTGTGACATCATATGGCAATGAGACTGTTTTATCCAACTCACAATTACTTTTCCATTTACCTTGAAAATTTCAAGTAAATTGGTAAAAAATAATGAAATGACATACAAATTCCAAGAACTAAGTGATCACCCTGTATATGTACATTTTCCAAATGAACTCCAAAAGCTATTTTTATATTTTCAATAATATATTTTATCATGGCTTTAGAAAGCCCATAATTTTATTCATTATAATAATTCATATGATACAATAAAGTATTTACAAGTCCAATATTTATTAGCGACTGGTTCTAAATATCAATGTTTTTTCTCATGTTTTTACTGTAAATAGAACATTGAAGTGTATTATAACAGTCTCGCCTCAAGACCCCCTGTATACTTCACCTTTGTGTTGCAATGGGAAGATGAAGTACATGGGGGGATACAAAGTCTTGAGGGAAGACTAACAATTACTTTATGGAAACCGGACTCCTCATTCCAATGCTCTCACCAATAAAATTAGTTCCACAAAACATAAAACCTTTGTGTTTGATCCAGTCTCTAATATGTACATGTATGTAAAAGTACATACCGTCACACATTTATATAAATATCCATATTGTACATCAAATCATCAATGGGCAAATTGGTTCATCATCTGGCCTCACAGGTAAGTGTTTCCTTTGATTCATATCAGTCTATGGCATCATCTATGCCTATGATTTCAGATGAAACCCAAACTAAGCAATAAAAAATACTGGTCATTTAATTGTTTTGACAAATAATCTCATTGATTTTCTGTTTTTAAATTATGAATATGTCTGCAAAAATTCATTAAATATTATGTTTACAATATGTGTATATAGCTAGCTCTCTGTGGAAATGTTAAAGAAGTAGCCTAAATCTTCTTCAACACCATGGCCTAAAAGGAATTGGAATCTTACAGTAAAGTTTATTATCTAACATCACATCACAAGTTCACATGCCACCATACACTGGGTTACTGACAAGTACAGTATTGCACAAATACATACAGGGTGGGCCAAAAAATTTTGCAACCTTTTTAGAAGGCAAGAAAAGTATCATAACATTATGATATTGACATGAAATTTTTTTTACAGAAACTTAAGGATAGGCATATTTTACCATTCAAATACTTAAGCTAATACTGACTTCAAATTTTTTTCTCAGATGTTTGAATATTAATGGTAAATTGTCCGTTTGTCCGAGATTTGCCATTTTTCTTAGAAAATATGACTTTCTATGATTTTATGTGACCAACAATAACACATTCATTATGTTTACTAAATCTGCTTCAATCTTTGATAACTGTTTAACCAATGTCTAGTACAGGTTTATATCAGTATCTAGTCACTATGGTAATATTGTTACACTGTATTAATTATTTATTAAACAAATGCTCTATGCATCCGCCTTTCACCTTCACAATCACATGGAGACGAGAACTGAACTGGTCAATGGCGAGATCCAGCAGTTCTTGTGGTAGTTGCCTCCACTTATCCTGCAGAACTTCTTATAGTTGATCAATAATTTGTGGGGAATAACCATTAACTACAATACATTGCTCTAGGTGCCCCCATGTGTGATAGTCCCAGGGGTTGGCATCTGGTGTATTGGGTGGCCATTCGACTCAGGACTAATCTTCTTCAAAAGGGACATCTTTCAAGAATAGGGACTCTTTCAGTCCCAAGTGATTACATATTCCGGCAGGATAGTGACCATAGGCCAAAAGTCACTATGGAATATCTGGAGCAAAATACCCCTTGATTCATTAGTCCTGATGAATAACTGCCCAATACACCACTTAACAAAGATTGCAGCAGATTTAGTGAACATAATAAATGTTCTATCGATGATCACATAAAATTATAGAAAATCACATTTTCTAGGAAAATCGGTAAATCTCGGACACATGAACAATTTACCATTAATATTCAAACATCTGACAAAAAAATGTGTAGTCAGTATTAGCTTAAGTATTTGAATGGTAAAATATGCCTATCCTTAAGTTTCTGTAAAAAATATTTCATGTCAATACCATAATGTTATGATACTTTTTTTGCCTTCTAAAAAGGTTGCAAAATTTTTTGGCCCACCCTGTATATGGCTGCAAAAAGCATTTAAGTTATTTTATGATTTTCTTTAGGGTTTCCAACTTTCCTTACGGCATTAGCTGTTGTGTTAACCTACTGACACCATAGATTTATCACAAATTCATTGATAATTTATTTTTTATTTTTGAATTACTATATTCACTAGCGGTCCACCATTCAAGGAATTCATCATTCTTAGAAGGAGACATATTCACCATAATATGGAACTCATTGTTTAGGTGTAATATTATCTTGGTAATAGGTCCTTAGTTCTCTCCATTGTGCAGTTCGTATGACAACATGTGGTCGTTTGTGTTTGATAAATCCTATGGCTTGTTCTGGAGTCCATTTCATTTGCTGAAAAAATCCATGAGGAATTAAATTATCGTAGTTATTTATATCATGATTGTAGTCATAAGTCTCTATAACAGCCTAGATTAGAATTATAAAAATAACCTATCATCTAAAGATATATTATGTATCACATTTTGCTATATGAAACCCTATTTCATATGTGTTGTAATTAAACAAATTGACCTAAAATCTGATTATGGATTCTCAAAAGACAACTCACCGACATTAAATAACAACCCACCAAAGTTGCACTACGACTTCTACCCGCTTTACAATGTACATAGACACTACCCCCATTGTCAACAAATCGTAAAATGAACTCCACACCTTGTCGCAGTTCTGATTGGTTGGGAGAAGATACAAAATCTTTGGTGCTTATTTTGAGTTGATCAACACCAGCCTGTTTCCAATCCTGTAAAAGAAATTAGAATAAATTATGTACACAGCTTTTCTTAATTTTTCTTGAGTTCTGTTCTACATGTTTACCTTCCACCACCCTTTTGTTAATGTATATAGAGATGTTTTAGGAGACCACATAGTTCTAATAAATGCAATTACCTACAAGAATCAATGTCAAATGGCCAATTCCTTTCTATGACTCAGTCAGTGACAATCCATTTCTTGTCTATCTGTCTATTTTGGATCTTATTGAGTTTAAACTGACCTTCACTAAATTCAACAACTACATGTACATGTAGTCAAATATCTAACCTCAAATGTGGGTACAAATCTTTCTGGCATTTCATAATCTTCTGTCAATGTCACCACACCCCTTATGTCTTCTCCATTAACCAGCTGTAAAAAGCATATATCATCATATTTTTTTCATATTAATTTATTTATTTATTTATTTCCATATTAATTTACAAGTAAAATGGTAATTCAAGGTCAAACTTTCCACAGAAACATGGAGCACAATCTTCTGGTAGGTTTGTAAATTAAATAATTTTTTACGCATAACAATGCAGCCTGGCCTGACTACCTAGAATCTGAAAAGATGAAAACCTGTATTAAGAATTGCCCATTTAGGTTTCATTTTGGAGATAAATTAATTTGATGTAACATATATGTCCTAAAATAACTATTTAATGTTTACAGGGTAGAAAGAAATCTGGTGATAACTTCCATAATGCGCATATTTTCAAAATATTTTTTTCTGGTGATGCAGAAATCAATTCTGTTTCTGAAATTGGAAAAATGAATCTTCAATGGTTTCTGAAAAAGAAATGATAACAAACATGTCATATACAGTTGTTAGGGTAATTTTCAAAGCAACAATATCATCCAGATAATAGATTGATATGTTATAAAGTCAGTCAGAGAAGCATGAGATTTTAATAATAGGCATGCACCAATCTGAGAATCCAATTGTGCAATTCGGCCAAGAAGTATTAATCTGAGTCTTAAGGTACATGAACAGGTGTTTTACTGTTTTCAAGAAAGTATCATTGCATTTTAGTAAACAGTGGAAACAGGTCAATGGCAACTCCTGTGTTGTCCAGAAACTTTAAGAAAAAAATTATAAAATTAAAAGCATGAAATATCAGCATTTCCTGGAGTTACCATTGACCTCTTACCAGATTTACAAAACGAAGGCAATGTCATAATACTTACCTGAAAAAGCAAGGAATAACACAGATGCCTTCATCGCTTTCATGCTTTATTTTGTGCCGGAAAATAACATGTGCAGGTATAGCAATTTAAAAAAAAAAAGTTTTTGTTCCAACAGTACCTTAACAATGTTCCACAACTACACTGTATGTACAGTGATCGCCTATTATTACAAGTGCGTGAGTAATGTAAAGTACAGTGCAACTAGTTACTTTGATGGAATGTCAATGTCACATAATGGATGAACTTCCTTGATCATATTGATACTAGTCTTTTGTTTTCTTGATTTAAACCTACTTTTAAGTAAAGTTGCAGATTATAATTTGGCACAAAGCTAGAAAATATATTGAGGCTTTAGAAAATGCGTTCAATTTAAAATGTATTTGGTAAATGAAGCTATATATATATATTTAGTTCCTCCCTTTTGTTTTATTGTCACTTTGACATGAACTTTTGTTAATGTAACAAAAGTGAGGGACTATAATTGTTTGAATAATGCCTTAATTTCAAAATCCTTTCCAAACCGAAGCATTTTTCAAAGCTAGACTATATTGTCTAATTTTGTACCAAATTATAATCTGCAATGTGACTTATCAATAGATCTAAATCAGAAAAAACTTGTATCCAGGAAGTCTGTCCATTTTGTTAAATTGATATTCTGTCAAAGTAACTAGTTGTGGAACAGTGCTTCAAGGACTTTAAAAACCTGTTTAATGAAAGTATAATGATCCAGCGTCAAGTAAAATAGGTGATTTGGAAAATCTGCCTGTACAGGGAAAACCATTACTAGATCTTATTTGTGGTAAGGAAGATTGGTATGGTGCTTGATGCTGAATCAGTTTTTCTTCATCTTACTTATTTTTCTTCTGACTCTTATGACTTCAGATGTAAAACCCTGTTTCATAAAACTAGATATCATCACAGAAAAGATAAAAGAATACAACAGTCTAGCTTCATCTCCAAATCAAGAATTGGCTGCAGTAAATAGACAGCACTCTTACCTGTGGTATCATCTTCTTGAAAGGCAGAGCCCCTAGGACAACAGTGTCATCTATCCTATTAAACCAGCACCTAGATGATATCTTTTCCATCACCACATTGTAGAAAAGTGTCGGATAAAACACAGCTTTTCCCAGAATAGTTGACATTTTACCTCAAGATGGTTCTAATGAAAGGATTATGGAGTCACATTGCAAGAGTCTGAAAACCAAGAAGTTAGCTAAATTAAAGGCAGAATCAGAGCTATGGGGGTGACAAAATTACACACAACATGTAGAACTGACCTACCAACCTATTCCTTACAATCTCAAACACAATATGTCCCAAAAGATTCACGATATCTGGTGAAGTTACAGAGACTGATTCAAAGTGCAAAATTGGGTGAAAAATGTTTAAATTATCCCAAATAATAAGAATGGTAACCATTCTTATAGAATTGTAAAAATCAGAATCTGGTTGGTGATTTTTATGTCACCACCAAAAGTGGTGACATATTGTTAAGTCACGTCTTCACTTCAGAGTTCAAAATCAACTTCTGCAGTAATTTGATAGCATCTTCTAATTTGTCTCACTGACGCTTTATTGCTTCTCAAAACATATTCTCTCAACATCAGGAAATTAGGGTGATGTGCAGGGAAATTTTGTAGGGAATTTCAGTCACGAAAAAGAATGAGTGACAACTTACACTTCCTCCAAGTGTTTGAAAAGATTTAGGGACAGTTTGATTTTTTGAGTAAAACTGCTGAAGCTTTTAATCCGGATTCAATCCCTGGTTCAGACAAGACTTGCTTGTTTGTGTAAAGTACTTCAGGGTATTTGACTGAGGGGTCCACAGCTCATACAAAAGGCCATAGCGTGTACAAGAACAAGTACCGGGATACTCTGAAATCTTATCCCGTTCCATCTGTAGTCTTACGAAATTAATCCCATAAATGTGGGGTTGATTTTTCAAATCACCCCAACAACTACTAGTCATGTATTGAAATCTTGAAAAATATTGTCAGTATTTGACATAAAGCTAAACTTTGCCGATCCAGTTTATTTTCGACTACAAGTAGCTGTGAGGGTTATTTCAAAAATCATTCTCACATTTATGGGGGTATACAAAATACATCTATCCAGATTAGCCAACAAACAAGTTAGACAAAGCTAAAATTAAAAAGGTACTTTCGGCTTCTTTCATTACCATGTTTCAAATCTTCATACAGATCTAGAGCCGAAACATTTCGAAAAAATGCTGAGGACCATGTATGGGTTTGATTGATGAACAAGGAAGGGAAATTGAAGATGAAAGGGAGGATGGTGGTCAGTTCATTACGTCACATTTGAAAATTGTTTACAGTATGCATCCATAAATGTAACACCTGGTAGCGACAAAACAGCTTCAAATGTTCATAGTTCAATAATAAGAATGCACTTTAGTTAGACTATAAACCAGTCTTATCTAGACTAACCTATGTGTAAGCTTAGAATTAGGCTAGATTCTAGATTAGACCAAATAATATTGCGGGTCAAAGTACAAAGTTGAAATTACACGAAAATACGGCAAAGAATCGAAATAAAAGCTAAGACATCATAATTTTATACTCACAAAAATACTATTCTATCACCAAATGCTTTAAAAAATTGCCTTACAATGACAATTTTAATCACAAAATAGAAAGTTTCAGATTTTTCTTAAAACATGGGCGCGGCCATCTTGAAAAAATAGTCTCATTACTCCAATAATTTTTACCCTATTTATCACTATACGTACTAATACTATACCTCTGAGTATTAAATTCATATACAATACTTTATTTTGAATGTTCGAATTTCCATGAACTATTATGATACACTCAAAATCTCAAATTAGTTCCTTTCCGTTTTGGGTTCACGTGTCAAGGTCACAGAAAAATAAAAATGTCGATGAGAGTTTTGGTCGGAGTAAAAAGAGTAATAGATTACGCAGTGAAGGTAACATTTAACATTTATCCATGCTTAGTGTAATGAAGAGGAGATATGTCTTATTTATATTAATTTTATGTTCCCATAAGTCCCGTCAGATCTCATTGAAAACGGAATCAAATCTTTTTGCAACCCAATTCTGCAAAAAATGCCACAGATTGTCGTCAGTGAGAAGTCCTATTAGATCTAGATTAGGGGTCCCACGATACATTATGAAACGATACGATACGTATCTCGATACTTAGGTCACGATACGATTAACGATACGATACATAATAGTGTAGTTGAACCGGGGAGGGGGGGGGTGCAACTAGTATGTATCCAACAGACTGACTAGAGTCCATTTCACTGCTTCAGTTCGTCAGTAGAACGGCAAAAATAAGAAATTGGGAGACCATTGTGCAATAATATATGGAAAAGTATATTCATAATGTACATGAATGACATTTGTTTATTTCAGATTTTTTAGTTTTTTGTGCAATAAGCCTGTGTCGTCTTGTAATTTGAAGAATTTCAGCCATGTTAATCTTATTGAAAATAACATGGCAGAGAAACATCCAAATATAAGAGGCCACACACTTTATAAGCCAAACTAGAGTCCATTTCACTGCTTCAGTGCGTCAGTAGAACGGCAAAAATAAGAAATTCGGAGACTATTGTGCAATAATATATGGAAAAGTATATTCATAATGTACATGAATGACATTTGTATATTTCAGATTTTTTAGTTTTTTGTGCAATAAGCCTGTGCCGTCTTGTAATTTGAAGAATTTCAGCCATGTTAATCTTATTGAAAATAACATGGCAGAGAAACATCCAAATATAAGAGGCCACACACTTTATAAGCCAAACTAGAAGCAATCCAAGATATACAAATGTCATTCATGTACATTATGAATATACTTTTCCATATATTATTGCACAATAGTCTCCGAATTTCTTATTTTTGCCGTTCTACTGACGCACTGAAGCAGTGAAATGGACTCTAGAAGCAATCCAAGATATACAGATGTCATTCATGTACATTATGAATATACTTTTCCATATATTATTGCACAATGGTCTCCCAATTTCTTATTTTTGCCGTTCTACTGACGAACTGAAGCAGTGAAATGGACTCTAGAAGTCAGTCTGTTATGATGTACTACTTTCCTGTGGAAATTGCAGTGAAATTTTTTGCACAAAATTATCAATTAGAGGAACTATTTCTTCAATAAAATAAACATTACAAAATATCAATTAAATAGTAAGATACAATTAAATGCAATAAAAAGTAACACAGCATATTGTCAAGTTGAAATAAAGCTAGTTGAAGTAACAAATGTGCAAATTAATTTTACCCAATCGGCCATTTTGAATAGCACTTCCTATGTAATCAAATATTTGGAATTACCAAACTTTAACATAGGTGCCTTATAGTCTGAATATAATTCAGACTAAATAGGATATAGTCTAGGGGTGCAACACTGGCGTACATGTAGCTGAGGTCGAGTTGAAAGTCTATCACGTGCTATGACATTTGATTCAGATGCAGCATAAAAATTATTGTCAAGTATCAAGCCTACCTGCTGTGTAGTAGTCACTAGTCAGCTATGCATATTTTGCAATTTTTTTGAAGTCCGGCAGTGCTTTCCCTTTACTGAGAAATGTTCCAAAGTACTACAGTAGATTTTCTATTGGGGGATATAAGGATAACACAACTACCCATGTTTGATGCTTACACGGCCATAATTCTATCAATTGTGTTCAAAACTTTCAAAAAGTTTCAATTTCTAAACTCCGGTCAACATTAAGGCGACGCTATATTAAGGTTCAGCTGGAAAGTAACATTTTGGTAAAAAATTGCTATACCTGCACATGTTATTTTCTGGTACAAAATAAAGTATGAAGGCATGTATCAATTTCCTTGCTTTTTTCAGGAAAGTATCATTACATTGTCTTCTTTTAGAATATCTGGTAGGCGTTCAAAGGGAACTCCAGGGAATTCTGATATTTCACACTTCCTGTTTTTCCAAATTTTCTTTCAAAGTTTCCAGACAACACAGGAGCTACCATTGACCTGTTTCCAGGTTTACTAAAAGTAGACAGTGTAATGATACTTTCCTGAAAAAAGCAAGGAAATACACACATGCCTTCATACTTAATTATGTACCAGAAAATAACATGTGCAGGTATAGCAATTTTTTACCAAAATGTTACTTTCCAGCTGAACCTTAAATAATAAGTACAAAAAATGACTGCCATATTTTTTTGATAAAGACACATGTTTTTAAAATCTGTATACCTTGTATATGAATTGTGTATCTTGACTAATGAAACATGTCAAAGTTAACATCACACATAAACGCATTTTTCCAAACTATGAATTGGAGGTGCATGGATCCCCAAAGCTAGCATGAAGAGTGCGAAGTGAGGCTAATTTTTGAAAGTTTCAAGGAGTAGCCTTGCAACAGTCACACATTTGCAAGAGTCTAAAATTTCCACAAATCATCTTACCTTTCCCTAGTTCAACGTCGTTAAACTCAATAACGGCGATATTTATTATTAAGAATTTTCTTGGGGCCATTATTGAGTTTAACCTCCTTACTATTCTTTCCATTGATGCAAGTTTTGGATCCACCGAAACCATTTTTCCGCGATAACATGCAACTGATACTTGACAACAATATAAAAACACATAACATCAAGCGATTAAACACAATATTATTGTATTAAATGGTCATTTATACAAGTAAAATGAGGTTAAACTTACCAATCTCTAAAATGACATTTCCGCATGTCCGCCATTGTGTCTGTTCGTCCCGGGTTAAAATGTAAACTATTGAAACGAAATTGTTGTCAAATAGATTGATAATTATCACGCGATTACTCGGGATAAAATAACTATTTTTGAGGATAGCAGGTATCTTTGATTGATTTATATAGCGCTTGTATACACACAAAATAGTTATTAATTGCAAACCTACTGTTCGTTGATGCAGTGTCGCAATGACGGTTAATTCCTGATACGATTTGCAATTTCGATGTTACCGGAGTTGACCGATATTTTCGTAAAATTCCAAACCTGTCTCCAATATTTTCGTAATTATGCATCAATATGGTCTAAGGGGGGTACGGGATGGTGTGTATGTATTTATAAGGTATGTATGCATGCTTGAATCACATTCTTTATGTAATATTACCATGTTTTCGGAGTTTAATTAGTTCCGCATGTCGGAACCTGCTGAACGACTAAATTAACACATCAAGGGCAAAATGGTCATGGAGGTTAGACCTAGCAGGGGCCATAAGACATGTCAGATAAGAAACGAGGCCCAGGCTAGGTCTAATGTTGTTGGACTAACCTTTCCCAGGAACAACGAAGGAGCATGAAAATGTGCACTTCTTGCATTGTTAGAGTATAATAAACCTCAAACCATTGTAAATTCCAAATATTTCATGTCCACATTTTGTTTGCCGGAACTACTTCTAGACTTCCTGATTAATCCTCATGCAAGTTTTGTGACTACACCAAGTGGCATGGATTATCACTTGTATGTTTTATCTATTACAGTGTAATTATCATGATAGATACATGATAGAGGCTTTATGAATGATAAACAATGGAAACATGAATGAAGATAACTCTGGACTAAAAAATAGTTCCAGGAAACAAAATGGTGGACATGAAATATTTAGAATTCACAATGGTTTGAGCTTTATTATACTCTAACAATGCAAGAAGTACACATTTTCGTGCTCCTTCGTTGTTCCTTGGTAAGGTAAGATGATTTGTGGAAATTTTAGACTCTTGCAAATGTGTGACTGTTGCAAGGCTACTCCTTGAAACTTTCAAAAATTAGCCTCACTTCGCACTCTTCATGCTAGCTTTGGGGATCCATGCACCTCCAATTCATAGTTTGGAAAAATGCGTTTATGTGTGATGTTAACTTTGACATGTTTCATTAGTCAAGATACACAATTCATATACAAGGTAAACAGATTTTAAAAACATGTGTCTTTATCAAAAAAATATGGCAGTCATTTTTTGTACTTTTTATTTAATATAGCGTCGCCTTAAGGTCAGGGTGCATGATGGGAAATTTTCTGCATTCCTCAATTGAGTCACATGTTATTTTTCAAACAAGAATCACTCCTTCTCTTCATTGTCCTTATCTTCCAGTTTTGCACAAAGAGTGCACTTATGTGCCTAGAAAAGACTTGTGAGAAGAATGTTTTGATAAAGTGTATAAAAAACAAGAAAATTCAGTGAAAAAAATCAGAAAATTTTCAGAATTTTTTTTCACTGAATTTTCTCATTTTTTATACATTTTACAAAACAAACCTTCTCACAAGGCTTTTCTAGGCACAAAGGTGCACTCTTTGTGCAAACTTGGAAGATGTAGACAATTTGGGGAAGGAGTTATTCATGTTTGAAAAATAACATGTGACTCAATTGAGGAATGCAGAAAATTTCCCAACATGCACCCTGTCCTTAATACTCCGAACGTAAATATTGTTCGGTTTTTTATTAGAGTTATCAATATTAGTAGGCAATTTTTTAACGCGTTCTATCCAATAAAAAGTTCAAAGATTATATTTATTCATACTGAATTGTCAAAAAGTATATAGAATTATAAAACAAAGTACGTTGATATACGAAGCCATAGAAGACACGAGTTATTTGTTCGCATTTTGACTGTCAATCCACTAAGCATTCTGTTCGCATTTATGCAACATTTTGGGCGTGTCATGTCCAGTGAGAAACCAGACAAAAAATATAAAAACAATTTCTCAAAAAGTCAAATATTCAGTAGATTTCGGCAAAATATGATGGATTTCAGGTATGTTAATAATATTTTTGGTGTATCGATATTTGAGTCTTTGTATCGATACGCTCGTATCGTTACGAAACGAGCCGATGCATCGATATATCGATGAATCGCGGGACCCCTAATCTAGATCTATTACCTGATTATATTCACCAGGTTATGAGGGTAAAATTCCACTTTCATATCTTCATGGCTACTGCAAATGTGTCTCATATGCGCACAATCTGATAAGTCCAATCACGAAATAAGGCGCTCCGTTTCTAGGAAATTAATTTTACAATGATATTATGTATTATACTCTGTAGAATGCATTTGCAGAAAAAATACGATGATTTGTCAAAATATCTGGGTTTACTCTACAAGGTATCTCAGGGGGTAATTTCCAAACTGGACAAAACACACTGCTTTTTTAATGTACAATCATCGTTGATATCTGAATAAACGTTATAAAATATACTTACATGTTTGTTCTGCTAATTAATAACAACAAAATGATTAAACGTAGCAAAAGCAAAATTCTTCTCTAATTTGGTGTGATCGTGTAGAATATCAAGAAGTCTCGGCTGCTTATTTCGTTCAGTACATTTGTTCAGTGCAACAATTGAAAAATCGTATATTCTATCCACCATATTTGTTACCAGTCTAACTACGACATGGATACATCAGTTTTATAAATTTAGGTTATGATGACAAATCTTCTGAACAAATCATAATGTTTGAAAAGTATTGATTGCCGGGGAATGTATCTTCGTTTCATGAAAGATTAAAAATTTTCTTGTTACACTCATGTGACGTCACATCACATAATATTATGAGGCGATAAGATTTGACGAAAATTGACAAAATGTTGGGGACATTTCAACATCAATATAACAAACAAAACATTACATTTACATGTAAGTAATGTACTCTTTATTACGAAGAAGTACTTGGGTTTACTTGGAGACCAATATTTTTGTTGGACAGCTAATTGGAAAGGAATAATAAGTGATGATTCAGCAGTGTGTTTTCTTGGGAGAAAATCCCCCCTTTTTTCCATTGGAGCTTGTTTGGCCAAGATCTACTTTTTTCGAAAATATCAATTTTTTCTGAAATTACCTTTAAGTCAGTCTATTTTTGATATAAAAAATACTCCTGAGAATGAAGCTGTACAGATCTAGACCCAGACACCATATAAGAGGCCTTATGAAAACCCAAATTGATTTTTTATGATTGATTATATGAACAAATTTGGAAGATTTGCGCATACGTATATTTGAACATTAATTGCTGTATTATGTCTATCAACATACAATGAACGAAGAACAACGATGGTTCATTTATTGCAATTAAGTTATTCACGGGATATTGATGATTCTTTTCTTTTGTTACGATGGTGATTTCTACTAGCTATTAAACAAATCTGGAAGATTTACTCACATGTATATTGAAATGTCAATTGCCGTTTTTTATGTGTCATTTAACATACGATGTACGACATACGAAGTTAGATGCTTGACTTATTGCCGAAATGCTGAAGAACATTAAAATTTAAGGCTCTTTAGCCAAAATTGGTTACCAAAATGCTAAAGAGCCTTAAAATTTAAGGGTCTCCAGCCATGGCCTTTCAAAATAACCACAGTTTCAGTGTCAAATTTACAGTATTTCTAACATATGTATTCTTTTCCTTTGCTCAGTCATTATTTTGTCTAAATTGTTCAAGTCATGAAATTTTAGAAGAAATCTGTGTGGAAGCAGTTTTGAGTTAAATTTTTGTTGGTGATATTGCACCACATTTAGGTTTATCAATTAATACACACAGGTTCTCGAGATATCCCAATTTTGCCAGTCATGTCAATTAATTTTATCCAAACTGTCTTTTCAATGCAGGTTAGGGTGAAACCTGACAAAATGGGCGTAGTCACTGATGGTGTTAAACATTCTATGAATCCATTTGATGAGATTGCTGTAGAGGAAGCTATACGACTAAAAGAGAAGAAGATAGTTAAAGAAGTTGTTGCTGTGTCATGTGGACCAACACAGAGTCAAGTAAGTCAATTGTTCATTGATAATACCTGATCTACTTGGTTGTTGTTTATGAGAAGAATGGCAAAATTGTCAAGGAATTTCAGAATTCTGAAAAATAATGACTGTTTGATATACCTTTTATTGACTCAATAATCAAAAAATCTCGATAGGTTTTCTATGTACAACAGTACATCTTATTGAACCATCTAAATTCCTGTTGAGTTGTGTGGCTAAGAAAGCTAGATTTAACTCTATTTTTTCTACTGTGAGCTTTACAACGTCTAATATTACCATATTGATTGAGACAAAATAGAAGAAACAGATACAATAGGTTTTCACATAGGAAAACATAAAAACTTCAGTAGAGACATGGGCAACTACAATTTAGATCATTTGTGGGATGAAGTTATATCGCCATAGCAATAAATCATTTTTGACGTTGTTAAGGCTCAATGAGGTAATCACTGGTGATCCGCTTGATTACGCTGGTTTGGTTACCGAAACGGTTTGTTTTGGTAACAAAATGTTGGAACGTTGAAGGTATGATTTTTCCTTTTTCTTTATTTCACGCGTTGTAGGCAGAATACCCACGACGTTTTTTCTCACAAACGTGTATCAATATATGTTTTAGAAATGTACATGTTCGCGAAAAATTAGCTTAGAAGACAACAGAATCATCGATTTAATTCCTGACTTAAGTTACAGAAAAAAGTGCAGATTTTAACTGTTTTTCGAAATACCGTTTCTGTAACTTAAGTGAGGAATTAAATTGATGATTCTGTTGTCTTCTGAACTATTTGTTCGCAAATATGTACATTTTCTTAAACATATGATAATGATACATTTTTGTATTGAAAATGTCTTGGGAATTCTGCCTAGAATGTGTGAAATAAGGAAAAAAGAAAAATCGTACCTTCAATGTTCCGACATTTTGTTACCGAAACGGTACCAGCGTAATCGAGTGTATCACCAGTGAATAAGTAGATTCACCTGGATGTATGTCAACTGTTTCATTTTTAAATATTTAGTGATCATGGATCCAGTATGCATTTGAAATGTCTAAAATAAAAACAAATACAATCTGTGACAATTAATACTAATAAACATCATTAAAATAGATTATTGATAAGTGAATCCTTTGGCTATATTGATGATTTTCAGGAGACCATTCGTACAGCATTAGCTATGGGTTGTGACAGAGGCATCCATGTAGAAATCACTGGAAAAGAATATGAAAACCTACAGCCTTTCCATGTATCTAAAATCTTGGCTAAAATTGCTAAAGAAGAAGATGTGGATATGGTCATCCTTGGAAAACAGGTATGTAAAACTATGGAACTTTAAAGAATGGAAATTACTTGACCAAATGCTCTACAAAGAAATTAAGCCATCAAAAAATTATTTTTGAAATTTTTAAGACACACCTCATTGGATTGCAATATAATCTAAAGCAATCCAATAAAGTATGTATTAAAGATTTACCTTCCTGTGTACAATTGGATTTCTTTGGGAAATTCCCCTAAAAGAGAATATTCTAGGGATTAAGGAAGGTGTCAGCATTAAATACTTTGATAGAGTATTGGCATACATGAAACCTATTTAAAACAGCATTTATCTTATTGAAAATCATTGATTACAGTGATTCCCAGCCCTCTGACGTTTGAAAAATAAAAATACCTGGGTGTTATACCATGGATTAACTTTGAAAATGAGAAATGTTTTTTTGGGATTATATGGTGTAATCTTAAAGCCAATAAAACATTTTAAAGTGCATAGGCGTAGCCAGGAGGGGATGCGATGGTGCGATCACATTCCCCCCATAACCAATGAAAAAGATATAATCATTAGATAGAGGAAGAAAAGAGCTTTAAAATATTTTTTCATTTGAAGCGTCTAGCTCAATCTTGAAGGAAGTTACATCAATTTTTGTAAAATTCGAAACAAATCTTAATCTTTTTTGGGTTACTTATGCCACAATAACACCCCCCCCCCTGACTGAAAGCTGGCTACTCCCCTGAAGTGTATTTTTTAAAGTGTTTTTATTTTTATTTTTTAAAGTGTACTTTTTATTAGATGAAAGCATAAGTCAAATGCATGAAAAAACTCCCCCAATTCATTCTACATACTACTCTCTTATCCTTTCTTATCATTTACTTTTAGACATACTAGTATTCTGATGCAGTCTCTTGCATTTTATGGTTTGAACAGTCTCCTTTGTGTATAGTTTTATGTATTTTCTTCTTCAGGCTATTGATGGGGACAACAACCAAACTGGTCAAATGACAGCAGCAGTGTTAGACTGGCCACAGGTAAATACATATTTAATTATTAGCCATTTTTCTGGTATTAGGCAGTAAACAGCAATGATAAGTAATGTTTAAATTCCAACTAGGGTGTCCTCCTTTTGAAAATGGGCCCATTGTGCTATTTTTCAGGTAAAGAGACTATCATTTTATATCACAATGTAATGTAAAACTCACCCATTTACAACAGACTCTACTCACAATGTTCGAAGAGAAGACCCCTACTCAAATGTTGAAAAGATTGACTTTATATTATTAAAATGTAGGATTTCTCACCATATAACTTGTGGAACTATTTTCCTTTAATTTAATTAACTTCTTTCATATAATGATTGTTTTAGATTATAGTCGCAAATAAATAAACATACACAAATACATGAATAACAGCAATACTCATAAACAAAACAATTGAATTTTTATAAATGGTCAGTTAACTTAATTAGCATCAATGCTTTTATCATTTGTGGTATCACTTCAATATTTTTATGTCAGTGATCTCAGAAATTATTAGAAAACCTGGTATCTATTAAATAAAACATTCTAAATGTTTGTTATAATAATTTACATAACATGTATATAACGTATGGACATACATGATATATGCCCTTCATGTTGAAAAGGCACAATAAATTACATGTAAATTATCAAATGAAATATTTTTGACAACTTCCAGGCAACATTTGCTTCTGAGGTGAAAAAGAATAATGGCGACCTAACAGTAACAAGAGAGGTTGATGGGGGCCTTGAAACCATAAACGTTAAACTTCCAGCTGTTATTACCACTGACCTACGACTTAATGAGCCTAGATATGCAACTTTACCCAACATCATGGTAAGTGAATACACAGAAGGTTCATATTGATTGCTTTTTATGTCACAACCAAAAGTATTATCGTCTTTTTTGTTGACTGTGGTCGGCATCTGGCAGTCAATGCCAGAGTCTGGCAGGTGGTGACATTTCGCATGTTTTTGTATTGTATTGATTGATTTTTAGATATAGAAATTTATGACTGTTTTCATGTGTTCATTCTTGCATTTTCAGAAAGCTAAAAAGAAACCTATAGCCAAGAAGACTGTAGCCGATTATGATGTAGACATTAGCCCAAGACAGGAAGTGCTTAGTGTGGAAGACCCACCAGTAAGTGCAATATTATTACAAAAATTCAATGAATGGTTGCCATTTTGAAAATAGCACTATCCATTTTAAAAGAACTGTATATAAACAGCCTGCTAAAGTGAAGACTTTTAAATGAGAACACATTCTTCGGCTCTTACATTTGGTCGTCCCATTGAATCCCCTTTTTGTTAGAAACTCATCTATGAACAGTCCATTATCATTCACTAAGGCAGATTTATTATGATATTGTAAGCAAAGATAACTTCCAATGAGTTGATTGTCTAAAACATAACCTTTTGTACTTTTAGGTAAGAGAGGCTGGTTCAAAGGTTGAATCAGTGGATGAACTAGTAGGCAAACTAAAAGATCAAGGTTTGGTGTAACACATAAAGATTATAGGTATGTGTTCCAGTAAGAGATGATAAGGATCTTATTTCCATATTTTGATGATTATAGAAAAAAAAATTGAGTGGAAAACTGAAGAACAGAGTAATATGACTTACACTTTTGTTCAAACTCCTATTGCACATTAGCAATAACTCCTAATAAATCATTTGTAACTGCATGATGATTTGGAAGTTTGAGCAATGACTGTTCTTTTAGAGCTCCATACCTAATTCAAGGAAATGCAGTGATTTATAATTTTGCCTAACAGCTATTATTTTTTGAGTATAAATACATGTACAAGTATATGCCTTTGTTAAGTTGATAACATTAGTGGCACAAGAAGCTATTGGACGATCTAAATTCATAACAATGAACAGATTTCTCATTTTAACCCTTCTATTTCTCCACCTGTTTTAAATTTAGATATTTTTTATATCATTTTTCTTATCTGGAATAATAAAGAATATTGATTAGAAAAAACATGGAGATGCAGCTCACAATTTTGTCTGCCATATATTTCAGAATATAGCTTTAACAGAGTTACTATACGATCCAAAAGTCTAATTTTAATCTTTGATTTACTTGAAACTCTCTAATAGTAATAAAGATCAAGAACTAAACTACTTTGTGTATTAATTTCATGAAGAAAGAAATTAGTTCATGTATTTTTCTCGATAGTTTTTAAAACAGAGACCCTGTCACCCAGAACTGTGTTTAAACACTCAAATCACATTACAACTGTTAATATGGCAAAAACAGGTGCACAACCTAACGCCAGTAATTGTTTTTTCCGATTTAGCAATCTGAGTGTCATCTGCATTCATCTTCTTCACATATTTACTTTAAAACATACTTTCCATGAATTGGAAAAATTTTTTCGTACCCCTTTACTCATAAATGAAAGGCATTCATGAAACTACGCTTAAATATTTGCCATATTAACAGTTGTAATGATTTGCATGTTCTAATTACAGTTCCCGGTGGCTGGGTCCCCGTATTAAAAACTACTATCTAGAAAAGTACCTAAAATGAATTATTTTTTGGTGATGGTTATGCAAAAAGTTATTAAATTTTGATCTTTCACGGGTGTTAAAACACGAATATACCATGAGCACATGCTTTGAGGATCCGCGTTGTTTGAACCTACCGCCGAGCACACTTATACATTAAGACCCGTTACACAGTCGTCATGATACCGCCGAGCAAGCTCATTGCATCATCAGGTCTGCTTTACCCCCGTGTCTTTACTATTTGAAAGTTTCATGTAATTTCATTAAAATTTTATTAAACATTTTATTTTCAGGTAATACAGTATAGCAGAACTAATAATAATGCTAGATTGATGAAAGAATCTTCAAGGACTGATTAAAACATACTGAATTTTTAAATGGACAGAAATTAATATGAAATAGCTTATTAACATAATATAATATGTTGCTCATTTTTCTATCTCATATTTTTGGATAAAATCGGCCATCTTTCTTAAATGGCTTCATCTCTTCATTCTTTAATTGTTTAATATTCCTGTGAAATCAGAGTGTGTACATAGCATTGATGTAGATACTACTAAGCAGCATTATGAAGTGAATCACATTTTATAGATATGTTATTTGAAGAGAACTTTGATAGGGGGATGATACTTTAAATTAATTGTTATCTTTCTTTGTTTTTCTTGACATAAAAATTGCCATTCTCATTCATCCTTGATGTGTTCTCTTCAAAAAATATAGACATTATTTTGTAGAATTTATAATTTAGACTATGTAGTTCTCATGATATCATCCAAGTCCTTACTTTTCAATTCAAACCAGGAATAAACACGACCACAATGTTACCATGGCAACAGACTCAATGAGGTTTAAATATTATCAAACCATATAACTACAAATAGACATTATGGTGTGTAAAATTGTAGATCAATTGTACAAAAAAAGTGTAAGTGATTGTAGAATATTGATCAATTTATCAATTTATTTGTAATTGTACAATTTTAAATAAATTATTTTAATGAAAATTATTTTTAAGTTTTTATTTTGGAAGAGTCGGATGAAGCTGAAAAAGCCTAACAAGGCACGCTCTCCAGACTGACATAAAGTGTTCCTTGTTGATAAGTGTTTCATATAGAGAGGGTCCATGTTTTTGGCCTACCCCAAATATGAATTACTGAATAAGTACATGATCATTGTTTTGGGCATTCCATTGATGTCAGTGAAGTAAGGAGATCTGCATTTTTAACCACAAAAGACTAACATTTTCTTCTATTTGATGGCATATTTGAAATCTGTGTGTAATTTTCTATCAAAACAACTTGGTGCACTGTTATTTATCTTTATTCAAATTCTAGATTTGAAAGACGAAAAGACAAGATTTTCAAGTTCTCTAAAAATGGTCGAGCTAAATTCCCTTTAACGTATTGTTAAAGTCACCACTTTGTGATAGGCATTGCATGTCTGTTACATACTTTTATTACCATTTGCACAGCTTACCAGGTGCAGGCCCATAAGCAGGGGGTTCAGGGGTGCAAGCGAACTCCCCTTCCCCTTGTCCAAAAATTCTTTCAGAATCATGCACTTTTTCACTATTCTGATCATGCACTTTTCAAGTGATCTTCTGCCTTTGTCAAATGCATACCCCCTCCATGGAAATTTTTTAAAACTGAACCGCCTTGACAAAAGCTGGCTACGGATGTGGGTGATTACTTTTGTCATTTTAATTGTGTACAAATGTGTCAATTGGGATTAAGCATAACCTTATTTATCCCACTAAGTTTTCAATATGGCTGTTTTCTGTGAAAGAAACATCTTTGATAACTTAAATACTGATTGACCAATTTAGTTCAAAATTTGAAAGCTTATGCCTCATTTGCATAGGTCCTCTGCTGAATAGGGAATTTTCAATGTACCTGCCCAATTCAATAAGGCCATCATTTTTCTTTCAAAATGTAATCTTTGATAACTTAAATAATGATTGAAACTCAATTTCATATATTCAATATCCCTTGGAGACATAAAAGTTCTGCCCAAGAAGAAATTTCCAAGATTATGTTTGAATATTTAAAATGGCAGGCTCTTTTCATAAGAAAAATGTAATTATTGTGATACAAAACTGATAACAGATAAAGGATTTGGTCTAAATTTTACAGGCTGATGTCTCATGGGCAGAGGATTTCTGCTCAAGAAGGAACTCCAAAATGGCCACTCAAAAATGACCACCATAAAGAATGTTAATTTTAGACCACTGAAAAACCAGAAGCCAGATTTGGTTCAAAGGACGATTCTCGGTTTGGAGAACGAAGTTCATCAATTTAAATGAGCATTATCCCTGCTTCGGACAAATTTGATTTTTTTACATAATATAGATTTGAATGTCTTCTTAGGAATAGTCATAATTTAATTTGGGTAATATTTCTAGATTTTTCGCCCAAAATATTAGCGCAGTACACTGATGAACTTCTTTCCCCAAATCGAGACTTGTATTTTATCGAATCGGTCTAATTGATGCATTATCCCTGCTTCAGATCAATTTGCTATTTTTACATCTTGTAGATTTAAATGTCCTCCTTTGAATATTCATAATCTAATTTGGGTAATATCTCTATATTTTTCATGTAAAAATTATTAGCCCAGAAGAATGTTCTCCAAACCGACAATCGTCCTTTCATATGCTTATGCCTTGGTAAAGTGACATAGGAATTCAAAATGCCACCGTATTTAACGAAAAAAAAGTTATGTTTGATAATATAAACACCAGTTGATCAATTTGGTTCATATTCTATATTATATTGTTTATGTTGATGCCTCAGCACACATGGGACTCACACCATAAACAGTCATCCGCTAGAGGCACTGCGAGTGGTAAAAATGCATTTTGCCTATCAAAGTACTATATATATATAGTATATAGTCTACTTTACAGTTTTCTAGTAGTCAATGATAGTCTCAAATGGCTACCACATTTTCCCCAAAAACTATATTTTTAGGATAGTTCAAAAGGGAAAAGGGAAATCCAGTTTGAAAAAATAGAGATCACCAAAGGTTATACCAGAAATCTAGCTATTTAAAACTGGATATCCTGACATTTTCCATTTTGAACCATCTAAAAAAAAAGTTAAAGCAGACTAGCATTGTGGGTTGTCAACTATCTCTTGAAGAGCGACTCAAAATGTTAGATCAGTACAAACTATGATTTTGTCACTGGGGGATGAGATGTAAATCATGTATTCTATTTTAGTTGTCAGGACATTATCTATGTAATAGATTAATCAAAGATCATTAATGAAATAAGAAGACTTGGATTGACTATAATCAGGGACTCTGTTTTCCCCAATTTTGGGTGTACAGTCTAGCACACAGCAACATGTAATTTCTAAAACAAAAGTGAACCTTGACTCACATTTTCTTGCAGTTTTGAACTTGCAAATACTGTAATCACTAAGATTTTATACAACAAAGTATTACACAAAACAGTTACTTTTTTTTTAATATTATATTTATCATGTTTAATATACACTACATTATGCCACATTGTTTACAACATATTTTCAAATGGATTATTAAGCTTAAAGGTCATTATCTCAGGAACAATTGACCTATTGTACTTTGTTAATGTTCCAACAAGGCTATTGAATAATGGCTTTAGAGGAACCATGTCATGAGACCAAGATTACTTGGGAAGTAACCCATGCATGAGGGGCGTGAAATAGTTTTTGCAAGCCCAAGCTTCTTGTTGTATTTCAGAACTAATTTCTCAGGGTTCAAAACTCCCAGCTGCCTGACAGCAGTCACTATTCAATGTTGGCAATGAACTTGAATGCCAATATGTTCAATTATGGAAGTCATGTTTTCCATTGAGTTGTGAACCCTGCAATTTCTACAGGACATGGTCTAGTCTTACATAAAAATGATGCACCTCGACCATCTCAACTCTTACACCACAAAGTAAGAGAAAAGAAATCCAGGGTCTTGACTAAACAATGTCCTTATATGGAAGAATAAATGATATCATGATGTCATTCCTCCACCTATACAAATATACATGTTGCCAAACAAGGAGACAATCTTTTCAAAATATCGTGATTACAATTTGTGAAATTAATTTTTTCTATGATATATCGCTATCCTGAAAGAAGTAAATTTCACGAATCATAATTGACAATATTAGTGAGAAACAAGACCTTTAAGCTGACTGTTTTGGGAAACAAAAAATGAGATTGTTGATTTTCTTATAAAAGGTTATATAAAACTTTCATACATGTACATATTTCCTGAAGTATAAAATCAAATCATGTGGCCATTATTTAAAACAATTTAAGTATGAGAAAGACTATATCTTCTCTAGATCCTTCATTCTGTAAATGATCACTGAAAAAAACATTTTTAAAAAGTTATAAAAATTATTTACAGTTCTTGTATATACATAGATTAGCATTTATAATTAATTTTAGGAAATAATACCATTGTACAAACTTATCTTAAAATGACCAATCAAAACACCTTCTTTAAAAAGAATAAACAGTTATACTAAGTTGCTCAGACACCATCACCAAGTTATACAACAGATTAACCATCATGCAACAGGCTCATTGGAGTTGTAATGGATATATCTGAATTTTGCATTTGCATTGCGTTGCATTGCTATTCTTAACTACTTTAAAATTGCTTTAATCTTCTCGTACAAATTATGTCAGCGGACAGTTGATAAGTAATACATTAATATATATATATGTGCTTCAATACTATAGTAAACTTAATACCAAATTAGACCTTCATTTGCATGTAAAATTAAACCTACAAGGTGTTAATAACTGAATCTCATTAAATTACATTTATGAATCAGTCTTATCAGTACAATCCAATAAGGCCTAGTTTGTATTTCGGTTTTCCATTAGTGAAACTAGGAACATATTAACTCCCAGAGTAGAAAATCCCAATGCACAAAACATACTTTGTCATACATATATCTTCAGTGGGATGATAAAAATCATGGGGATATAATTGCCATGTATAATTTAAGTACTTAAAATATGTTCCTTATGGTATACATAAAATGAGACCAACATTTAGTCATTATTACATTTGTACATAAGTCCATGTACTATATCTTGTTCAAAAAAAACCCTTGATCTTTATAACTTGGAACATTTAGAATAAATATTGCTCTACTGATTCCTGCAAATTGCTTGGAGATTTTTTGAGTTATAGAGGATTTTAGCAAGGTGCTATTCTCAAGAATTATTTAAAATTACTTTTAAAAGAAATCTCTACACAGCATACACATTTATTTCATATTAATTAAGAACCTTACAATGTCAGAAAAATAAAGGTTGCCAAATGTAATTATCCGATTAAATAATTAACTTTATTTTTAGTTTAAATCAGAAAATGTTATTTATTTGCCCAATATCTGCTGATATATGGTATGTATATTTGTGTTGATTATTAATTAAAAAAAAATAAGTAAGGTTATAAATATGTCAAGGTCATTTGGTGTAAAACTACAATGTTTAGTCATTGCTACAGTTCAAAATTCTTTTAATATCACTTTTTCCTGGTGGGTGAAAACTAAAAACAATTTTTATCTAAAAGGTAAATAAGGCCAGGCCATATTTTGTTTTTTGTTCTTTAAACAACTAAACTATATCGAATTATTGTTCAAATTGTTTAATCCACGGAAAGTGAGTGTTCAAAAACATAATAATTACATAAGAAAATTAAGTCATTTACAAAATATTTTTTTGAAGAATTGTAATTTTGGTCTTTTTTGTCTCAATCAAATTGGTAATATATAAAAAATGCTATTGCATAAATTCATCAAGTTACTCGGGCTTTAAACCACTCAACGGCTCATACGAATTCAGACATACAAAATATGACAATAACAAACACAGCCTTATACAATGTAGGTTGACATAGCTTATGATATATGACCACACCCTCCCCGTCCTGGTGGTGAGGAGTGCCACTTTCTCTCTATGTAAAACTTCACCCCTCTACCAAATTTGCCAACCAGAAGCCACATATGATAACATGTTAATGATTGGATCTCAGTTTATATTTGAACTTTGTAATCAAGATACTGTTCCACATGCTTGTTATAATGTGAAAGTCACAAGACAAATCTTATCGTTTTGATTGGCCGATCATGTTGAGGGCAGGGGTGTGTCAGAACCTACCACTAACTTGCTAGAAGATCGGCAAGGTATCCTTGGGGCCAATCCTCCTTGGTATAATAATGACACTGACATTTTCGTTTTGCCTCTCTTGTTTCATTTTCAGCTTGTATCCTTTAATCAAACTTAATACAAGAGCAATCTCATCTATAATGTAAAACTTGATTCATTTTTGATTTGATATGTGACGCGACTCTCCTCCAACTCTCCTATGAGAAGTGTCTATGGTAAATAAATGGAAGATCTACTAACTGAACCATTTCATGAAAATGGGCATTAGACTGACCAGTTCATCCCTACTTTTCTGGGTAACTATCTAAATTGAGACCTACTAGATGTTAAGATCCATTTATATACTTTACATTTTATTTTCAGTCCCCTCCTCTGCTCAAAATGAAGATACATCTGATCTTAGATTGTCACGTATTCTATTACATTCTGAATACTAGTACATATTTGAATAAATGTTCCTCAATTTTAAAGGAAGTGGACCAAAACTTGTAGAGTACTTCAGTAAATATGTAACAGGAAAAGATCTCTTATGCTATTCTAGGACTAATATTGGTTATATTCTACATCTTCACATGTTTGCTAGCACTTGTTTTATACCAGAAACAACTTCAGATTATATTAATACTATCAGTCATTCCTTTCATATCTACATTTCAGGTTTTCTTGTCTTGGATTGCTGTACAGGTCATGCTCATGCTCATATTAGAATCTGAAAATAATAAAATCTTGAAGAACCTTTCATAAATGGTAGACTTTTAAATTGCTCAAAACTAACCTATGGAATATTTTAAGTTAGGAATCTAACATGAGCATTACCTATTAGGGCCGTGCCATTCGACCGGAATCGGTCCGAACCGCGGACTTTTGTTAAAATACCGGAATTCGGAATTTTAATATCATGTTCCGAAGGGTTTCGGAACAATATCGGACCCTTACCTTAGTACTTGCTTTGAATCGTTAATATCCGTGACCATTGTTCCTCCAGTGATGTTTTCCTTCAAACTACATCCAATTTGCATGTGTATTACTCGCATAAACAAAATAAATAGCGGAGAAATCAACAGAAATCAAGTTTTGTTTTACGAACTTTGACCTTCGGATTTCATTGGAAGTAGGAATCGACGGGGCGAAAATACTCATAGATAAATGAATAAATTTACTTTTCCATGACGTCTTACAATCTAACAGCGTTAATTAATTACATTTTAACTCTTACAATATCAGATTAATTGATTTAGAAGTGTTAACCTGACAAACTTGGACGACGATATCGTCATGATCGCCGTCGAACTCACTCATACATAATTATTTTCATTTGTGAACCAAAAGGGGTTCCGAAAGTTCCGATTCCGTGAGACCAAGTTCCGGTTCCGATTCCGAACCGTCCGAACCGGTTCCGGCACAGCCCTATTACCTATATCATTCAAGCAAATTGCTTTCTCCAAGAAAGAGATTGACAGATCAGATTGTTATGTCACCACATATTGGTTACTTCTATTTCAATCTACCAGTGAATGTGAGTATAATATAGATGGTGAAACAGTATATGTACAATTTGCACCCTCCATTTTCTTGCTAGGTATTTTATATCATGGGTGATTCCATCCAGTTTCCCAAAACAGATTTTAACTCTAAAATCCCAAATACATTAGAATGCCTGGGAGCTTAAAATGAGCATTTATAGCATCTATCAGGTTGATATCACCAAGATGTATTTGTCAAATATATGCGCTTACTACACTGAGGTTTCTGAATTTAATCGTAACACAAACTTGTTCATTTTGGGATCCAGGACTTCCTCCGTGAGGTTAAAATGCGGCAATTTTCTTATTGATACCATTAACCCAACTTCACCCTGACGAAGATTGAAAATAGTTCCATGCTCTACAGCACTACTCAACAGCGAATCTGATATTAATACCCAGTTGTGTGATGATTTGTATTCACGATCGTTATATATAACTGCACCCTGGGTAAGATATCTTTCCAAGAAAGCTTTTGGGCTCATATCATTAGATATGCAGTTAGCTAGATGCTCTAGAACACCCTCCAATGTGTAGCGGGGTTGCTGTCGTGTGATGCGGAGGAATTTCTGGAGTGCTCTTGCCATTGACGGGAAGACTGCCTGGGCTGCTTCCTGTGGGTCCATCGGAATAGCGGGGCCTGGAAAAAAAGAAATATAGTCTACAATATTGCAGTGATCTCCCCATCATTAAAGCAAGTGGACGCAGCACCCACCTGAGATTTTAGAAAGTCGCACCCACCTGAAAATCCATTTGCACCCAGGTGAAAATGAAGATAATGGAAAAATAGGTATATGGGTCTGAATTGTGAAAATGAGAATTTTGCAACTATTTGAGAAAAAATCCTATGGAGAACAGTGTATTGCATTAAGAACTTGTGTTGAACTACTCTCTCTTAAACACCAGTTGGTGCGGGAAATAGATTTTTCAGCTTTTATTTGCTCTTTCTATGTTCACTTTCACCGTTTTATTTTCTGATACATATTTATCAATAATTAAGTTCTCATATGAATTGTGTTTATGGCCTTGGCTTATGAATGCAGATCTTTTTACGAGGCCTGTCATCATTAGTCAGAATGTCGACTTGTCAGTCAAAATGAAAGTTCGACAACAGAGTCGACAACAATCCTGTTAGTCGCAAAATCCAATACAGTTCAGTTCTTTTTCGATAAATAATAATCAAAATGCTGGAAAATTGAATGGTTTTAGATAATAATATAATGAATAGCTTGTGAATGTAAAATCAACATGTCCTTGCATCCAATGAGACTCATTATGTTAAGCTATGCAACAAAACCATGCTTAAGATCTCCACGATTTTAGATAAAGCAGATTTTTGCAGTTTTATATAATTAAGAGATACTCGCAAATATCTCATTTAGAGATTGATTAAGATCTTTCTTACCAGTTTTACTACTGTATTATTTGTCACATTCTCAAAAAAGTGAACATCTACCGATGAGAGAAACTCCCCTGTTGCATGGTTGATGCTTAACCAATCATTCGCAGCTAAATACCAACTCCCAAAGCATATTTACACAGTAAGGAACACAAATTTAATCCTTTTACATGTAATCTAATAAAGCTCTAATATTGAGAGGTAAATCTAATAAAACATCCTGATCGATACGAGTCTAAAGGAATTTGACATGTCATCAATAATTAAGTTTAATACAATTCTCAAGTCTTGATTGCGACTGAATATAGACGATATTAACTGAAGGAATTTCTTGAAGTAAACTGTAATTATTGAATATTACAAGTCTTATGTGATTTTTACAGAAATAAATCTGACATCTTGACGAACTACTGGTGGAGAAGCTTTTTATCATATTTGCCTAAAATAAACATTACCAAGTTGAAAGCATGGAGGATGTATTACATCATCACTGTACTAATTAACAAATCACCCATTATAAGAAACATCATAATTTACCTCCAAGAATAGACAATTTTAACATTTTGATATTTTACATTTCTCGGGAGTTTAAATGTTGAGATTGGTTCACCAAATTCCTTGCTAATTCATCTATTCTGCTTTCAAAGCATTATCAAGGAATATTGCACTTCAGTGAAAAACCTATGTGATTCATCCGTGTTATGGATTACAAGAATTATGTTAAACTAAATACTCCATGTTTATCATTTACACTGATATCCCTCAAACATGTTGACATAATCCCGATTCTCATCCATTTTAATTATCAAATATTGAAAAAGCCCGATTAGCTTAAATAAAAACAAGAAAAATATTGAATATATTACTCTGGTAATTTCTGCAGACATAAATGAATAAGTGAAATGATTCACAAGTTCACCATATATTTTTACATTGCAAGATGACATTTCTAATTACACTAGACTAGTTGCTTCTAATGTATGTATGCCAAAGTGAACTAGAAAGGCAGCAACTCCCAAAAGCAGCAAATCCCACTGAACAAAACATTCTATCAAATCGATCATCATTTTGAACATAACATTTTAGGTTATGCATTTCAACAAAAAATTTACCTGCTTCACCCTGCATGCGCTTGATATGTGTGAATGCTTCCTCCGCTGCAGTGAGGAGACGTGCCCTTCGTTTCTGGACACGTCGTTTATATTCCTCCTCCTCATAGAATCTATCATTATGGCTAGAATCCCTACGTCGGGCAGCAGCCGCAAAGATCGCCCGTGATTTAGAATGGGGCGTCTGTGAAGGCATCCCATCAACATCATAGAATTTGAACTGGGGCATTTTCTGGCTCTTTTTAGAGATGTTTTCAAGGTAGTGGTTATAAACCTCAAAATCTTTATAATATTGCTCCAAGGCCCATACGGCTAAGCGTTGTATGCTTAACTGACCGACTGTGTATGACATTGAAGCACCATCTGGTGAACGAACAATCTTCATGATGTACTGGGTCTGCAAGTGCCGGATCTCCAAGAGTATCACTGTCAGGTAATGAATGAATAAAAGAGCGTCGACTAACGACACTGAGAACAAAATGATACTGTGATAATCCTTCTCCTGTGTTTGAAATATGCGAAACCCATAGAACAACCAGAAGGCGAATGTCAGTACGAATACAAGAAACAAAATCACTACACGATATATAAAAATCCTTGGCATGGTGGCTCTGGGCTTGCGAACAAATAAAGCCCAAGCTCCAATGACTAAGATCACTAACTTAAAGGCCAGGCTTATGAGCAGACCTTCACATTGGACCTCTGTCCCGATTGGTTTGCATTTATCAGTCCCTGCCTCAAGTTTACATGTACAATTTTCAGCTTTCCAGCCATTTATGCCAATTTTGGGTAGCACTACCATGGCAACAGGAGAAAGGAAGGCAAACAATGCTAATACAGCTGCAAACATAGTTCCTACATATTTAGCACAATCAAATCCTATGTGATCATCTAGATCTTTTCCAAAGCGTTCAGACATGTTCTCCATTGAAATTCCAGTTTCACTGGTGTTTCCTGTTATAGCGGTTGTATTGTCCCCCCAGTTATCATCCTGTGGGAGGATCTGTACTTCAATCCTTTCCTCCCCTGTACCATCCTCAGGGATCTGTCTCGTTGATCGGTCATCTCGATCACTTTCAACTCCACGCGACCGTCGATTACGACCCCGGCTGCGATGACGGCTTGTTTCTGAGCGCTCACTGCGACCGGTGTCTGAATCCATCCTTGTCTGTTTGTTTTATCTTACAACATTAGGGGATCTGAAACACAGAAACAGAATACTGAGAAAGCAGAAATACTAGATGTAGTATTGGGTTATTCAAGAATTATTACAACTTATCCATGGTAACACTTTCTAAATGCAATTGTATCGGAGTATTTCAAAGTGAAATGATATACTGATTCTGCTTGAACACTGGCATTTACAGCAGCGTATCCACTGCACTGCTCAGTAGAATTCAATAATACAGACATGGCATAATGAATAGATTCATGAAGTAATTACCAATGTACATTCTCATTGATGTTATAGCAGGCCGGATTGCTAATGGTTTAATGAAACAAAGGCACTAAATTATAACCTAGCTCTAATAGGTTCAAGGCATGCTAGCAGATCTGGATGTAAAGAGGAATGAAACAATGTGGTTAACCAAGAAATCTAAAGTCTGGAAAGAAAGTGTCTAGCTGATACCCACAGAACATACATTCTAGTAAAGAACCTTAGATCATAGATTATGGATATGTAAGGCTGATTGCACCCAACATCCCCATCTTTATATTAACAGTACACAAAAACTAGGTTTAACTTCATATCATCTTACATGTTAGTTGGCCCAGTCAATAACTGATTTTAGTTGTTTCAGCCTCATTTATTATTTTATCTTCAAAGACAGAAATAAGACTTAATCATCATGTTCTTTTGGTGCACTTTTTATAAAGGATTTATCCAGAAACAGTCTGGATACAAGGTATTTACATGTATAATATACGATATAAATTGCTTTTACATCTCAACCAGAAATGAGATTTCCTCATCACTCTTTGAGTCAACTTCCCCATACTTACTGTCTCAATGGGGTGTTGAAGATTTGAACTTATTTAAGACAACATAAGTAGAACTAAAACAACCAACTCTTTTATCAAGATGAAAATTGGGCCAGTTAAGACTTCAGAATCAATGTAGTTGCAACCTCACTCACATATCCTTTGTTCAACAACAATTTCTAAACATTTACATTCTCTTTATTCATCAGTTTATCAATACTTCTCCAACCCAATATCCATCAAACAATGGCAAAATTTCTGACTAATGATGATAAAGGAGATATTGCAGTTTTCTAACACACAGTAGGGAGTCTTATTGTGTATTACTCATTTCATGCTGTACCTTATGAAGAAGATACATGTGTACAGTTGTAATAGCCATTGTATCTACCTTGGGTTATTCAGCCTTTTTAACATGTTTCATGGGAATAGAAAGCTGATTATATTTTAGTATGTTGATATATCAATATAAACATATCAACACAAGTATGAGTTACTTTGGCTAAGTACCTGTCTGTACTCAATATGACTATACTGGGTTAAAATTGATATATTGAGGGAACAAGTATGACAACAACACTTGTAGTAAACTAGTAACTGGTTATATTGGCTATAATACCAACTACCCCAGGTTATATTTTAACATCTATAGAAGCAGCCCCTACAATCAATGCATGTTTCAGCTTTATATCATTTGTACATATATACTAACATGTTACAGACTTGTCTATTCCAAACTCTATCATTTAAGATATAGCAAAATTCCCACTTGCAAGTTGAGATTTTGATATGAAAAGATTAATTACTTACTTACTTCTATATTCTGCTAAGGGACTATGACTTGTTTTGTTGGGTATGAAGATTCCATGAAATCCCCAATACTTCAGCAGAAAGTAATGCAGTATTTTAAGAATTAAGTGAGTTCTGCCCCCTTGAGGGAGGGTTGGGACACAGTATTGTCCCAAGGGATGGGATTTTGACATAGTACCTTGTCTCAGGAATGGGGATTTTGAAGCGAATATGCCCCAGTAATAGGGAATTTTGACTGTATTTGTTTTGTACAAAGTACATGGATGCAAATACCTTATTATAAAACCATCCAGGACTCCCAGAAGTTTAAATGTAGGTTGGCTCAGCATTATATTACTTGCTGGTATCATATGTACAATTGAGGGTGAGTCTGATTTTGCCGTAAAATTAGATTTTCTTAAATGAGATCCTGGTGAGAAACCTGAAATATGGGTCAACATTCAGCTAGAGGGATTTTTGATTGACTCGCCAAACTCTTTAAGTAGAAAAAATTTAATAGGACCAATTTTAAATGACTCGCCAAAAATAGACAAAATTGATTTTTAGCACCCTGGACCATCCCTACCCACGTATGGTCTCACACAAACCTGGTAGATAAGAACATACATTTTCATCTCAGAATAAATATTTTTTTCAAGAGTGTGGGAAACATACTTTAATGACATATCTCCGTACCATTATTGCATGATTTTATCAATCTCCAAAATTGTGTCTATCACTGCCACTCTAATCTATCAGGAGTATATTGTAGAACATGATCGTAGTATATGCTACACGCTCAAAAATACCCTTTCTTATTCTAAATCATTTCCTCAACTTAGAATGAACATTGAATGAACACTACACTTTCTCTTTTTTGGTATTTCCTTGCAATTCAGAATGAGACTAAGGCCTGCTTGCTTCATTCCTTGCTTATTCCAATTCTCCTTTTCGCAGTTCGCTCTTTGAATCAGAACGTTCGCAAATATGCACTGAAAAAGCACTCAAAAAGGACAAAATTTGATTGGTCAATATTTTCCCACTATGCATTTCGCGTAGCTATTTGCGTGACACGAAAGTTCTAAATCAAACTAATTACTCAATTTTGTTTTTACACCCGCACGCTAAATAAAACAATGACACCATAGTAAGTATTCTTCTTTGTCATTGCTTTAATGGTCAGTATACCGAGTTTAATCAATAAAAGATTGTACAATGAACAACAAAATTCGGAAACGAGTACTATACATTTGCTTTCGGACCACTGAACAGATTGACCTAGATAATAGCGACGCGTCTTCTTTGGTCTACTGCTCAGTTGTTTGTGGGTTTTCAACGTAACTCTATAATGTAATTTGAAGATGAATACTTTTATTCAGTTGTTGCATCGATGTCGCAGTTTGTAGTGCGGTAAGATTGGCATGAAAGTATTGAAAGTCGAATGGAATTGTTTTTTCCAATATGGCGACTAGTCTACTGATCACGTGACCTTCTCTTTCGGAATATTTTCTCACTTTTCAATCATCGTTTTCACCACGCTATGAATTAATACAATGAAAAAAATAGCTGTTATATTAAGATTAATGAGAGATCAATCGTTTCTAATAATTTTTTCTGTACTCTCGTACGGGAATATGAACGAATATATCGTTTGAAAAATAGGTGTGAAAATCCCCATTTTAAACCTATGAGGGAAAATAAGGAAGTATAAATTTGTTCCTCCGCGAACTGCATCATGGGAAATATTTTGCCCTTATAAGGAAAGATTTTCGCGTCTTCTCTTTTGAAGAGGGAACAACGATTTCGATAATTGTGTTCACAACATTTTGCATTTTCATGACAACCGTAGCATTTTATGTATGGAATAGAACTCATTGAAAAAAGGCAGATATCAATTCCAGTAATTGTTGCAGATGCAGTGAAATGTGATGATAGCCTATGACTCACTATTGAGGTGATACAAGGCCATATTCCCAGTGAAATTAGATCACCTAATTAGTAATTCTTGTCAGCAAGATCATTTTTCCTCTTAAATACTAAATACGCTAACCAGGTTTTCATTTTTTATTTTCAGAAAATTTCAGCCTCTTTTAAACATTTCGAAAATTAATACCACTAAAATGGCTAGTATATCTTCAAATTACTATTGGCGATAATTAAACATATGAAATTCTTCTTATAGTATATACTGTTCACGATTGAAAATGAGGTATACGTATCACTCACAAATAAAAAAAAAAGTGATTTCTTTCTTTGAAAATATAGCTTTAAACTCAAAAGATCCCACACTATTAGGTTAAAACAAGTGTCCCATTTTACTTCTATCAGAAGGACATTTTAATATTACTATATATAGGATATGATATGGAAATACAAGATCTTTGACACAAACCATTAACGATTCACATGAATAATTTCTTTTTTGCGTTTTATGTATTTCAGGATTCTACGAGGCCCATTAATTATCCATCATTTAGCTTGTCATAGAAACAGAGAATTTACTGTTGTTTAAAATACTCTTGTAAAGAGTTATTCCCACATTTTTTCAAAGAATCTGAACAACTGCATAATTTTAAATCATTAGACTCATTTCTAAAACTGACTTGGTGCGTTTACTCCAATCCTTTCAAATGTTTCCTTTTCATGTTCTATTATTTGATATAAAGTGACACAAATGACTTTTCATTCACAGGCAATGCCTGTTACTAAGGACGACTGGATGACTCAAACTGCTTCATATTCAAAAACAGTGAAAAGCCCATGCAATAAAGAACACAGTACCACATCATATTTCTATTAAAATCTCAATTAAACGCACCATGCGCAATGAGTTCTTTAAAACTCATTTTCTTTCTAACATATTCTGTAGATTCCTTGTTTATTTGCAGTTATTCCTTGATTTAAGCAAGAACTATAGGAGATTCTAGATCTTAGTCAAGGGATATTTTCCTACAGGAATAATTCAGTTGACTACATATTACCTCAATTGCATTTGAATGATATTTTCCAGAAAAACATGAAATAAACATAATTTTCATAAAAATATGCTACCTATTCTATTTGCAGTTTATTCATATAGAATAAAGAATAACATATTTGTTCTTCCAACAAAATACTAAATTCAAAGAGCTTGAGGTTTCAAAGATTGTAGGAGGTAAATATTTCATGCCTGAACTGTAATATGCACATACATGTTACTCATACTAGATGTATCTTTGAAATGATGTGTGTTCAAAGCCTAGAATATTACAAAAATATTAGACAAAAATATAGTATATAAAATTTTCTGCTTTGAGAGAATAAGGCCTAGACTTCCACTCATGCGGTCATCTAAAGGGAGGTGCACTTATTTCCCTTGGGATAAACCCTGTTTTCAAAACTGACTGTACATAACAGATGTATTCTAAACTTCTGAGGTTCTATATCATACCCCGTGAAGTTCCAAATCACAGATACTGTATATACTTAGGTTTGTATTTCTTAGTCTTAAAAAGAAGTTTTTAAGTTTATAATTATAGTTATATTAACTTTGAGAAGTAGTCTCATCTAATTCTTAACTTCTACCAAGCTTTACAATGAAACAGAATGCTGCATTGATCCTGTGGTCTAACTAGATCTAAAACACCAGAAGCTGATGTCTATTTTCATCCCAAAGATAAAGACTAGCAAGGTTCCAAAGAGTTGCATAGCTGTACAGGTTGTTGCTTAGCTATCCCATATACAAGGTTACCTGAACACTGATAACCTGAAAGCTTTGGTTTCCATGGCAAATATCCTAAACACACCTTTTACACTGTAGACAGGTAAATTGTAAACTTACCTGTCACTCATGATCAAATATAAATACCAAGGGATTCAGTCAAGTTACAAACTATAAAGACGAAGCTCTTTTTTTAACGAAGCTCTTTTTTGAGAAGCAAAGTTGAACAAATGCAAAGAGTAGAGATCTAACAATGCTCGGCTGAAAAATCTCATATAGGCCTACCCTGGCTTAGTTCCTTATCCTCTGACTATGGGTGTAGTTTTACTGATTACTTTTGCATTTTTGTCATCAACTCAATATAATTACTTGACAGGATTTCATGTTTTATATGATAATAGGGTTGATGAACATGACCATCAAACATTAACTATGACTTGAATAAAAATAGTAAGAGCATGATGAAAACAAAACACGATATCGCCAAATTATCTTGATCAATTTTAAAATGAATGGAAATCAATGGAAAGGTAAAGAAAGGGGATTTTTACTTGTGTGTAGAGTTTCATTGATCAATTAAGGTCTTTGAAATTGAGAAAATTGTTATTCACTCGTTAAGCACTTGTTAAGAAGCAGTAAATCCTTCAGATTTGTAAAAATCATGCCATGTAATACCGTAACAAAAGATTTGCAATGGTAGAACATACAAAGCTGTCAACCCCTGAAGATTTTCTCACAAATAGGCCTAATTGCAGGATGGTTGACAGCACTGAACATCAAATGATCACCATATGAAATAATTGAATAGAGATTTGATTTTTCATTCTTGATCGTCAAGTTATATCAGAATTATAAACCCGGAGTACCAGATTCAAAAGAATGAAACATATTTTATCAAAACTCATATTTGAACATTTCATGATAAAAATAACCAGATAGTAGTTCTGTCTTCTTTTGGGAAAATCTACTTTTAACGACATGACATCATATTCTTGGCAGAAGCCTTATACCTACAAGGAATCAACCCTAGGGCAGCTGAAAAGATGTCTTAATTAGTCAGAGATTATATAGAACTCATGTGTGCACTTATGATATAACAACCTAATTTTAAATCATCACAGTTAAACATGTGAATCTACTACATCATGATTTGGGTTTTACAATTCATTGTGAAAGATCTCAGAAATCACCATACGAAATAGTTCTCTGGGAAAGTATGTAAATTGAATTACTGTTCAGCGCCTGGTAACTGGTCATTCCTAGGACAAACACAATTACTGGATGTTCTCATTATAGGATATTTGCCACAGTAATCAAATCATTTGACAATCAACAGTTGTAGTTTGATGCTGGAAAGTTAGAGTTCAGTAAAGTAAAAGAAAATGATTGTGAATAGTGGTTGACAGGCATTTATATTTGGGGCTCATGGAGGGTGGCACGAATTGTGTTAATTAAAAAGATATTTTATAATCGCAACTTATTATATGATGTACATAATTATATATAGATCATACAATCTTAAATGGATTATGAGGGTAAATTATGCAAGACAATTATAAAAATCAAGTACATTTAATTAGTCCAATCTATGAGATATGAAAATAGGAATTATCATACTGAACAAGATCAGCATGGGTTTGGTCAACATGGAGAAATGCTTTGTGGAGTCAACCTGATGCATAGGAAGACTTTACAAGCATGAAAAAACAAAGACGTAGAGTGAACAGAATTGCACCCTGGAATAGAAGAGACAGTTTTCAGGACAGAAAACCCAAAACAGCAACCTTAATTTTTACCAAGACTGCCCAAA